GGTTGGGGGTAGGTTATTCCCAGCCCCCTCTGGGGGTCTTTTGGCGGGGTTTGCGTCGGAGGTCTTGCTGCGGTTGGTGTGGTCGCGGCGGTTGGTCCCACCGCGGCCCCCGCGCCTGGTTTTCGTGGTGGGTGTTAGGATTTGCGGAAATTATCGGCCGTCGGGTTAGGTCTCCTGTTCTGGTGGTGCTTGCCGGGTGGTCTGGTGTTGCCCGTGGGGTGTCGGCTCTCTGGATCATTGTAGGAAGGTACGTGGAAGCTGGTGGGCCTTGTGGTGGATGTGGTGCGCGAGTCTCCACGAATTTCCAGCCGCCTGGCCTCGGGTTGTCTTTCTGTTGGTGTCGTGTTCGCGTGTGTGTCGTCGGTCTTCAGCTTGTGCCGCGCAATCGGGGGCGGCCGTCGTTCGTTCGTGTGGTCGGTGTCTGGTGTGGTGGCTGCTTGCGGGGTTTCTGCCGCATTGGTTTCGCCGTCGCGTCGCTTGTCTTGTTTTATATAAGAAGAAGCCTGGGCCGCTTCGCTTCGGTGGCCTTGAAAATTAAAAAAATTTTAGCAGGCTTTTAGCGACTTAGGTTGGCCGGCGTGGTCTGGCTGAGTGGAGGAAAGCCCACAGCTGATAAAACCGACGAGAGCACAAAGACGCGGACTAGCTTTCACACTCCTGAAAGAATTCAGCCAAGACTTCACAGGAGGAGAGTTACGGGGCGACAGCTTGCCCAACAGTCTAGCTCCTGCTGCACTTTTCGATGCACAAAATGAGAAACACAGGGCACCACTGAGGACGTGGCTAGTCAACCAAACCGGCAGCGAGGACGCAGCAGAGATCCTAGACGCGGAGACTGATCCTGGAAAGGGAAGAAAAGCAATAAAGGCCGGAGTGGACGAAGTAGAATTCATGGAGCGAAGTGCACTCGGAAAGTGGGCAACAGAAGGAAAGAGGGGCGAGGTCATAGCCATCGTCGAGCATTTCAACTCTGATAGAGCGATAGACGAGGACAATGCAGAAGGGCGACTTCTAAAGATCGAGAGGCCACACTTTACCGAATAAATGAAAAACCGGACGCGCCCACGCTCAAAGATCATCGATCTAGACCAGTCGCGGCTACGGTACGTTTTAAAAGTACCGCTACACATGAAGAATGCGCTCAAGAAAGAGCTTAAGTCATGTTTTGATCAAGACCTCTTCGAGGAGATGGATAGCGGCATGGCCTTCGATGAAGAACGGAACCCCATAACGTCACGCGTGATTTTCGATCTGGAGCGAGTGTCAGACACCATGACGCAACTGAAGGCCAGGTGGGTCCCCGGTGGCCATCAACAACACAGAGGCAAGGGAAGGGGATAGCATGCGAGTCGCCTACGCCGGCCCACAGAAACAGAGGCGAGGCAGTGTCTTTCATTCGGGAGAAGATTTAAAAAGAGAAAGCTCGTGCCTGGGGATGTGCCTCGTGCATTCCTGAAGACTCTACGATGGGCGAGAGAAAAGCGGCCACGTACTCGATTTCCGTCAAACGTTCGCGCAGATGATTTCCTCGCGATGATGGCAGCTGAATTCGACCTCGGGGTAACGTCGATTCTGGTTCTAAACATTCCGTTTTTATATGGGACCAGAGTGAGAGGGCGCACTGGGATGGTGCAGAACTTTGGCGACTTTCTTGAAGTCGAACGGCTGGAGAAACTCGCAGTACGCGCCGGCAGTATATGTGAAGAAAGATAAGAAAAGCGGAAGGGTGCTCGGAATTATGTGCGCAAACGTGGGCGACCTCCTGACTCACGGAGAGGAGGGGCATGCTAATGAGGTGATGGAAATGCTAGCGAACAAATTCGAAGTAGAAACATGGGAGCGCGGAAAGTAAGTTCATACTCTGCGGCAGAGAGATAACAGACGAGGAGAAGAGAATCACGATAGACGCAGCTAGAAAGATGCAGACACTTACAGAATTCAGCTCTGAAGGTAAACAAGACGAGGACACACTGTCAGCAGCAGACGCGACACAACTGAAGTCCAAGCGTCTGGCGGTGCTATATATAAGTACGTGCCGGGTAGATGTACAGCTTGCGACCAGACTTGCATGTCTAGGACAAGACGCAGCAAAGAAGTATCGCGAAGCAAGAATGCCGAGCGAGATACTACGTAGATTAAAGTCCATGCCCGATGCAGGAGTAGCACTAGTAGTTGATCTGTCCTATGAGGGCGAGACGTTCATCATCCTGACAGACTCGTCGTGGCAGTATCTGGGGCCAAATGTCCTTGAGGGGAGTGACTTGGTAACAGAGAAGGAGGACGCCACGATCGTGGAGGGCGAACAAATCAAAACTGTTCATCAGATCCCGGGGGCCGAGCTCTGGAAACCCGAAGCAGAAGAATTGAAGACAAGGCTAGAGGAGTACGAATTCAGAACCACCAGCGGGACAAACACAAAGTTAAGTCTGCCCGAAATCCATCTCTATAGAAATCCCTCAAAAGTATTCCGCCACATATTTTACGTGATATTTTTTAAAGAGTAGGCAACTTGGTAGCGCCCAGGTTAGGTCCTGGAGTAGTATAGGCGTAGCAGCGTTTATGTTTTTCATTCGGGGCGTTAATGTTTCTACTGATCTGAGGCGTGAACCGGCGCGAAGGCTTTGGCGGGTTTGGTATTGGGGCGTGCCTTCTTTATGGATTGTAGAGGGCAGCGCAGTTGAATCAAAGGACAGCGTAGAGGGGTTCTGCCGGTGGGGTCGCGTAAGCGCCTGGAAGGCTTGCGACGCTACAGGCCTTGGGAGTGCGCCTCTGCGTCCGTGTGCGGTGACTGTGCGGCGGCTCTTGTGCTTGGGTCTGGGAATGGCGGAACCGTCTGCAAAGTGTGACGCCGCAGGCAGTCAGCGTCTGTCTCTCTGTTCTTGTGCAGGGTGGCGGTGCTCAGATCGTTTCCTTGTGTGGTTTCGGTTCACCTTGTCGCGTGGGTCTGTTTCGGGACGCGTTTCTGCGTCTGCTGTTCGCTGGTTTTGGCTGATTGTGAATTTGGGCGGCATGTGTCGGGGCTTGCTTCGTGGGGAGAGACACATGGGGGGCCCGCGTGAGTTGTTGTGCTGGGACTGGCCTCGCAGATCGCGGGCCGCTCGACCTTTCCAAAGATTGGGCTGTCTGCTGGTTCGTTTGTGTTGTGGGTAGTTGTAAGGCTTGGGCGCCGTTTGTGCGCCTTCTGCCGTGGGTTCTTTGGTGGTAATGGAGTGGGCGGCTTTTGCCGCCTTCGAATGTATCTGGGAGGGTAGTGCGCACCCGGGTGGGTATGCTGGGTGTCTTGTTTGTTTTGTTCTGCACTTCTCGCTTGGGTAGCGGCCACTTAGTTAAGTGGCTTGCGCTTGGTGTTCTTTGTGTCTGTGTGTTCAGGGGGTGGGCCCACCAGCGACCCTGGAGCCTCTGAATGTAGGAGAAAGCACAGGAGAAAGGGAGCGTGAAGCACCTGGGCCCAGGCCTCGGGCCACTTGGATCGCTTGCCGTGGCTTGGGCTTGGCTTGGCCTTTTTCTCGTGCTCGGAGCCTCTCAGGGCCACGGGGTGTGGACTAGTTCGGGGCTTTAATTGTGAACCGCAATCCAGGGCGAGCGTGAATCATCTGCGGAAACCTGGGTGAGGCTGAAGCAGCGACCCCTCCAGGGCCGTTCGGGATGCTCGCCCGCAATCTGGACTCTTTTGGGGTGGTGAGACGTAGGCCACTTCCCTGCTGAGGATAGGTGGCGTCCAAGTATCCACTGGGACGAAGATGGGTGAAGGCGCTCCAAAATCTTGCCGCCGGACGCGTTCGATGGTTTTTCTGATGGTGATAGCTAGTGCCCGCCTTTTCTGGAGGGGAAAAACTGGCGGACGCGTTCCGCTTTTTTCGCGCCACGGGTGGCAGGTGAGGTGGGTGGTGGCATGCAATGCAGGCAAAACTTGCGCCGTGGCGCGTGGTCCAAATCTTGTTGGGCTTTTGTCGTGTCGCCCGGGCTTTGCTTGGATTGTGGCAGGCAATCCGGCAACCAGCTGGACCACTCCGCGAAGCCGAGCGTTGCTCTGGATTGTGCCACGCCGTCCATGCCCGGCTTGGGTTGGGCTGCGTCATTCAGGTTAACTCTCGACCAGGCGTCGCGGCCTTGAGGAGGCGGGGGCGCTGGGGAGTCACGTGTGCCGCGTGTTTGTTCACCCGCTTGCCATTCCATCGGGACAGCTGTGCGGCTCGGGCTTTTTCTCTTCTGATGCAGGGAGATGGCTCGCAGTTTTTCAGTCAGTTGGCTTGTGTTGCATTGTTCCGCTGCTAAGGCGCTGCGCTGCTTCCGCGTGGTGCAGAGCTTGGGCGGCTCATGCCCCCGCTGGTCGACGGCTGCCTTGTTTTCGTGGTTTCAGGTTTGAACGGGGTTAGTCTGGGAGGCTATTTTCTTCGTGGTCTCTGGATGTGGAGTTTTTTGGGGGGGGGTAGTCTGCTTTTGCCTTCGTATCGGTTCATGGATTTGCGTGTTTTGGTCTGGTTCCAAGGATCGGGTCGTGCCTTGGGGTTTGGTGAAATGCTTCGCAGCTATAGTCTGGAGCTTTGCAAGCGTGTAGTGATGCCCGGGCGCTGCGTGGGACAGATCACATTGGAGAAGCGCATCCAAGAAACACTGCTTTAGATATTTTCAAAGGTGTTCCACTATCGGTCATTAGACTCCTGGCTGAGGATGGTGCACGTGGACTTCTTTGAGGATGACTAGCGACGATTGGGGGCTGTGGGCTACCTATCTGGAACTTTCTCGTGCATGTGATGTCTGACTGTTGGCCATGCTTGTAAGTGTGAGAATGGAACACGGCTCGCATGCTTTAAATTTTTGACTTACCACAGTCGGAGATAATTCTGTAGAGGCTTACAGCAAGAGGGCGCTCTACTGAGGAATGCGCGTAGTGCTTTTCTGGTTACTTTTTACCGGGCACACGGTGGTGTCGTGGCAGCAGCTTCTGAGAAATTGACGAGAGACGCTGAAATATGAGAGAAGTAGGCAGTTGCGAAAAAATGAAAGATGCATCCAATGAGAGGAAAAGGCAGCAAAAACGGACGGACTCAAATAGGGCCTTGTATGATTAAAATGGTCAAAACTGGAAGCATTCGCTTGCGTTGGGCTTTTCCATTTCGAAACTTGTTCACTCGCCAAGCTTTCATCTCAATGGCCGCGCATTCATGGCGACTGGAATAGCTTCAATACTCACTAGGGCGTAACTGTGGTGAGTGTTCAGAATCAACATCAAGAAAACATGAGTGATGCTGCTCTTGGAGGTTTCGACGAGGTCGATGACATCATCGGCGCTGCCGTCGGACGTGGGTCTGCTTTCACGTCAGAGGAAATAGACAAAATGAGTAGCCGGCATCAGGCGAGTCTACAAGGCCCGCAAGGAGGGCCTGTCGCAAAGGCGATGCACCAGCTCAAGGACAGCGTCACGCAGAAGTCCTTCGAAGTCGCGATGGACAAAGTTCGCCCGGTATATGTTTCAACTTGTGTCGTAACTTCGAGCTTTCTTGTGGAATCTTCAGTGATTTTCTACCGAAGCAAGCGTAGGCTTCTTTGAGTATTATTCTTCATGCAATTCCCTCTGCACGACTATGAGCCACATTGCAAAAAGATCGCTGTTAAGCGGGTTCTTCTCTCTTCTTCATTCTTGCGCATAGTAGCAAAAGTTCTTCGCGCTTTACTGTATCGAATCCCTCAACCTCAGCCGCCGGCGCTCAACTTACTGGCTACTTCAAACGGGTGAAAAGCGATTTGCGTGAAGGTCGCGACAGGTTTTCCGAAGACGGCCCATTTAGGTCAGTTCCCCAAGTGCACTTACGATCTGCTCACTTTGATCCAGATGCTGGGATCATTACAGAAGAACACGAAAGAGCAGACCCTGCTGAAGGTACTAGCGGGCTTATCTTCAAAGAAATGAGACGAAGAAGTGGATGGTAGTAGAGACATTGAGGCCACCTTGTTTGTAAGAAACAGCTCCAGAAGCAACACGAATCATCATCGCCTTTCTCTTTTGAATAATACTCCCAATGCCCACACCTCAGTGCAAAAAAGTCCTGGAAGACCTGGAGAACGCAAGCGAGTACTCTTGTTGCCGATATTTGATGGGCATGGTTTACCTCGAGGACGATCCAGGACTGAGTGCGAAGGATATGGATCGCATGTGGAGCAACTTCTTGTTGCAGTTTCCATTTCCTGCTCATTTCCAAGCGATGAATAATTTCCAGAATGTGTCGCCAGGAGATCACCGCGGTTGCGATGTTGAAGCCAGGCTTGAGGCACTTATTGATGGCGGAGAAGAGATTCCAAAAAATCTAAAGAAATGGGAACAGAAGCGACGTGGCTCGGCAGAACCACCGGCGACGGGGTCAGCAGCGTCACTGTTGCAGCTGCGTGGTAATTTATCTTTCAAAGAACTTGCTGAAGGACTTTCTTCTTTCAAACGATGTTCCTTCTCATCAGATATAAACCCTCTAACAGATGGATCAGTTCACAGCGGAAGCTCTAGCAGCGTGGCGGGGACGCCAGCGCACGGCGCTGGTTCCAGAGGAGATGCACGCGCAGCAGCGCGTGCCCCAGCTAATAACGTTGGGGCATCTCGTGTGCGGTCTTATCTCCGCTCGGCTGCGCCAGTTCGTGCTGCTCCAGCGTCGTCGCATTTTCACCAGGAGCTTGACATGTATGAAGATGCAGCTCCACGCCACGCTGGCCGAGCTATATCAACGAGCTCTTCGTCTGTATCAGCGAGCTCTTCGTCTCGCATTGCGCCGCAACTGAATGACAACGCTAAGGACTTGCAAACTCAAGAGCTTCAGAAACAGCTGAAGGAGCTGCGGAGCGCTGTTTTTGAGTCTAGACCTTCCCATCCAGGTCGACGTGATCCGCACTGCGCGAGTACAACTGGCATGGCCATCAGAAGTATACTTTCTCTGATTCATCTACGTTTCTTATAAGCTTGCTTCACTTCTTGAAACATCTCATCTTGATGCCCTTTGATCATCATCCTAGCCACATTCTAGGTCTTCCGCAGCAGTCTCTCGCGCCTCAAAAACGTTCCCGCACTTTCACCACGAGCATCGGAGATCTGAACTCGGACTCAGAGCACTTGACTCCGTCGTCGCAGTTGAAGAGGCCACGGAGGGCCCATTCCCAACGCGGACCGGCTGCGCGTGGTCTTGATGAACTACATGCTCACGCGTCAGTGCCGGCGGATCACGTGGGTACTTCTCGTTTTAGACAAGTTCTTACTTTTTGCGTTTTTGATGAACATCTCGTACAGTTCGTCGTAGTTTTAGAATCTTTAGATTTTTATGATTCTCCATCTGCACACAGGAGCATCCGGCTACAGAGTGAATATGGGCAATGCGCAGTCGAACATGCGTGACGTGATGCAGCAAGCATATGATCGCGCTCGTCGTGAAATTCCCGATTACGATGCGGTCATGGCCAACATCGGAGGCTCTGGGCGAGAGCGTCTACCGCCACGCGAGATAGATCCACGCGTTCTATCTTACAGCAAGGGTGCGCTCCTTAGTAGCGGACACGGAGACTCGCAAGATCGTGAAGGCCGCGGTCCTCCTCCTCCGTCTGCTGCACGATCATCAGCGCGTCCATCTCGACCGAGTGGCAACATTTTTACCCCTGGAACTCTGATGTGTAAAGCGGCTTCGCAGCTCAGCGGCGACAGTCTCTCTCCTCCGGAACAGCCTGTTTTCGGACATGCGCATGCTCCTGAGCGCTCTGAGGCGTCGCAGATGCAGACGAGTGTGCAGAAACACGCCGAAGTGTCTTCATCCTCTAGCTCATCTTCGTTCAACCTTGTGCCCCACGTGGGATCTCAAGGCGGCGCTGTGACTTCCGATCGACGTTGGAATCGTTTTGGTTACGCAGCCCAGGAGGTGACGCGCCTATTGGACCAGAAGGGTTTGAACTCGCAGTCGTCGTCGCCACGTGAGGACGCAGTGGGGAAGAACAACACCGTGGACGACCTTGCCGCGCACTACCATCGAGACGAGGAGCTGCGTACTCCTGTGGGGGAGTATCAGGACGGCGGCTTTGTGGATTTCAACGTCGCGAACGAGTTTGCTCCGAACGACGCTGCGGGAGAAGCTCTAGGTGTCCATGGTCATGGTGGTGCCAGTGGCGGAGAGATGATGCCGGATTCGCAGCAACAGGAGCAGGATCAGGACAATCCGTTCTTCGCGGACTGAGAAAGCTCTCTCACTCTATGAGAGAGTTTGAGGCATTTCATGGGCAGGAGGACGCCAGGGCCGGAGTAGTGCAACTCATGTTTTCAGGTGTGGGGCTCATCTTCAACTCGATCGCTTGCTTTTCCAAATCATGGTGTATCCTCATCGTCGAATCTTGAAGTAATACGCTAGCGATGACTTGTTTTTTTGAAGGATTATCCATGTCAAGAGATTGGTGCTGAAGTAGGCTCAGTTCTTTTTTAGGTGAGCTGTCTGGGGTAATCTGCAAGACGAGCTTTTCCCACTTCTCGTAGTTTTTTTTTCGCTGCAAAAGCGCATAGACACACTCTATTGGGCCGCCAATAGTGTACAGATGCAGAACGAGCTGGATGCCACAGGCTTCACCTAATAAAAGAACGAAATATAAAGAAATATCTATCACTTTGGGGGATTGCGGTGCTTCTTCTTTCGCAGTGTTTCTGAACTTAGTAGAGACTTCGAACCATCAAAGAAGCACATAAACACTTCGCTCCAAATGGTATTCCTAATTACTATTGGAAATTTCTCCTGCAGGTTCCTGGTAGATGGCATTTACCTCAGACATCATTACTCCACCCGTTTATCAAGAGAACTCACCTGCTCGGTAAATTAGTCGTCTTTCTTTCGTTTCCATTCTTATCCTTGGATGACTTCTGAATGATGTGAAACATGGCTGCTCTTGCTGTGGATCCGGCGCCGCCGCCTGTTGTGGTGGTGTTGGATGATGATGAAGAAGTTCCATGGAAGTATGTCTACCATGAGGAGAATCCGATGGCACTTGCTTTTGAGGTTTTTGGAGCTTCTGCTTCTGGGAAGCCAATTGTCACGACGGCCATGAATCTGTACGTCCTCGGTGCTCCGTTGAACATGATAGAACATCTGTGGAGCGCGGCAAAGCAGCATCCGGCTTTTTTCGATAACGCTTCCAACTTCAACTTCGGAAAACTGCGAGGCACGGCCTCTGATCTTGTTGCTGAATGCTCCAGCAAGTGCAACAGCCTGAACGGTGACCACTACTACCTGCGTTCGACTTTGGCGCGCAGTAGGGCGCTCGAAGGTCTGTCTTTTCTCAATCGTAGCGAACAAGGAAAAGAGGAACTCGGTAGGGATCAGATGTCCCTCAATCTGCTGCTTCGAATTTTCCCGATCCGCGTGCAGAATGTGACGAAGAGTCGCCGAACATCAGGAGTTCGTGATCCGGAGGGTCTTGCGAATATCTTAATCTTCGCAACGATGTTGCTCGACGTTTTTGATGATGCTCGTGTTGCAGCCAATCTTGCCCGGGATGTGTTGACTGATGTGGGGGCTACAAATAGCCGCGCTATCGAGGATCGTATCAACGCAGGCGAAGTGGCCATGTTTCCGGGTACTACCTTCAATCGCGAAGTCTCTTTGAGTGAGATTAATCTGGAGCAGAAGATCTCTCAGCATCTTTTAGACCTTGGGCTAGGGTTTCTCTGAAAACTCAAAGTCTTTGGTGGATAAGGGTGCAACTTGCTCGCTGAGTCTTCTCAGACTAATCTCCTCTGGTTTATCTCTACTGTAGTGCTCTATTAACTAAGAAGTCTTCTTAGTCTCTTTGAAGAAAGTAGTGGAGGTTCCTACCTGCTAGAATATTCCAAAATAATTTAGATTTTTTAGAAAATTTAGACTTTTTGTATTTGAACCTCATAAAATCAAAACTTTATGCTCATATGCGTACGTATGCGTGCGTATGCATATGTATGGATAGGTAAGGTTGAATACTCTTCCTTATTTATAGTTGCGTGCTCTTGTGACATATTGAGCGAAATACCCTGTAGCTCTTCTAGGATAATTTTGAGCACTCATATTGCGTAAGATATCGCACGGAAGTGACGAGCTGCAGTCTGCGTATGCTCATCTATGCGCATATATGGGCGACCACCCGCTGCGCGTTTGATCTCTTATCTAACAATCTACTTCTATTTCTCTAAAGTTTTTACTAGTTCATAAAATTTAGATTATTTAGAACTCTCAACTTTTAAGAACACTCCAGATTTTCACACGATCGGAGCTTGTACCGCAAAGAAGTATCTGGCGTTAGTGATACAACATGGGTCGGAGGTCTTATTAGATAAGACCGCGCGGCTTTTGCGGAGATGTTACGCGAAGACTATTTCAACGGAGGCAACACAACTTGGAGCAGGTGCAATGTTACATTTTGATCCTTATCGCAGATTGAGAATCAAGCATGAGACTTCGCGGAGGCATAGCCACAGCTTCATGATCTTTCATACACTCGAGGAAGTTCTTCTCTGACATATTTGAGATAACAAGCTTCATCAAGAACTTCCATAACCTCACCCTCTACGCCAGGTTGGGCGCGCAAGCGAGCGGAAGTAAGCGCTCGAGGCGTGGAGATCATTCATGATCCTGCATCGGCGCCGGTGGGGCATCCTTTAGGGAGTTTCGCGAGCAAGATTGCGACTCTGCGAACCAGAGACGAGCTCGACTCGAATACTCAGCGTGCGAAAATCCATCTAGTCTGGGGCCACATCATCTCCCTATTAACTCTAAAAGTTCGCGACCGGCGCCTGGTAGAACAGCTGAAGAAGAAGCCGACTGGGCTGAAAGGCGACGGGGTAACGATAAAGGGTCGCAAGTATGAGTGCTGCCGTGTGCGAGGCGACTTCTATCATGAAGGGATCTATCAGACGCTCACTCTGCCTCCGTTCTTGGTGCCCCAGTTTAGCGACAAGGATATGGATGAAGTATTGCAGTCGGAGGTTCGTCTTCGTCGAGACAAGAAGTCGAAGGATGACTTCGTGCTGAATTGTGAGCAGGCTGCTGTGTGTGAGCGGGTTTCGGCGTTAATTTCACCTGTGCCGCTTATTTTTCAGCGACCGGCGCACATCACCGGCGATCGCGGAAGTACACAGCGCGGATTTTATCAGTGGGCGACGCTCGAGGCGTGCCTTCCCGTCTTCTACAACCTTGACGTACATCACATCTCTTCGAACGATATCAAGCATCTGGCTCAGCTAATCCTTCCGCGGGATTTTCACCGATTCCCGAAAATCAGAAGCACTGCCGGTGGGTCGCAATCTGTGAAACTCGCTGACTATCTGAATCGCTTCCACCAGCTTCCTGATAGCGACGTGATGGATTTGACTGCAGAAGTGCAGGCAGACCTCTTGCACGTTTTAGGATACACTCCGGACCAGACTGAATATGCCGCGCGTGCGAAGGATCACGCGTATACACTAGTGCCGAAGATTTCGACTATGTGTCAGCAGAAGCGGTTCGCAAAGGACGCATTTTGTGCAGATTTTGTGGGAGAATACTGGGAGTTGTTGCTAGTAGCTGTAGTAGCATGCTTGCGAAAGAGGAACTCGCGGCTCTTCAATGTTCCTCTGAAGGAGGTGTTGACGAGGCCGAATGGAGGCGACCACGTCACCGCTTCCTTCCCGGTGTCGCAGATGAACCTCATGTACATGCGACTTGATGAAGAGGACGCCGCTGATGCGCAGGAGGAGATGGGTGCTTTGAGCTAAATACTTCATAGGCTTAGAAACGTAAACTAATTTTTTACTTGCTTTCTCTGTTATGAAGTATCCTAGTATCTTCAAGTCGCAAGCGTCTTTGTGTCACTTTGTTGCAGTTTTCGTCGGTGTTTGTCATCGTCTCTCCTTCTATTTTCACTGAGGGAGGAGCTTTTTGTGGAAATTATTTTCGTAGGAAAAATGGAACCAAGTCAAGCGTCACTTTCTTGGGATCGTAACTACCCCGCCACTTTTCCAGATATGTACGTGCAAGATGCTGACCGGAGTGACGAACTGGCACAGGAGAAAGAAGACGATGCTGAGAGAAACGCAGCTACCCGCGCCCGGATCGGCTTGAAACAGAACAAATCTTTGGAAAATGTCGCAAAGGATGGCAGCTTTTTAGCTGGGTCGAAGCACCGCGTCCGGGCGGCGCAGCGCGCTACAACCGCGACTCACCGTGGGGCGTCAGATGACAGAGAGTCTGTGCGCGCAGTCGCGCGGCCAAGCGAGATGGTAATCGATCAGGCCCTCTTGTGCGTGATGTGCCGGCTTTTGAGCGAGCCGTTTTCCAAGCTTTCCGTACTGGTTTTTCGCCATTGCATACGGCCGAATGTCTGGCTTCACACTCTCGGGATCACGATGTGTTGGCGAAATTTTTGCGCGCGGAAGGGTTTTTTTGCGGAGCATTATTGTTGCTTGTGCGAGCAGGGGCACCTTTTGCATGACAAGGTTCCTCGAAGAATCTTGCAGGTCGAGTGTGACTATTTTCCCGGCACCGAGGTCGTAGCGGAATTGATGGGGACCTTCGTCGAAGAGGTAAGTGCTGACGCTGTTTCTTCTTGTGGTGCGCCGGCTTGTCTTAACTTCATCTTCGACGAAAGTTGGCGCTGTTATGAGCAGGCTATTCTCCAGAGAAAAAGCAAGACTTTAGTGATTCTCACAGAAGACCTCTACTGATTCTCACCTTGATGCTACTCCCCTCGAGAATTTCTGGCTCTTGATGATATACCCATACTCTTTCTTTTACCTACACAACCTCAGCAACTCGCGACCAGCTTGAGGACTGGCAGAGTGGCAATGTCGTTGTGGTATCGGCCTCTCATGTACGCTGAGGATGGCGTTTGGAATTGCACGCTTAGCGAACTACGGGAGCAAGCAAAGCTGAAGAACCTCGGCCCTAGCGTTGATTGGATCCTCTCCGAACCTCTACACTTCGTCTCGAGTGAGGAGCACAATCTAGTGCTGTACGGGAAGCAGCGTTTTCGGTATGCGCACAACATTTTACCTCAGACCAGCCTTCATCTGGCGGGTCCTCATCCAGCTGAACTACCTCGTCCGGATGTAGCAGAGATGCCGTCTGGCATGTTTACGAGTATGAACACGCAGCCCGTCGTCTCTATCGTCGAGTTTGAAGATACCCTCGCGCAACGCATCAAAGAAGCTCGCCTACAAATATCGCAGCAGGCGCGTGACGTTGTTTTCTACCTCATGAAGATCTACAACTCACACATCGTGCGGGAAATGCGTGAGAAGCTGGACGCGGGAAAATCGAAGGAGTTCGTGGAGACCATGACGGCGTGGCAAGCTGTCAACCCTCTGGGAGACAGAGACACTGAGGCAAAGTTTGCCGACCTTTCCCGCGCCGCAAAGAATGCGAATAACAGCGGATACCTCAAAGGGGTACTATATTACGCTTATATCTTTGCGGTATATATTTCCTCTGAAGCTCTTTGAGTGTCTCACTCTTTAAGCGATGACTATTGGTAGGGCTTGTCTCTTCGTGGATTGGGCGTAGAGTGCGTGGCCATCGATGGCTCTGAGTAGGCTAGTCTCTGTCTTGTGTCTATTCTTAGCAGATTCATAACAATGGAGTCCTTGAATTTTTTGGAGTCATGTTCCTCAGCTAGAGCGTGAGCTTGTTAAAATTGTCACCATAACACGACCTGAACTCTCACCGCAGCAGCACTTTCCGTGGCATGTCGCGGAGAGCCTCGCTCCGACGTGGTTGCCATTTCTATCGCCGGAGATGAGCGCTAAAAAGCCTCGAAACGTCGGCACCTCTCAGTCTTTTAGCGTTCTAGATGGACGCGAACCGGCCGCCAGGTACGGCTGCGCGAATTACGAGGAGCTGAAGCAGAAGATTTGGCCAGAAGGGTTAGACTTCGAGATCAATACCATCGGACTACACGCGATGAGTAGCGTTTTTTGCTGGTGGGAGCTGTATGGCATCAAAGACATTCCTGCAGAGGAGAATCCAGTGGAGCACTTGAAAAACTGGCTGAAGAAACACCCAAAGCCGAAGCTAGAAGAAGTCCGCGAGGAAATCCAAAGAACCTGCGCAGTGCAAGGGACAGACCACACGCTTACCCTCGAGCAGAAGAAGAGCCTGGCGAGCTTCGTCTGCAATATCCAGAACGTTCCGTCCATTTTGGTGGCTGAGTTCATCATCTATGAACAAATCGAATTTCTCAAGCAGGACACAGTTGATGCGCAGTTATTGTGGCAAGGTGGCGAACTTGTTTGCATTTGGTTGCTCGGCATTCATCAACAGTTCCGAAAGATGAAGCGGCCTCTCATCGTTCGCACCTGTGGACACGGTAAGCTGAGCGCTTTTCTGGTAGTGGAGGTATTAGTGAAGCTGCGGGTTCTCGTCTGCATTGAGCTGGATTTCATCGAGTTCGTCGTGGAACGAATCAAGAGCGTCAAGGAGACCTCCATTGATGTGGACGAGGATGAAGGAGAAATTGACGAGGACGCAATGGACATTTGTGAGGATGGTCCAAAAGATAAGCCTGCTGAAGCGAAAGAACGAAGTCGAGCCCTCTCTGGTATTTATATCTTTGCAGTCTTACTCTTGTGATTTACTTGCCTGACAGTACAGACCCCACTACTTTCATCATACACGCCGCACCTCGCGCAGCATACTAAGCACAAAGCTTCAAACGTGACGACCGTATACCTCACCGCCCAACACTTTACAGCCCGTCCGCTGGGCAAAGGAATTGACGCACCAGTTCCAGGAATTGACGTGCCGATGGAAGAGGCCCGCTTCTTCACAGTTCCGTCTGGTCGTGACTGCTACCGGTTTCCATTCCCGATCAAAAGTGGACGCGCGCAGGAGTCAAAGCTGAAGGGCTTGTTGGTTTTAAGCGACAAGATCATCCACCCGTCCGGGCCAAATTTCGGCAGTCTGGAAATTGTGTACGATGCGCGGTGGGTGACGGGGCCAGCGGACTGTGTTTGCGTTGATCAACGGGACGCGCATAACTGTCAGCCAGTTGCGCTTGCAGAGCGATTTGGGTTTTTCGATGAACAGAACAAGTTTGCAGACGGGCATCGTTCGAATAGAAAGAAACAGTACATCGACTGCTGTTACTTGGTTGCGCGGGAGTTCCCAGTGCTCGTCAATCTTCTTCGTGGTAGAAGCTGGAAGGTGACGCGGGACCATCTAATACACGAGCCAATAGTTGTGGATGAGGATGCACCAGCAGAAGTCAGAAATGAGGCACAGAACGGCGACCAGGCATCAGCGAACAATCTGCACCCGGCTGCGGGGCTCCTTGGAGGTGCTACGTCGAGTAGCAGTAACCAGCACCCCGATCTGTTTGAGGAACGACTGCTACCCCGTGAAGGTGAGGCTGTGCAGATGAGTAAAACGTCTCGGGAGCAGGCTGAGGCGGTGCCTGCGCAAACATCTAGTAGTTCCACAGGCAAGGGCATTCCCGTGCAAGAGCCCCCGCTCATTCTGAGTGAGGACCTGGACGACGTGTTTGAGGACGAGATGGAAGCAGACTTGTTTGGTTTCGTTACTGAGAACACGCCTGCACATGATGCCGCTGTAGATGCTGCGGCGGATCCTCTTCAGCCCGGTTTGGAGGACGAGCCGATGCCACAGGCCGCTGAGCCGGCGCTGGTTCCTGAGCTATCTAGTGCTGAGACTGAAGTGAAGCTATTTGAGTCGTATGCCGAGCTCTTCCCGAAGCTTCAGCTGACTTTGAGGCAATGGGTGGAAGTTTGGTTTATAATGCGCAGAGGCATCGCGGAAGCGGAGGGTTATTTGCTGAAGAAAGACTTTTTCGAGAAGAAACAGGTGAAAGTTGGCGACGAAGTGCAAGAAATGCCAGTATCGACGCTCGAGACGACAGCGGCCAGAGCAGTGCTGCTGTTGAAAGAAGCAGATGCAACGCGAAGGCGCGCGGCTGCAGTGGTGAGAAACCTGCAGGAAGGCAACCTGACGCAGACAAGAGGCGCTGCGCAAATGCAACCACAACCAAAAGCAAACCGCTTTGGGAAGCTAGTCGATAAAGTTGCAGATGGTGGAGCAAGTGCTTTGGCTACGAGCGTGGGAGCAGTGCGGGAAATCGGCGGCAGAAGGCAGCAGCGGCAGCAGGGACTGGCGTCTATCTTCTTTTCGCTCTGTTGTAGTTCAGTATGTGGCTCACATCGTTGTGAATCTAAAAGAGTCTGCTGTGCCATTCTTTAGGGGGTCCCGCATGAAGCTGCCTCACCTTCTCCTCAGGTAAATGAGCAGGCAGAAGACGCAGATGCGAACGCAGAACAAGAAGGTGGACACGTTTTCCGCCTTGCGGAGCCGTACATGGAGCCTGGTGCAGTAATTCAGGCGGAGGCGGTACTGCGGCAATTCTACAACTCGGGGAAGAGTAGCTAGGGAGCTTCTGAACAAATCGAAACTGAAACTCCATCGGAAGAATGCAGACCTAGTGAAACTACATGCAGGGGAGCAAGGGAAACGCTACCCAATCTACTGCCTATCGTGTCATAAGCAGCTGTGAGTCATGTGGATTCTTTGGATCACAAGCAATGGCCCAGCGGTGTTCTACAAGGCAACGGGGGAAACCGCAGTGCACAGTAAAGCACTGGGACCAGATTCGCATGTGCTCGTTACTCAGGGAACGGCGTACTTCAGCTGTCGATGTGGCGTTTGGCGGCAGGGAGAACTCTACTGCGCAGAAATTGGCGACGAGCAACCTGATATGGGCCGGCTTTGGGCTTGTGCTGTCTATCAAGTTCAGCACGCGCTGATGAAGGAGACTAACCCGTGCCAGAACGCCTGTAATCCTATTGATGTGAAAACCATGAAGAAGGTGCCTCGAAGTCGCACATTTACAGCGCGGCAAAGAAATGAAGACTAGCATACTTTGACGCCACACACTAGCGCAGTTTTTTTAAATGTTTATGCGCATGCATTTTGCTGGTTTTGCAGTTATTTTTTATCCTCAGTTTCTTACGACATCTTCATACTTAGCATTCATGTAGCTACTACAAACTCCGACTTATCTCTTCTGAACAGTAGCGAACTTCTTGGGAGTACATCAATTTTTCGAACAGTTTCCACCTCGCTCTTCTTTGGCACATTTTGCGGATATTCACACGATCACACAACGCCATAGTTACACTGAAAGACAGGGCGGCTAGCTCTAATCTGTATGATGCCCGTTGTAGACTACACGCGACACGTTTTTACATGAAACCCATCGAGACTTATAGACAGTGAACATTTTGAATAATTACATAGCGAGGCTTTTTACTCAAGGTTCTAGATTAGGGTAAGTAGTCGGAAGTGCTGCCCCGAAGGTTTGCTGCAATTTCTATAGGCGTGTGTTTCTCATCGGTAGCAAGTATCGGGTGCGCGCTGTTTGGAATCTGTGGTCGCTCTGTAGGCATCAGTATGCGTGCATGTATCTGAGGAATCAAAAGAGTGAAGATCCTTCTAGCCTAACACGATCAGCACAAGTCGAAGAAATTGCGATCCGTTTCTATGCCTCAAAGCAATGCTTTCCCCCGTAGCGGAGCCCGCAGATCTGCCCTTATTTGCTTATAGAATACTAAGTAAAATACTTTTGAGGGATTTCTACAGGGATGAATAGTGCATAGCTTTAACAAAGCTCAGGAGTGGAGCTAACTTCGAAGATAGCAACAAAAACTGGAAAGACCCAGAAAACCAGATCGGAACTGATGCGAAATGGGTAGGAGTAACAACTTTTACAAAGAAGGAAGTAAAGAAACAAGAAGGGCGCAAAAAGGTGGAACTGGTAAGATACACGACAGCCAAGTCCGCGACTTCCAAGAAGCGCAAGAGACTCGAGGAACAGAAAAGGAAGTATAATACCATCGAACAATATACGATAGCGAAGGGAGACGCGAAGGAGGAAGCCAAGAAACTGAGACCGATTCTCGGGCTGGTGCTTCTATCCGTGTCACAGGCTGACTTAGAGGAAGCGGCTAGGGGCACCATGGAGGTAAACAAGAGAGGACTCGACACGAACGAACAAACAATGAGGTGCTCAATACTCTACTCAGATGTCACATTCAGCGACACAGTAACGGCCTCCTCATACGAAGGCGAACTTCTGGCGCCCAGGGAATTTATAGACGTAGGACTTGCACACGCTGCGAAAGTAGAGGCATGGACGGGCACAGCCGAGGATCTGAGTCTGGTCACGGACTCAAAATCGCTTACCGCACGGCTTAGGTCGAAGGTTGCAACTGACGCGCAGGATGCTAGGGTCTATAGGCCGCTCGCTCTACTGCAAAATTTGCACTCTCGTGGTCTATTCGAGATCGGGGGAGTGGGAGACGAATATAACCTCGCAGACGCACTTACAAAGGTGCCGGCCGGCAAAAAGCTCCAACAGCTCTACCGGGCAATGCAAGGCGGGGGATGGACTTTCGCAAGGGGTGGGATCGCTTTACTCAGAAGACGTTTCGTATGGGAGCTTCCGCTGTCGTCAGACCAGAAGGAGTTATCTTGATGAGGATGGCAAGGAACGGAGAGACTTGGTTCTTTACTTACGAGTTTAGTCTGAACTTTTTGGAAGCCTCCCGGGTAATGAGGATAAACTGCGCCCTGCCACAGGAGGAGGTGGCACACCCCCAGAGCCTGGAGGGCGGGGGGTGGCGTGTGGCTTAGGGGTAGCCTTGGCACGCAGAAGGAAGTGAAGGGGCAAAGAGATGGGGGCAGGAGCTGTCGCGGGCCGCGTGTCCGTGCGCGCCATCGCAGGACTGAAAACGCCATCAACAACTGGGCGTGGCAAGTAGATTGCTGCGAGCTCTGCCGAGGAGGAGACAGGGACGGCTGCCCATCTGGGGCCTGCTTCAAAGTGCAAAACGACAATGGTGCAAAAGGTGCAAATGGATAGTAGTGCAAATAGTGAAAGTGCACAGTGGTGCAAATTGTGCAAGGGAACAGTAGTGCAAATGGTGCGAGCGAACAGTAGTGCAAATGGCGCAAACAGAAAGCGCAAGTAGCACGAGCGCCAGCTGTGCAAGCAATCCCCAGGGCCCTCAGGCGAACAACCTCGCTGGGGAAGCCTGAAGGGAAAAAAAAGAAGGGCATGTGACTGAGAAGATCGCAACTTCAAAAAGCAAATAAGTGAAGTGAGTCTGCTTGTTCTCGATGCAGTGCAAACGCAGTGCTAATAAAGTCGTGTAACGGAGTCTCGTTTTGCGCGGCTTGACAAGAAAAAAGGTCGCTCGGCGATCTCTGAGAAGAGAAGCAACTTGGGTGACGTAGTCTAGTGCTGATCAGAAAAAAAGAACTCGCTCTCACTGATGTTGAAGAAGATAGTCGGCTTAGTCAGAAGAGGACCCCTAAGAAGAAAAGAAGTCTGACTGACCAACCTAATAAACTGGCGCCGATCGGAAAAAAAGATCACTATTGGTGCTGAAGTGAAGAAGATGGTGCGTGGTAAGGAATTCTGTATGGAAGTAGTAGTAGCAGTAGTAGTTTTTAGCTCTAACCTGGTGCCAATGATAACAAGAAAATAAAAGATGGCGAGCGTTCTTAGGGGAGAGAAAAGACCAACAAGAGAAAAGCAAGACGATTCAGAATGAAGGCGTCTTGAACTGTGCTCGTTGTGCTATGTGAAGAAACGGACTCAGTGCTGGCGTGGTGCACACGGTGCAGGTAATTAATCTATTTAGCGAGAAGGTGGCGTTTGGTTTTTCAATTATTTCCTAATTACATAGAAACTCAGTGGTGCTCTCTAGGGAGGAAATAGGGCGTAGAGAAGGGACAAAAAGGGGGAAACGCAGGTGCAGGCTGGAGGCCAAATATAAAGAAAAGGGGAAACGGGTGCTGCAAGTGCAAGTGCAGGCTGAAGGCCTTTTATAGGGAAAGAAGTGAAACAGGTGCAGGCTGAAGGCCTTAACGTAGGGAATAGGGGAAAGTGGTAGGCCTTTGGAAAAAGGGGAAAGTAGACGCAAGCTGAATGAAGGATCTACTAGGGGGGAATAGGTGTGGGGCGTGAGACCCCGTGACTGCTCTGAGGGTAGTACTGGGGTCATGCAGGAGTGTGCCCCTTTTGGGCCCGGGCAAGGAAAAGACCCAGTAGGGCTTGGGTGGCTTGTGGGCATTGGGAGTCCATTTCGGTTGACCGAAGGCCCCGCTGAGGTGTCGGCGGGCAAGGGTTAGGGGAGCTGAAGGGGGAGGGGATAGCGCAGAGGGTGTGGGGGCCTCCTGGGGTTCCTGCAGAGGGAGACCTGTGAAGAAAAGTGTTGAACTGAAGGAAGGCAGGGCGCTTCTGAATAGTATTAATATTAATTAAAAACCCTCTAGGTTTTTCTTCCGATTTTTAGGCCTCGTTTGAAAAGGAGAAAAAAGGAGAAAACGAAAACCAAGAAAGCAGAAAAGAAGGCGCAGAAGAGGTATGCTAGATTTAGATACAGTGCTGCAAAAGTATTATGGTGCATCTTCATTCCTAGGAGGAAAAAGAGTAGACTGAGTGTTGAGTGTTCGTGTTCTTGATTCATATGGCCCTCGTGCTCTGCGAGCTTGGGCAAGTAGTGTGCCTGCTCGATGAAGCTGGATGATGATGAATGACGCTAGTGCTCTGCTGAAGATGATGAAAGGATAAAAGCCCACAAACATGAAAAAGGTACGCCGCTGAGCAAGTTAGCCTCCCTGTAAGTGGAGAGCGTTGGAGGATAGTCAACGGAAAGAGAAAAGAAAAGGAGGACGGGGAAGCGAACGCACCACAAAGCAAGGAAAAAGAAAACGAACAAGGTAACTAAGTGCTTATTGGAACATAGGGAAGCGACTAGAGCAGTGCAAGTGTTTAAGTATAACGCTAAACGCTTTCACAAAAAGCCTGAGCAAAGGAGTTAGATTGAATATCGAAAAAGTTGATGAGGAAGCAGGACTAAAAAACACAACAGCGCCGGGGCTGAACATGTTGAGGGTGTCCGACCTACTAGAAGGAGGCGTAAGCAGGTGGGCCGCGAGAGGTTGTGTCGAGGTGACGGACTCAGACCTCGAAGGGGTAGGAGGAATCACCGCAATAGAGGCGGAGACCCATGCATTCTATAAGGATGTCAAGGAGGTGAGGAAGATAGGCCTTGCGAATGGCAGGAGCAGAAAGCTAGGCCGGATCTCTATGGAACTGGCAGAGGTAGAGGCGCCCGCGGTGGTGCATAGGGCAGCAGAGTGGATGTGTCAAGTCGCAGGACTGAGAGGTCCATGCGCGGCCGTCCTCAATTTGTTCAGAGGAAAAGGAGACAAGATAGGGTGGCATAAGGACACATTTGGCGCCGCCACGCACGCCATAGTTCTCAGCATCGGCAGTGGAGAATTCCACTGGGAAGACGAAGAAGAAAAGGACACAGCAAGGCGACTAGAAGAAGAGGCGAAGACAGGAGGAGTTCTGAGGTGGTTCAGTAGGCCCTACTAGGGAGGTTAACAATAGGACGAGGCACATGGTGTTCGCGAGTGGTGAGAGACTGTCCCTGACGTTGTGGGGCAGGGCTGAAGGAGGGGCTGGCCCACTCACTTACAGAAAAGAAGGAGGTGAAGTGCTGAAAATAATTAAAAACAACACTCTTACAGGTGCTACAGCCAACAACATGGAAGGGGCTGGCAAAGGCAAGTACGGCGGAGGAGGAAAGGACACACCATGGGGACCGTCGAAAGGAGAAGGCGCAAGAGCAAAGGCGGAGGAGATGATGGCGATGGCCTTCAAGGGAGAAGAGGAAAGACAAAAAGTGGAAAGGAGGCTGGATGAGCTGATAAAGGAGGCACAAGGCGGAAAAGGTGGCTACAATCATCATCCAAGAGCAATAAGGGGAGCATGGCAGGCGGTGGCGCAAAGTGGTAACGCGGAAGCAGTGAAGATGCTCAAGCAGTATCTCAACCAGGACAGGATAGACTCGAACTTCCTGTCAGCTCCGATCCTAACGGAAAAGGGCTACAACAACGGGATCGAAGAGGTCAGTCTCGTGGTGAACAAGGAGCCAAGACTAACCCAGACGGGGTTCTTCGGTGCAGGCAAAGGGAAGGAACAGAGCAAAGGCGGAGGCAACAACGGTAAAGGCAACAAGGGAGATAGTGCCACAGGCACGCAGGCACCTCTGTTCGCTAGGAGTCAAAGCCAGCAGAGGTTGAACAACAAGACAGCAGCAACAGCATCAACAACAACAACAGGACAGGAGGCAGTGGGGCGCGTGGCGTCGGTGAGACCTCCATGGGTCCACGACACCTACGTCCCAGGAGATGGGATAAGGACTGATTTGCGAATGCTATTACCAGAAATATCATGGTCTGAAGTGACAGACGAACTCGAGCTGATGGATTTGGTAGACAGGCAGACGCCACAAGATGTCTTCATAACGATCGTCCTAGAAATGAGCCTCACGCCGACTGAGGGCTCCAGAATCCTCACTATGATCAGAGCGATGACGAACAACACGCCACTCCAGGTGATCAAGACCAATGTTGTGAGTGAGAGCCACAACCGAGCAAGGAAGAAGCGGCAACAAGAGGAGGCAGAGGAAGAAGCAGGGCACGAAGAAGAACAAGGTGAAGAGCAAGAGGCAGAGAAGTTCGTCTACAACCTAGAAAAGTCACAACTACAACTCGTGGCGGACAAGGCAGTGGAGGAGTTCATGGAGGAAAATCTAGACGACTTAGCATCCAATGTGGTCAAAAAAAAGGAGGTGGAACGGATCGAGTACAACAACGACATCAGCAAGATGAGGGCTATTGCGGTGTCGGCGGAGATCCTGAAGACCGGTAGTGAAGTGGTGGTAGAAAAGGCGGTGGAGAAGGCAGAGAAGTTGATCCAGAAGGACAGCAACCTAAGCAGCATCGAGCTCACAGTGATGCCGAAGAGCAAGGTGAGCAAGAGAAACCGCAACCGCGAAGTCTACACGATCTTGGTGCGCAGGCCGATAATGAGGCATCCCGATCACCACGAAGGGGCTTCACCAACAGGCCAACAGGCTAAGAAGCGAAAGAAGATTAGTGAAGAAGTGCCGGTAGTAGATGACAGCGTGGAAATGTATGAAGAAGAGGAGCCAAGCGTATGCAGCAGAAGATCTAGGGCAGGAAGTGACGACTCCGAGGAGGAGGAGGAAGAGGAAAGAAGAGACACATCTACACTGATGAGTGTCCTTAGCGCACCACTGCAGATCTTGACAGGAACAAGATCAACGGTCACGGCAGCACCGGTGACAACGCAAGCAGTGCCCAAGACAGCTTCCATTCTAGCGAATAGAAGTGGTGGCAAGAACAATTCCCAGAGGGCAGGAGGTTCGGCTTCTAGTGGTGCAAAAACAGTGCGGCTTGTAGATGTCACATCAGAGATGGCGAAGGTTTTCGCATACATCATGCAGTCAGATGCGACGAAAGGGCTGCTGGCAAGATTGCGACACCACTGCGATCTCCGCACATTGATCAGCGAAGTGGAGACGCGAGTATGGACAGTGCGCATCGAATATTCACAGCTGAAGCAGTATTGGAGCCACCTGGTGTACCATCGAGCGATAGTGCCGGTCAAGTTCGACGAATAAAGCAAGACAAGAGCAAGGTATTCCGGCAACTTTATTAGAAGAGAATAAGGGAGATACGTAAAGGAGAAGTGACGTGATATTGAAGAAAGAGAAGACGCTAATAAGGGGTGCGATCTGACTTGGAGCAAAGTGAGGACTCGTGTTCTGCAGAGTGAATGAGGGCCCTACGGTACAACTGAAACATGACAGGTTTTTCTTTTGAGATTCTTGGTGCGTAGTAGTGAAGTTGGGCGTTTTTTAAGCGGCCGGAAAGGAACGCAAAAAGAAGAAAACAAGCGGAAAAAGAGGACAAAGCAAGGCACTGGTGGGAGATATGATTGGGGAAAAAAAAAAAGAGAAGGAAGCTGATGGATGTTGATGGATAAGGTGTGGCCATTGATGAGTGTGTTCCCGAACTGTGTTCCCGTTTGCAAAGTTTTTCTTTCCAATTCACTCCCCTACAGGTACACGCAGCAGATTCGGCAACACAGAACAACTTGCGCGAAGAGATTTGTGACCGATTTCAGAAGACATGCGAAATGTCTTGAAAGTAAAGCAAAACACGCGATGCAACTGAGCTACTTCTTCTTAACATATAAGATTGATGTGCGAAATCTCGACTGGAGACACGTTTTGAAAGAACAAGAAGCGCGCCTTTGAAGGCGCGTTTTGAAAGATGTGCAGCACGGAATGTGCTTAAAGTACGTTTGAAGAAAGTAGAACCTTGAAAGATGTGCAACACGGAATGGGCTTAGAGTACGGCTGAAGAAGGTAGAACCTTGAAAGATGTGCCGCACGGAATGCGCTTAAATAAAGTACGTTTGAAGAAGGTAGAACCTTGAAAGATGTGCTTGTGCAGCACGGAAAGTGCTTGGCGTACGTTCGAAGAAAGTAGAACCGCGAAGAGCCTGAAAGTAGTGAGTGAGAGTCACGGCAAGTGATTAGCAATGTCGGGCTCGCGTTTCGGTGGGGCTCATCATGTTCCTTCAAGGAGGCCCCGGAAGATGAGGAAGTGAGTCAGTGAATCGGTCTTGAGTCTTGGAGAACGCACTACCCCCCCCCCACAGAGCCCTCACACAAAGAAAAAAGACACGAAAAAAGAAGAAAAAGAATTGGGGAGCCCCCTGATGAAGAGAAAAAGTGAAAAAGCACGGTGTGAAGCTCGGAAAAAAAGGGAAAAAAAAAAGGGAGACTTAGTGCTAAGTAAGGTGAGTAGGTTGGTTTGGTAGGAGTAGGGAAGTCTTGCGCAGTGGCAAACGTGAGTAGTGCTGTATTTGGTTTTAGTTTTAGTTTAGTCTAGATAGAACTACAAGCTGCCCTGAGTAGGGGGGAGGGCAGCTTCCCCGGGAGGGAGCCCAAAGGGGGGGAAAGAAGAGTGCAAGGCCAGGAGGTTGGGATGGGGAGGCCTCGCTGTCGGGACAGGGAGAAGGGGGGTGTTTTGAAGTACCCGCCCTCTCTCCCCCCCGTCTCCGTGAAGGGCGGGGGGGAGGCAGGAGAGAAGGCGGTGCATGAAGTGGGAGGATTGGTCATCTGAGGCCGACCTCAAAAGGGGAAAGGAGGGAGAGTGACACCTCTGGAAAATAGGGCGAAAGTGCTAACTGACCGCCTGGGGAGCAGCGGCCCCGGGGGAGGAGGTCTACCCCGCTGCGCAAAGGGGTTCCCGGATCCCCAAGAAAACCGACGAAGTTTCTTTAATTTTTCATTATTAAGTATGCCCAACATGACATCGCCGGGGCGCAGGGGCTCCAGTGCAGAGCCGACCGAGGTGCTGGCGCGAGAAGGTCGGACACAGAAGAGAGGAGGAAGAGTCGCCGAAGGTGACATGAAAGACTGGAGCTCTGTAGCAGGGGGGCATCCGCGGGCGCACCTGGCCAGAAGCTGGGGATGGGAGAAAGAGGAGAAAGGGCGCCCAGACAGTCGGCACGAGTGCGCAACCAGGCGCAACGTGAACGCGACGCCCAGCCTAGTAAGGAGGAGGCCTTGTAGCGGCCGTCCGCGTCGACGCTTACCCCGAACCGTACGGCGGCCCGGATGCGGGCCAAATGGTGGGAGGAGGGAGCCCTACGTCCCTGAAGACGGGGGGGACCATGTCTGCAGGTCGAACGGAAGACCCAACAACCACCGCCCCACCCTAGCGCTAGGGGGTGGAAAGCGAGGAGGGGGGCATACGGTGCCCCATCTTGTGACGATGAGCAACAGAATGGAATCTGGGGGGGAGAGAAGAGGGGGAGGGGGTCGCAAGGTGGGCAGAGGAGGCTTCGTGGGGGAATGTGAACGGGGTGAAAATGGTGTTGAGAGTGAAAAAGAGAAAAGTGAAATGGGGAGAAGTGAAAAAGGGCAAAGTGAAGGAGGGGAGAAGGAAGTCAGGGGCAAGGGCCTCACGCGACCCCCCCTCTCGGGAGGATTTACAGGAGGCGAGAAAGGGGAACGAACAGAGGAAGGGCAGAGCAAGAGGGAGACAAATAAGAGGAGGACGCGGGCCGCTCTGTGGCGAGACGGCCTAGTGGAAAAAATAATGCCGGGTGATGGGCATTGTGGTTATCATGCAATCCTGCATCAGCTCCAGAGACAGGGGCTGGCACCGCCAGGGGTGGCGCAAATGAGGGACGTGCGTGCATTCGTTGCGGCGAATGTGTGGAGGATGGAGGAAGTTGAAGCAGGGGCAAGGGCAGACGTAAGACAAAAGAACTTGGTGGCGCAGGGTCTGCGATATGCACCGCGGTGGACCTGGATGGGAGGGGAGGGCCTCGCCATCATATCAAAGACTCTGCGGGTGCGGATCGTTGTGTATGACGTTGCCTTGGCGGGGGGGTCTTATGTCATTGGGGACGAATATGGAGAGCTGTCGCCGCGTATAGCCGTGGTTTTTACGGGAGGGCACTACAACTCGACCGCTAGAGTGGAAGAGCGTGAGGGTGAGGGTGTGGCGGCTAGGGTGGAGGAGCGTGAGAATCGTGGCAAAGGGAGAGGGTGGCCCGGTGTGGTAGATAGGGGGTGGCAGTGGCCGCAGAGGGGGCCCGGCTGCACGGAAGGGGTGAAAAGGTGCAGGGAAGAAGCAGGCGGGTTAAACAGGGAAAAGCAGCCAAAGAGGAGGGTGACCCGCGGCGAAGTGGACAGGGGGGGCCCATCTGTGGAAAACAAGGAAGGGAACGAAAGCGAAGCCATGAAGGGGGGGGAAATGGCAAAGGGGAAGATGGGGAAAAGGATGGGAAAAATTGAACACAAGTGGGGGGCGGTGATCTTTCAGATCACGGACAGAAAGTCCCGCAGCGCGGCGGGGGTGACGGCGGAAATTTTTAGGGAACACCCCCAAGCAGATGAGTATCAGGAGGGGAAAAACATGAGAAGGACCCTGGGGACGGCGATCGTCTACGACCAAGCAGTGGGGGGCAAGATCGTCAACATCTGCGCAAGAGAAGGACCCGGGCCGCCGGGAAGGGGAGAGACGCAGGCAGACCGCTTGAGGTGGTGGAGAGAGGGCCTGGAGGATGCCAGGAGGCAGCTCGGGAGGGAGATAGAAAGGGGCTCCTGCTTCTATTTTCCACATGCTACAGGGTGCGGGCCTGCCGGTGGAAGGTGGGGGCCGTTCAAGGAGGAGGTGGAGCCCCTCGCCAGGGAGGTGTGCCGGGCAGGTGGAGAGGTGGTCGCGTTGAAGAGGCCGCAAGAAAAAAGGGTAGAACGGGCGAGGATGCTAAAAAAGATAAGGCAGAAAGAGCATCGGCAGGAGGTGAAAGAGGAGAGAGCACTGCGAGGAAAGGTGGTGACGGTAACGGAGAAACAGCAGGGAGACAATGAAGGAAAAGAACGGGCAGAAGGGTGGACAGAGGTGAGAAGGAGTGCAAGGGGGGGCACAAAGAACAGGCTGCCGATCCAAGAGACGGGGGGCAAGATTGAGGAATGGGGAAAGGGGGTGGTGATCATGATCAGGGCAAAAAAAGGGGGAGAAAAGAGGGCAGCGGTGCAGAAGGTGCAACAGAAGAAAAGAGCAGGGGAGATAATCCAGAGACAGTGGGGCTCCGCTTGGGGGATGTATGAGTGGAAGGAGAAGGGCACGACGGTGATAGAGGTGGAGGCGAAGAGATTTGCGGGACGACTGGGGGCAACAGGTGACACGATAGAGGAGAGGGCTAAGAGATACGCAAAGGCCCTCCGCGAAGTTGGTAGACAAATGCAACAACATGTGAAGGGGGGCGCTATAAGGATAGCATTCGAAAAGGATGAAACAGGGGGAAGGGAAGCCGACCGAGAGAGGGACTGGCTACAAGAGGTGGAGGCGAGATGGGTGCAGGAATTAGGGCGCGAGGACGGCGAAAGGACTGAGGTTGACGCATGGAGGGTGGGCAGCAAAGGGATGAACGGTTGGGAAAGAGAAGGCGAGGGGGGGCGGCTGGCGGCGATCCGTATAGCGACAGGGGACTCGAGGCAGGTGAGGAGTGGCACGGCGAGGGAAGTCGTGGCACACATCCAGCGCAACAGTCGCCAGGGGGGGCGCACGGTGATGGCAATCGAAGAGGGCCTGGAAAATGTGAGGGAGGAAGGAGGGCAAAACCTAGGCCGTGAGCTTGTGAGGGAGGCGGCAAAAGCGAGAGTGCCAACAAAAGTGAAACAGAGGAAGAAAGAGAAGCGGAGGAAATTCATCAGGGTGCACATGCACAACTGCAACACGCTAAAGGGCAGAGAGGAGGCTTTAGCGCAGGACATGAGGGCGAACGGGATAGACGTAGCGTTCCTGCTGGAGAGCAGATTGCCAGAGGGCAGCAAGGGTACAAGTTGACAACGCAGGCAGGGAAGGGGGCGAAAAATGCCGAGGGGGTAACGGTGGCCTTGTCGGCAGAAATAGAGAGACACGTGCAAAACATCGACACAGCGACCGAGCAGACGGACAGGGTCGAGATTGGGGGGGAGGCGCGACTAACCCTGGTTGGGCACTATGGGAGACAGGAAGGGGAACTAGGAGCGGAGAAGAGGTGGGCGCAGCTGCAAAGGGAAGCAGACAATTGGCAAGGGGCGACGTTTCTCTTCCTCGATGCAAACGGGAAGATAGGGGAAACGGGAGAGGGCCTGACGGGGTCCCGGATAGTGGACAGGGTGACCACCGGAAACGGGGAAGAGTTACTGAGGTTGGCGCAGCTTGGGGGCATGCGACTCGCCTGCACGACAGGAAAGAATCGAGCAGCGGAGGCGCACACCTATGAGTACACCACTGCGAACGGGGAAGGGCGTAGCAAAATTGACTACATCTTGGCAAACAGGGGGGCGATGGGAAGGCTCCGCAAGATACAGTTAGGGGGAGACAAAATGGGATACACCATGAAGGAGGAGGGGGAAAAAAGGGGCCATGGGCCTATGCTAGCGACGATAGGGTGGACAGCTGGGGCGAAAGGGAAAGAGAAGGAGGGGAATGTGGAGCCCATTAGATATGATCGTGAGAGGATCAGGGAAATGGCAAGACATAGGCGCGAGCTTGTCCGGCCGTCGAAGTATGGGAAGGAGTTCCGGGAAGAATGGGAGCGGCTGCGGGGGACGGTTGGAAGAAGGAGGGAAAAGGAAGCAGGGGGAAGAGCGAAGAAGGCCGGGGAGGCAGGCGTAGGAGGGGAGGAGGAAGGAGGAGAAAACAACACAAAGAAGACGGGCGAAAACGGTGAGAAGAGGGGGCAGCAAGAAAGAGGCACGACCTCAGAAGACAAGAGGAGGGCGATCAGGCTGGGGAACGTGAGCAGGTGGACGCCCAGGGAATTGCGAGCGGAGATGAGGAAGATACAGAATGGAAAGAGGAAGGAAGAGAGATCGGGTGACCTGGCATGGATTAAGGAGAGGCTTGGGAAGACAGTAAAGGAGCAGGAAAGACGAAAAAAGTGGGAGGAAATAGGAAAAATAAGAAAGAGGAGAAAGAGCCTGGAGGAACGAATGGCTGGCTTGTTTGGCCGCTCTTGGAAGCAAGGGCAAGAGGAAGAGGGACAAGGGGCACGGCGGGAGAGGCAAAAAGAGCTGAGGAAAGTAGCCGAGGAAGAGAGGCAAAGGCTGAGGGAGTGGGAGACACTCAAGAGGGCACAAAAGGACGCCAAGGGCGTGGAGGATGTGGAAACAGAGAGGCGCATGGAAATGGAGGAGATAATGGAATGGACAAGCAGGATGGCGATAAACCAGTACAGGCAAATGAGTGGGGCGGACGCCTACAACGAAGAGGAGGGGAAGAAAGACGCGCGGCTGGCGAGGCTAGTGGCTGACAGGCGCTTCCGTTGGTTGAAGAGTCCTGAGGAAGGTAAGGAGGAGAAGGAGGAAGAGGGGCAGCTTCAAAAGTGGAAGGAGGAAAAAGACAGGATGGGCGAAGGGGAAACGAAAGGGGGAGCAGGGGTACCCGATTGGGGGGAAGCGGCGGAGAGGATCCGGACCATAACGGAAACGAGCATACCGAATGTGAGGACGGAGCGGGTAGAGGTGGCGAAGGAAGGGACGAGGAAGGAGGCCGGCAACGTACTGCAGAGGATGAGAGAAAAGAAGGCGAAGGTTGTGAAGGGGGGGAAGCTAGCGGGGGCCATCCTCGCGAGGCTGGTAAGAGACTGGGACGCCGATAGGGTCCTGTGGCAGGTCTTCGAGGCCTGGAGGAGAGACCATCGAGGAGGAAGAGAAAAGGGGGAGCAGGAACCTGAGGAGAAGGGAGGCAGGGCCAAGAGGAGGGCAGAAAGGGGCGCCAGAATCAGGGAGAAGCTGGCAGAATACGGGGAAGCGCGTAAGAACGAGGAAGATATCCCGCTGGAGATCCGCGAAGAGGAGAAGAAGGCGAAGCGAGAAGGCTGGGCGGACAGAATTAGGGAGCTTGCGAGGGGGACGAGGACAGAACAGGTGAAGCAGCTGTATGAAATGGCGAGACAGCACAAAGGCACAAGCAAGAGGAAGAAGAGGGCGAAAGACGTGGCGATAAAGATAACGGGAGCAGATGGGAAAGTGAAAAAGATCGCCCGGACAGACGAGGAGATAGCAGACGCCTTCAGGCTGAGAATCGAGGAGCTTTGGAAGGTACCGGAAGAGGGAGAAAAGGACACGGAGGAGAAATGGCAGAAGGCGAAGAAAGAGGCACAAGTAGGGGCGTGGTCGGTTAAGATCGGCGAGGAGTTGGCGAGCAGTTTAGAGGTCATGGGGGAGGGAGGGCTCCCCTGGGAGGCTTACAAGGAGGCGATAGAACAGGCGAACTACGCGAAGGCCGCGGGGCCAGGCGGGCTCATCGGGGAGCTGTTTAAGATGGACCCGGTGAACTGGGCGAAGATCTTGAAGCAGATCGACGAGGCTAATGGGGCAGAAGAGCAGCAGACAGGCTGGGTCGCTTGGTTGTACAAGGGGAAAGGGGACAAGGGGGAGAGAGTTAACTGCCATGTGCTTTCCATATCCCCATATGCCAGCTTGTTCTGAAACGACCCGTGACCTAAAGAAGGAGAGCTATATCAAAGACTGCGCCTCGTGCAAGTGGTTCCGTTTGTAGAAAACTAAGCATTATAAACTGACTTCTCGCACAACCAAAGTAAGTAGCGCGTTACTTGGCAACAGCTCTCATCACAATGCTGGGAACCGGCTCAGTAGCGGGCCGCTGACGTACTTCGACGTGTGCGCTTTGGCCTAGCGGAGTTTGTGCTGCTTGTTGCCCGGCCGCACCTTTCACGCTTATCAGCATCACAGAGCGAGGCTAGGGCGTGGGCGCTAGTCCCCCGCTTGCGGGTACGCATGGGTCAAAGATCGGGTACTTTTTCTTGGCTTCAGTCTTCGCTTCTACTTCTGATATTACGATGCATACTCAATTTATTTGATATCCCTTGATAAAGCTTGGCACTGTGTCGTGAAGTAGATGCGTGCACCTTGTGTTTGTGGTGGATGCTTATTGGTAATGAGCTAGTACCTAGATACTCAACTTGTTTCGTTTGTGTCGTTTCGTCGTCCGTGCGCTTCTTGCGTGTTGCCAACGCGATTGACCACTGCGCGAGCTACGCTGCGAAGACCACACGGTCGACCAGTTAAGGACTTATGGAAGGTTTTGACATCTTGTACACAAGCAAGCTACTGGTCTGCACGCTCTATGCAGCAAACTACTTCTTTGGATTAAATTGACTCGCGTTCTCCTTTGCATCTCACTCCCCGGATCAAGAAAGGCCACCCTCTGCTCGTCCGTAGAAATTGAAGTGGAAAGTTGTTAGATCATCGCGTGCTTCCAATGTGCACTAATCCACAATCAGTAGGAAGGACTGGCGTGGATCGATCATTTGCGCCTCCCGTCGCGTCAGCGGGAGGTGTACTGCGACGGGAGTGCGCTCTTCTTTGGTGGTGATGGAGGAGGAGGATGTGGTGGCATCATTGATTGACACGAGTACACTTTCCGGCATCTTGAGATGGTAGCCTTTGGCAATAGATATACTCAATCACTCGCGCGCGTGCCGTCTTTGTTAAGGTTCGGTAGAGGCAGAAGCTATGCGTCAAATTTCCCTGCTTAGGTTCATAGGAAGCTCGAAATTGATCGTGACACATTCAAGATTATCAATTATTCTGGATTCCATCTGCAAGCTTCAGACTGTTGCATTAGTGTCACAAGCGCAGACGGCGCCAAGGTATGTTGAGTAACTTAATAGAGTATTAGGGGGTACAAAAATGGAAGAGGACTCTGACTTTGAGGCGGGAGGCGCCGCTTCTGATGCCACAAATGAGGCCAACACGCGTAAACGGAGGAAGCGGCAACCAGCGGCGCCTCTATCGTTGGACGCGAAGATGCAGAAAATTCTGAAGGATCCGAAGCGGCCTCTGCTGGGCAAGTCAGCATGTGGCGGAATAGTCTAAGGCTAAGCGCTTGGTGTTGAACTTAAGTGGATAAGCAATCAGCCTTGATGTATAGCCGTAGTGACGCTATCTGATCGCGCAGAGCTGGGCTAGTCGAGCTTCTTCATCATTTCGCTTCACTAAGTCGAAGTCGTCTTGTTTGTTTATGATTTTTCATCGTTGTCTGCTTGTGGTAGTGGTTTTGATTTCCCTCTAATATCTGTGGTTGGCGACAATGAAGGCCCCATCTTCGATGAGAACCAAAGTTGGCGCGTTTGGCCAAGAGCTGCCTTCCAAAATGGCTGGCTGCATCTGTTGCGCGAAGTTCGCGCCTGGTGTTGCTGGCTGGGCGACTTTTGGAATAAATGCAGAGGGATTGACGGTGAAAGCTGTTGCCCAGCATGCTGCAACGCACATGCATGGACAAGCGGCAGAAGCGTACAAAAAGGCACTGCGTTCGGTGTCTGTGGAAGGCGCGACTGGTGGAAGCTCGGCGTCCTCTCAAATCGATCGCAGCGTCGGCGCCTCCTCCGGTCAAGGCAGCAGTCAACATCATCGCGCAAGCCCCTCTTCTACCGATGTGGAGTCATCAGCTCCGAAGGTGTCAGCTTCGGTTCCATCAACTAACAACTTTCACGCTCTCGCTGCTGGGTTCTACAATAACAAGAGCCTGAACGCGATCGCCAAAACAGAGAACCGGCAGCCACTAGTTGGGCTCACCACTGTGCAGACCGACTTCAGTCGATGGACGCTCTCAAACATAGCAGTCGCGATGTCCGTCGCGTATCAGAAGGAGACAGCGGAGTGCCTGAGCTTGGCCGGAGAGGTGTCCTTGAGTGCAGATAGGCGGCAGCGGCGAGTGCTCCTCTGTGTCAGGGTGGGACTCACTAACCGGAATGGTACTTCTATGATACGCTGACTGCTCTGCTTTTAATTTAGATGCCTTACACAGTGGTCTTTTACTTTTTGTTGTTGATCACCTCCGGCGAGATCTGATGATACAACTTGGAAGTTGGGCTGTAGTTCTACTTGTAGAGCTAATGGCGCGGCTTCTAGTTCTACTTGTAGGCCTAATGACTTGTAGGTCTAGTTATTAGCGGCATATCTTCGGGATGCTGGCTATCTAAGAAATTTGACTTCAAACGCTTGTCCGCTAGGGCTTCAAATGTTTCGGAATTGAAATCTTCCCCAGGTATCGAGAGCGTGTCTCGCTTTCTCGGCTCAGCGCTGGCCCACGACACCAACGCGTTCTCTTTGCGGGAGTGCGTGACCCGAATTGTTTCTAGCTTCGAGGAGGCTTCTGGCTCTGGTACGGAATGGCGGGAGAAAGTTGTCTCAGTCACCAGTGATGGTGGGCCGGATGAGGTCGTTGCGTGGCAAGTTCTCCGCGAGATTTTCCCGCGGCTTCGGTGCTGGTTGTGGTGCGTTGCGCATGCTTTTCGAGTGGGATCAGAATGGGGCCTCCGATCGCGCGCTGGAGGTCCGGCGGAGTTCCTCGGTTATGGTGGCTTGAGCTTGACAACGCCTTTCCCTTGGAATCAGTGGCGGCGCGGCCTTCGCGGAAGTCTCGGGTTGGAGTCACCAGAGAGAAGGCCGGCTGCAATGATTCGATGGCGATTGGGGCGTCTGTTCATCTTCCTCTAATGTCTAGTATGGGAAATGATGCAGCATTTTGAGACTATCCTCAAAAAGGTGGAAACCGGGGAGAAGATGGCAGCCACGTTCCGCGACGCTTTCCCCCAGAACGAAAAGGTCAGCCTCTCGTTTGCGAAGCATCGCTGGAACTCTCTGAGTGCTCCCGCGCGCTTGGTTTTTAAGGAGCACGGGACGAAGAAGACCCTTCCCGCGCTCTTCGGGCTCTTGGTTGCAGTAGCTGATGCCAGTCGCCTCCCTGGATATGCAGACTGGGGCAAGAAGATTGCCGAAAAGGCTGGGCCGCGCATGTTGTTCGTTTGGTCGCTCTACGCCGACTACTCGACCCTGGCAGAGGCCAGCACCCGCGTGGCAGATAGTGACGCCTTCTGTCTTTCTACCGCGTTGTATGGCATTTCTTGCTTGGATACCAGCGTCGTGCTTCACCTGGCTTTTTTTCGCAATTTTATATTATTTTTAGTATACATTCTGACGACCTACCCCTACGACAACGACCTCTAGCGCAACTACCTCGAGCACGACTACACCTAGTGGAGCCAAGCTACTCCTTCCAGCCATAATTCTTGGCCATGTAATCACTTCAGACTCGAGCCTGGCTGTATCTTCTCAGTCCCATGGGTGGTCTTGTATTTATTGGCGGTCTTACTTTCCTTCGCCGCCTTCATTTCGTGAAGCACAGCTTTGCCTTTGTAGGTTAGTGGCAGTGGCCGACTCTTGTTTCTCAAACTCTCATACTCTGCGGATGGCGACCTCCTTCGAACTCCAGCTCGGACGATTTAAAGACAGCCCTCAGAGCTTGACACTTACGCAGAATGTTTGGCGGTTTCTATCCCGATGTCGGACGCCCCTCATTGTGGCGCCCTCGCGTGACTCGAATACTCCACAGGGCTCGAGCGCAGGCGAGATGTGGCACACTGGAGACCCACAACAGCTTCGGTCAGAGTATTCGGCTGCCTTGCGTGGTTTTCTGCCTATCGTAACTGAGGGCGTTTGGCGAGTGCGTCAAATCTTCGAGGGCGACCTTATCCAGGCAGCGTCTTGCTTTGACTTGGAGCAGTGTAAGGATGTCTTATAGTTCTATTTTGTCATAGATTCGACGTCGACCGCTAGGCAGCGTAGGAGTTCATCTTTTCAGGTGGTGGCTCATGATGTGACATTGACAACATGGCTCGCTTCGCATTACATCACTGCATCTATCACTGTCTACTCTTCTTACTTTTCCTCCTCATGATCAGACGTGGGGAGACTGCGCGCTGAAGCGCCTCGCGAGAAGTTCAAGAAGCTGGAGGAAATCTGCTGCCATGGACTCAGTGAGAGCGGTGTCGCAGTCTTTTCGGTCGTTTTTCCGATCGCGTTATCTTCGTACAAGAAGCGACCTCTAGGCGATGCGGAGAAGCGGACTCCCATGTGGTGGTGGTGGGTATGTGCCGCCAAGTCTTTCAAGCAGGATAACCGGGAATGGGCGTCGACTACTGAGACAAAGACTCAGCGCCGTTCCTTTCTGCGGGTGCTTCGTTTCTTCTTATCATTGACTACGACGACGTGCAACATCGAGCGACTTTTTTCGCGATTGAAAGCCGCTGGCGCAACTGGTCTTTCAACGGCAGACAACTATCTGCAAGTGTGGAGTTTTGGCGACCCGAATGGACAGGACACGAAACCACTTTACGCTCCTTGGATACAGCGAGCCCGTGAAGAGTATGCTACGCTGTTCGGCGAGCGCGTCAACAAGTCCCGAATAATGGCCCCGGCGTTCGACTTCACGGCAAAGAGGCGGCGCGCTGACTATGGAGCCAAGCGTTCTAAAGTCGGCGCATCAGAATCTGACACTTCTGTCGCGGCGGCTCTCGCTTCATCCAGTAGCGCTGCTGCTTCAAGCTTTCCAGAGAATCTCAGCAGCGAGCTCAACACGGCACTGCGCGTTCCAAACGCCTTCCGGACTTTGCGAAATGCAGGATCACATGCCAAAGGGCAAGCAGCTCCACGGCCTAAGCCTAGCTTCAAGAAGCAGGTCTATAAAATCAGGGGTGGCAAGGTTCTCTCGTATGAGAAGCTGGAGAGCTACGCCAACGACCTCCCGTCCCTCGTGGACTTGGTAGCGCGATGCGAGGCGATTTCGGTGAAGGGTCTGAGCATCGGCCATTCAAGTGTTGTCTGGTATTGTCTTGTGCAGCTTTTGTCTCAGTGCTATCGGTCGATCTTTACTTTTGGCAACCTTCCTTGTAGTTGTAGCATTTCGCTTGTGTTGCTCACTTCATCTACCACGAAGTAACTACCTTGCATCCACTTCACATCGCAGGTTTTTTGGCAAGATCATGGGGAGAGCATTTGTGGAGGCGGTAGAGCCCCAGGCGGGAACAGCGCAGGGTGAGAGTGGAAATTTAGAGCGGCGCCTTCTCTATTTCCGAGAAAAGCAGGAGAACAAGATGCAGAACCCGCGTGGAGTCATCTGCCGCGATAGTGATGTCGCAGATGCCCTTCGCCTTCTACCAAGTTGCTTCAGAGACAGTTGGACAATAAAAGTCAGCGATGCACATGACCCCGAGCCGTATGGAGTTCGGCCAACGCTAATCTTGCGGAAGCGGCCTGGCAACAAAGACCCCGAGTTGCCAACGCGGTGGCAGCAATATCCACGGCGAGTGTGGTTCGTCGAGCAGTCTCTACTGGCACACTACGACTAGGTCCTCGCGCGTCTCATGTTCATGTCTCTCTGTCTTTGCTTGCGTGCAGTAGTAGGAACGCAGCAGCAGCAGCATACTAATTCTCGTCTGCCACCTCATCGTGAAGCTTGCTCTTGGTCTTGAATGCCTCTCGCAGCTTCGTCTTGCAGAAAGGGCCTCTTGTACTGTTTTGCGTCGAGTTGCCCGATTTGACGCTTATTCGACGGGCTTCTTTGACGATCGTCCATCGAGATCGACGCGCGGTTGCGCATATTGCTTGCGCCGCCTTTAGACTTTTTGCTTTATACAGTTCGACTTCCAACGGATCCTGTGGCGTGAGATCTGTTTCTAAAATTTTTATTGCATCTGGCAAAGCTATCACATTCACACTGATCTTGGTCTTTGCACTGATCTATCCATCGATCAGCTCAGTTAGTAGGACCCATCTGAAGGCTGTAAGAGTGTGTCGCATGATGGTGATGGTGAAGCGATCAGTTCAGTAGGATCCATCTGAAGGATGTAGGAGCATCGTATGAAGATGGTGATGATGGTCCCCCATCCAAGGATGTGCGACCTGGTCGCTTGTTGGTAAGCGTAGCGTTAGTATGCGGCTGCAGTGGTGAGATGAATGATAACGCAGCGCATGCGGAGGCTTGATCTGGTCGTTTGGTGTTTGAACGTAGACAAAAGAATGAACAAGTGCTGGCTTGGTCTAAAGTAGACGCGCGGTGAAGTGTGTGGTCTTGTTGCATGGTTTTACTAGTGTAAGTCGCTTGGTGCTCAAGTGGCGCAGTTCTAAGCAACTTGTGCTTAAATACTTACAGCTGCATACTGTTGACCCTGATAGTGCAACAAAATGGCAATCGCCAGCATCGTATTCTTCTCCTTTAGCAGTTGTAGTCCTAGCGTCAGTGCGCGAATGGGAATCAGCTTTGCCGACTGGCAAGAAGCTTCGCGTGGGGAGGCCTTGCTGGGGCATTTCAAAGGCCATCTTGAAAAATTTCCAGTTGCCCCCCCCGCCATGCCGTGCGGGGTATTTTGGGCACTGGTCATTTTGCCCCGTAGTGGGGGGCAAATTTTGTATTGCCGATAGAACCCCCAACGGCATGCCGTGCGGGGTATCTGGAAAAAAAAAGTCTTGCTCTTTAAAATGCCCCAGCTAGCCTCGCTGCCGACGTCTTGGCGTGGGGAGCATTTTGAGCAGCATGGATTTTGCCCCGGAAGCACTCCCCACGGCTTGCCGTGGGGAGCATTTTTCCGGTTTTTCGGCGATTTCGGGGCGGGCTCTTCACGTGTTGGCGTGGGGAGCATTTTGAGCAACATGGAATTTGCCCCGGAAGCACTCCCCACGGCTTGCCGTGGGGAGCATTTTTCCGGTTTTTCGGCGATTTCGGGGCGGGCTCTTCACGTGTTGGCGTGGGGAGCATTTTGAGCAACATGGAATTTGCCCCGGAAGCACTCCCCACGGCTTGCCGTGGGGAGCATTTTTCCGGTTTTTCGGCGATTTCGGGGCGGGCTCTTCACGTGTTGGCGTGGGGAGCATTTTGAGCAGTATGGAATTTGCCCTGGAAGCGCTTCCCACGGCTTGCCGTGGGGAGCATTTTTCCGATTTTTCGACGGTTTTGGGGCGAGCTCTTCACTCGCTGGCGTGGGGAGCATTTTGAGCGACATCGAATTTGCCCCGGCAGCCCTTTCCACGGCTTGCCGTGGGGAGCATTTTTCCGATTTTTCGGCGATTTTGGGGCAAGCTTTTCACGTGCTGGCGTGGGGAGCATTTTGAGCAACATGGAATTTGCCCCGGCAGCGCTTTCCACGGCTTGCCGTGGGGAGCATTTTTCTGATTTTTCTGCGAGCTCCTCACCTGCTGCTGTGCGGAGCATTTTGCGCAGCGTGTAACTTTCCCAGGGGCGTTCTCTGCGGTTCGCAGTGGGACGCATTTTCGTGATTTTTGATTATTTTCCTGAAGCTTCATATGACCTCTCACATGACCTGTTTAGTTTTCCAATTCTACTCACGGCAGTATATCTGTGTTAGCAGCATCAAGCTGAAGGCACGCAGTTGCCATAGTCCACTACCTACTTTTCGGTAAGCAATTTCCCTCAAAATGTCCGGCGAGTCGCAAGAACATGCTCAAGGCTCCGCCATGGAGTCACAAGGAAGCACAGCTTCCACTTCCACCCACCCTCATGAGCGGCGCGCCGACCCCGAAATGGAGCACGAGGTTGATGCACCGCTCGAGTGTCCCCGGATGGAGTCACTCCGCATGCAGTTTCGAGGCCGTTCGGTCGCAGATTTGGACTCTTTTATTGGGCAGACACTCGATAAGAGCCACTTCAGAGAAAACGCGCTGCCCTCAATCCCGGGAAAGATAGTCCTGGATTTGAGTCGTTTCATGAGCCTGAAGCTTCACGACGACGAGACCCCTCTATCGTCCATATTTCTGATGGCGGCAGGATATAGCTCTTTCTTTACACTTGTAGTTGTCTACGCTAGTTAGCACTCTGCTACATCAAGTGGCTCTTCTTCGTTATGTTCCATAGCTGTCAGCGATCTCTTCATCATTTGCGCGGCTTGTCCCGTCGCTTCGAGGTGTATCTAGATGGGTAACTTTTATTGTCGTCCATCTTATATGGCCAGTCTTTAGTGTCGCTTTTTTGGTCTGTGATCCACTCTCCATACATCGTTGTCTCTTGCAATCGTCGCCCATCGTCCTCATTCCTGCTTTTTCACACCCTCAGGTTGGATGGCCAGCAGCTGGCGGGTAATGTCTCTATGCTCAATGGCAGCATCGTAAATGGTTCATTCGTGAGGGCAGCGGCGATTTTGGGCATGTGTGAGGAGAGCGCCACCATTAGGCGACGCCACCACATTCATGCTGCAGTTTGCGACGGAGAACTAGTGTGGGAGACTATGTTTAACATGCGCATGAAAATGCACAACGCGGAGCATGCGCACATGAATTGCCTGGCATATTTCACCATGTGGCCCGGGATTGATGTTCGGTACCAAAAAGCGCATACCAAGCCCGGCAGCATTCAGCAGGTGCGCATGTCTTCTAAACATAGCTGCAAAGCGGCGTCGTCGTCTAGTATGTTGGATATTTAAGAATGTCCCCTCGCTTCTGCAATGTTATGATAGACTTAGGAGAACAACTTTTAGAATTTGATGGCTATATAGTACTCTGACTCCTCGACGTTTCGCGATCTCCTTACTACGCTTATATCCCAGGTTCTGGACTACGCCAAGCTGACGAAGGTCGTGGAGCTTCATGGAGCACAGAAAGCAAGCGCTACCCTTAAGGCTTACTTTTCGTTGGTCTACTTTGAGTTAGTTTGAGACCGTCGGGGGGCTTACGTGACTGAGATAAGAGGTGAAAATGGAGGGAAATGAAACACGGGGAAGATCTTTGCGTTGTCTTTCGGAGTCAGTGCGGGGCCACTGACTGCTGACCTCTAACACATGTGGCGGGGAATGGAAGCGAGGCGCTGCGGCGATGAAAGTGGCAGGCGTGAGAGAAGCGCTGGAGGCCGCCATCGGACAATGCGGCAACCTCGGGAATCCACTCGCCAATACCGGAGACGTTTCCCAAGTGTGGCAGGTTTTTACTGGCAAGGCTGCCCCTTTGGCGGCGGGCTTTCTTCGTTGGCTCGTTGCGAAGTTTCCGAGGCTTCATCAGGTACTATCCTATGTGTATATGCCTCTTTAAGCTATAGACCAGACTTGTGTTTACATGAGCTACTTAGCCACAGTCAGGTCCATTCGTTACATTTAAACACAAAGAAAAACTTACTCGCATCTTCAATCTCTAGGCCAGACTTGTGTTTACATGAGTTACTTAGCCACAGTCAGGCCCATTTGTTGCATTTAAACACAAAAAAGAACTACACGCTTAAGATTTTTAGTATGCGTAGGACTTACAACCTACACACAAGATCAACCACTTATATGCAAGCGCGTCACCAAGATCGTCACTACTCTACTGCACTCACAGCTCAAGCACCACCCGCTGAAGACTTGGGCAGCGTTCTACAAAGATTCGGAAAAGCACCGAGAGGAGATCGCGGACGCTTGGTGCAAAGCTACGGAAACTCCGCGTGAGGTGTTCAGTGAGCATGTGAAAAGTATGGAAGTGCTCGATCCGCTTCCGTGCTCGGTTGAGACCGCTGTTCTGATTTATCGGCAGTGGGAAAACCCCGATAAGCTGAAGATGTTGGCAGAGGCAAAAAAGACGAGCAACGCTGTGGCCACCTTGGTGCTGAAAGTTTTCTATGGTTAGAAAGATGCTACAGCTACAGCTTGCACGTACTTGTGCTGTGGCTGGGCTACTGCTTGAACTTGACTAGACTTAGACTAAATACAACGGCTATCATCTAAAGCCAGCAACGTCATTCATCGACGCATTAGGTCGGGGCTGATTGGGTCATCTAAGTAGATGCCGGTGTGGGATTCTTGGGTGACAGTTCGAGTTTACACTAAACATCTCTAAAAAATTGCCGAAGAAATGGATGAGTGGAAAAACGCCAGAAAGTTTGGAGACGATGAGCTTGACGCCGCTCCCATGTTGCCGGCTGTGGGCGGAAACAAGCGAGGAAGGGGCGGGCGAGGAGCAGCCCTTCAACAAGAGCCATCCGGCGACAGCAGTGACGAAAACAAAAAGCAGGCGTGGGCCCTTTGGCGTGGACGAGGGAAAATTATCGTTTTGGGCGATAACTATAAGAAGGACGACATAAAGGGAGAGATCAGCAAAGCGGTCATCCTCCCGGAGTGTTTCGGGCTATTGGACCTCAATCTGACAACAATGCAGATGTGCTTAAATATGTGAGTTTATATTTTATCTCTTATATTCATACTCTAGCTGTTATGCTTGTGTCTATTGTTGTCTAAGCGATATTGTGATGCTGATGGTGGCCCTATATCAGATCGATATATCATTATGCGCTTGGTTGCGCATTAATTCGATATGTTTTCACTGATAACTGCGCAACAATTTCCCCTCACAGGCACACGCCAAAGGCGCCAGGTGCGGTGAAACTGACCGCAGACCAGGAGGGCTTCGTGAATGCGTCGTATGATGTGGGAAGCAGTTGCAAGGGGATGGTGACACTGTTGGGAAATAGTGGAAAAGTGAAGCTGTTGGGGACGCATAATAGAAGCTATGCTTTGAGAAATTTGCTGGATTCTAGGTAGCCGTGGGACTGCAAACCGCAGCCCCACTCTCACGACTAAAATTAACTAATAGATGTTCGCTTATTCTCTAATATTTCCGCGATGGCTTTTGGCAACTTCCACTCGAATACACAGCAAATTGCGGGGACAGTAATTAAGGCGCATGAGCAGACTCCATTTCTAATCCATGACTTGCCGCTCGCCGTTTGATTTCTTTGCTGGGAACGAAGTGATTAGAAGACTACAACACAAAGGTGCGCGTGCATGGATGGAAATGGAACTGATCGGAAAATCACTCTAAGCTGGGCCATATGCCCAATACAACACCTTGCGCGCGCCACGACGCCAGACCCTCGGCCTTCGGATCGATGTGGATGCCTTAAATTATGGCTTCAATATTTTAGTATGTCTGTCACCTCAGACGAGGCCTGATAAATGGCTCTAAGGGCCCAGAATTGAAACTAGAAGCAGGGCCCTGCTCGTCTTCTACATCTACTGAGGCCTCTAACTTTGGGACGAGCAGACGCAAATGCGAGCAGAGCAACCGCAGGATGAGGATGACGCTAACACGACCACAGAGAAAAACCCGCCTCCAGATCTTATCGATGACCTCGAGGACTATCTGACCGCAGGAGGAGCTGGCGACGGCTCTGTTGCGATTATGTTGCCGATAGTACCTGGCAGACCCCCAAGCGAAGTCAGTGAGGCGTATGGGAGTGACGGGAAGTACCATTATGGCCAAGGCTCTGCCGTTCATCCCTTTGTATATTTTCCTTCACGCTTGTTTTGGCTTTTCTCTAACGCCTGGGAATCTTCGTCGGCATGCCAAATTTCGACTTTTACAGCAATTGGGTTATCGGTTTGATGATAAAGATCCACACGAGTACGTTAGTGGACTTTCGAACTTCACCGGCTGGGGCCGCAGCTATCGTCACCTACAACGACCGCAGCCTGAAATACATCGGTAGCCATACTGACTAGATGACGGCTTATAGGGATACTTTTTGTCTATCAGTCTCTATATACATGGGCCATGTAGTCAGTCGCTTCTTTTCTTATTAAGTGTTGCGCTGCTCTTGTATATCTCGTCTGCTCCTCGTCTTATAATCAGGCACCGCCCCGAATGAATGCGCCAAGAAATGGCTCGAGGAAATGATAGTCGATCACATCGTGACCCTTCGAACATCGAAGTCAGCGAGATGGGGGGGAGGCAAAGCGCACATGCGAGAAGCATGGGCTGCCAGAGGTACTCATAATGTAGAAGCTTTACTATTAAATATTAGCATTTTCAAATATGCTCTTGCTGCTAGTGGCAGCACTACAGACTTTTCTCTTGTCTCCTTTTCAGTCTATCTTGTTATGGGACAGCTAAGCAGTGAATGTGACATCGCAAAACTATCCACAACACACAGTTGACCCGTTCAACGGCGTCCGTGGTCCTCTTACGGAATATGTACGAGGCAAGAAGAAGGAGAAACCCAAAGCCGCAACTGACAGCGAGGCATTTGGCGACGGCGATCAAGACGACACAGCACCCAAGAAAAAGAAGACCAAACGGAAACTGGCGAGGCATTCAACCCTCTCCGATTGCGAGGAGGATGATTAAGTAGTAGTAGATCGAGCAGCCCTATGCTGCATCGAAGTATCGCGTAGCTGAACTTTCAAAGTCATTCTGTAGCCGAAGAATTTCTTTCCAGTTTTGTGTCGTGATCGGCTCCTTTGCAAATGTTCCTGCGTCGTCTTTTCTTTCTGTTTTGCTTCTATTTTTGAAAGTAATTCCTTACTGTCCCGCTGGGGTAGTGTAACTGCATTTGGATCTGTCGCGTAACTACGTTATGACTGCTGACTATATATCTCGTTGCGCTTATAGATAGACTGACAGACTGCCACTAGCGCACAGTCTTCGTCATCATGGTCCCGGAAATGTTAATCAGCATGCTCTCTACTCATATTTCAGCAGATTCGCCTCTCTTGTTATTGTACTAGGGCAGTGCCGCGCCTCCAAAGTGTTTCTTTCAGCGCATAAGCAGGCGCCATCTTTACTTCAACTAAGACCAAAGTGACCAAGCTGAGGCTAGTCCATCTCCGCATGTATTCTTGTAGTTATCTCGTGACAGTAACGCGGTGCGCAATTCTTCAAGCCTGTGTCGATATCAAGCTGAGGGACTGGCGGCGACATATGAGAGAGCTGTAGTCTAGCTCTTGCTCTATCAGTGGTGTCGTTAGAGAGCTCCTAGGAGGCTGCTGCGTATCCAATATCTCAGCTGTACAGATTCACGCCAAAAAAATGCGGTAGGTTTTCGTAGTGCTTATCAATTACAAAAATGGCCTTTCTCATTCTACTGAGCATATGGCTGATGTAGAGTGGATAGAGTTACAACATTATAATGGCCTTTCCCAGTCATCTCTTGCCTTCGCGATGGGCGAGCAGCCGGACCTCCTGTCGCTTGCCAAGCATATATGGCACTGGAACTTTGAAGGCGCTTGCTGTTGGAGTGGTCGCGCTACGGGCTCTTGTTCGTCGTCCCGTGTGTGTTTGTTCGTCGTTCTTGTGGCAGTGACTAACTGTTAGTATAACAAGTACTCAGCTACCACTTCTCTAGCAATGACTTCCATGTCAATTCCAATACTCAATCTCGCTCTACCAGGTGACTATCTTTGGCCCCTGCGGTGCTCTCGATGGCGGATTTGGGATCCTCCGCCTTGGTTTGTGATGGTTTGATTCGTGGCCGGCGCGTCGGGGCTGCGGCGAAACTCACTGGGCCGCATTTCAGTCGGCTCCCGGTGGCATGCCTTGGATATAGCTCCCTTCAATAACTTCAAATAGCGGTCGTTTTCGACTGCCCCACTTAAGTGAGCAAAGCACAACCCAGTTAACTACAGGCCTGTGGCGGTCTTGCAGGTGGCGTATAAGATTATACGCAACGCGCACAAGAGGCAGCTTGGGAGCATCATAAGAGACACCACGGGAAGGGTGCGGCAATATGGCTTCCAGGCCAGGATGGGGCGCCGGGACTATCTGCTGGATGTGAAGGAGATCATAGAGGCAGACGAGGCGGCGGATCTCACGCTGGCACTGTGTGACTTGCGCAAGGCCTTCGATCGAGCGAGGAGAGACAAGCTGTGGAGGATCATGCTAGAACTGGGAGTGCCGGCTGATTATGTGGCCAGGCTAAGGAGGCTTCACGCGAGGACCCGCATGGTCTCACAGTGGGGGAAGCGTAGGGCGGAGGAGGTAGAGATAGAGCTCGGGGTATATCAGGGGTCGCCTATATCGCCCTACTTATTCATCATCTACACCCTCGCGATGAATGAAGAGACTGAGAGGAGGCTAGAGGAGGAAGGGCTGAGGGGGGTAGAGGTGGAGAAGAAGGCAGCCGCGGAGGAGGAGCCGCGGCGGGGATGGGAAAACAGCAGAAGAACTTGGGCGTCAAGAAGGCACCAGTGGGGGAATCCCGCGCCGGAGGAGCGGCAGCCAGGGCGGGGAGTGGTGGTAGATGTGCCGGGAGTAATTGGCGCAAACAGAAACACAGACAAGAGCTTCAGTCTGACAAACTATGCGGACGATGCGAGCATCTGGGGACACAGTGTGGAGAAAACGGTCAGAGCTGTGGAGATCTTCGAGGAGGTGGGAGCAAGGTACAGCATGGTCGTGAATAAGAGCAAAACCGAAGTGCTTACGAGGGAAAAGCTGACAACTGAAGAGAGGCGGGCGCTAAATGAGAGACTTGGCAATGTGCAGTACGCTTCAGGGGGGGCGGACCTCATAAAAAGAAATGGGAAGCTGGTTGGTGATGTCATAAATATATATGGGGCGACCCAACCGGAGGTCTCCGAGCGGCTGAATAAGGCGAGAAAAATAGGGCGGGCGATTGGCCCACTTTTGAGAGATGAGGACATAGATCGGATAGATCGCAAGATGTTAGTAGAGGCACTGGTAGACACGGTGCTGCTCTATGGTTTGGACACGTCGAAGCTGTCTGACCATGACATAGAGCAGATGCAGCAGCTCCAGGCCAAGCTGTTGCGTATGGTGGCAGCGCCAGGAGACGAAAGGCGCATAGGCGAGGCCTGGGCAAAGAGGAAGAAGGAGCTAGGGAAAGACCTAAGCAAAGAGCGAATGGCCGAGGCCTATAGGCAGGTGGAGGAGGGCATACGAATGAAACAGGAGGAGGTGGACAGACGTGTCCCGACGCCGACGGTGCGAAGCAAGTGGGAGCGCTTGCGGCTTCTCGCGGTGGTCGACCGCTACAGGGAGGAGAAGTGGGGGAGATGCCTAGGCAGCGGCGTAGAGTTGAAGGCAAACAGGGGGCCAAATGTCATGCCCGCGAGGAGGGTAAAACTGAAGGAGAGAGACAACACGGAGGAACAGATATGGGAGAAGTTCAGGCAGAGAGTGACGACGAACCTTCGTGGGAGCGACCCGGGGGGTACGAAGGGAATGGAGGAACTACAGAGGATTCAGGAAATCCTCGGGGACGAGGAGAAGCTCGACAAGGAGCCGGGGGTTAAAACCTGGGTGAAGAGGTTGAAGACAAGAAATGTGGAAGAAATGTTGTTCAGGTGCCCGCAGTCGATACATTGGAAGGAGCTCTGGAATGCGGCGACGAGGGTGCTGCATGACACCAGGAGAGGGGAGAAGGAGGCAAGGGACTGGACAATGTGCGAACACTGTGGCAGAGAAGGCCTCAAGGGGCCGCGGGGACTTGTAGGGCACTGGGTTAAGACAGTGAAAAGCAAGAAAGAAGGAGACCAAGAGGTGCGTGGGGAAAAGGCAGCGCGAAAGAAGCTAGAGGAGTGGAAGGACATGAAGAGGGGCGAAGGGGGTGAGCCAGGGGAAGGAGAAGAAGGAAGGGTGAGCAACGAGATGCGCAAGATGTTTCGGGAGTTGTACCTCGAGGGAACAGGGGCCACGGCTGAGGAGATCGAGACCGCTGTGGCGGAGGCAATAGAAGTGGACGCTTGGCCATGGCAGGGGGCTGGAATCTATGCGCATGACCGAGGGGAGGCGGAGGAGGTGAGGGACCTCGCCAGAGATTCCATCTTCTGCATGGAGGTGCAGGAGGAGGAGGAGGGAGAGCGTTGCGAGGTGCCCTGCCTCTGGCAGGTGAAGAGCTGCAGGGGCAGCGTGTCAGAAATTAGAAGGTGTGGGATGTGTCAGATCAGTTACGGCATGAGTGAGGCGCATGCCAATTGGTTGAAAGGTGCGAAAAGGATCAGGAAGGACGAGAAGCGGTGGGAGGTTTTCCACGGAGTCAAGCGGCTAAGGTGGGACCCGATCGCGAAGGTTCACGTGTGTCCCTTTAAGGTGAAGGCATGCCGCTGGCCGGAGGAGCCAGGGGCCCAATGGTGTGAAGGGTGCAAAAAAATAGAGGGTGGGGAACTATGGGCAGAGCACAAACGTGCCAAAGAGGAAGAAGAGGAGAAAAGAAGAGAAAAAGGGAGAAAACAGGAAGAAGAGAAGATGGAGCGGAAACGAAAAAGAGACGAAAAAGACGAAGAGGAAGAGGGGCGCAAACTTGAGCAGAAGAGGAGAAAGAGGGGCAAACAGGTGGGGCAGGTGCAGGCGAAAACAAGGAAGCGAGAAAGAGAAGGGAGCGAGGAAAAGAGCCAGGAGGGAGAAAAGAAGAAGAGGAGGCGGGGCGGATCGGTCAGCGAAGGGGCTGAGAAAAACAAGAAGAGGAAAAGAGGGAAGAGCATGGAAGAAGATGCGGAGGGAGTAAAGCGGAGAAGGAGAGGGGCAGCCCCGGGTGAAGAAGGAGACGGGGCCAGAAGGGGGACAAGTGCAGAGCGTAAGGGCCAACCGGGTGAGGACGGGGAAGGAGGTGGAGAAACGCAGGGAGGAGAAAAAGGGAAGAGGTTGCCAACAGCGAAAAGGGGCCGGCAACAGAAGCGCAAAGTGGCCCACAGTGAAAAGGGCACAAGGCGCAAAGTGTTGGGACGACCTGACCCGGAGAGTGGGGGCAGGATTGAAGGAAAGGGAAAGAAAGGGGCAGGCCAGGAGAAGGCGAAAGAAACCCGCAAGAGAGAGCGGGGGGAAGGTGTGCAGGCTGCAAGTGCAAGAGCAGGCAAGCGCGCAGGCGCGGAGCCGAAATGCCGCGGAGTGAAAAAGGGGGCCAAAGGGGGTAGACCCATGGCCAAGGGCAGCCAAGTAGAGGAGGGCAAGCCCAGCCAAAGAAAGCAAAGGGCTGGACGAAATGAGGCCAGAAGAGCCGAAATGAAGGGGCCGCTTAAGGGGAGGCCCCCTGATGGGGAAGGTTGAGAAGGCGGGCGCCAGAGGCAGGCGCCGCACTTTCCTGGGGTCCCCCGGAGGGTTGGCGGATGGAGTTCCGCGCCCTCTTTGCGGGGTCGAGTTGGGGTCTTTTAACCCTTTGAAGAGGGGCACCCTCTTGAGGATTATGGAGACAGGGGATAGATGGAATCCCGCCCCACCCGATCGCTGGGTGCATCAAGTCAAGTCAAAGTCAAGCCAAGTGAACTTTTTGGAACAGACAGATGAAGAAGACTGGCCGAGTGACCACCGGAACAAACGACACTAACAACAATCCTATACGACAGGCGTGGACGCGTAAAGTATTGCATGGCGATACTAGAAGGGCCAGGGGTCCAGCATGAGCGTGGCGCTGTCGATGTTTGAAAAAGTCACGTGGTGACTGTAAACTGAGACCCACAATAAATATGAAGTGGGTAATTCTCCAGGGGGGAAACACATGGAGCCAGAACTTTCGTGGAAAGTCATCGCGGAGCCAGGGGCTACGCGCGGCGATAGTGGTTGGTGGTCCACTGTGAAAGACCATCAGCGTGGTGAAGATGATGTAAAGAAGAAGAAGACATATAATTAATGACGTAGCAAGTATCTCACTTTTTTTTTCAGTACCCCCCTGGGTGATAAGAAGTCCTGCGCTTGATCTTTGATTTCTACTGAAGAGGAAAAGTGAGATCCTGAAATCTACGAGAGTTCCTCTCGGTCACGAGAGTCTTGACAGCAGGAGTTGAGACCTGCTGTCTAACTAAATGAGTTCATTGAGGCGAAAGCTCGACGAGGGAAGTAATTAGTCGATCGATCTAGTCTATTTGTCTACTCGTTGAGAAGGAAAGAGATCGGCCGCATTATCGATCTCTAACATGAGTCAAATCCTAGCCATTTCATCAAATGGAACAGTTTACAGGAATGGAAAAGTAAAGTTTTATTTTGATGTTGAAAAATCTTCTTCGCTGACGCTCAGAGTATTAAGGTGCTCAAGAACAACGACACAACGTTTACGATCGTTTTTCCCCTTGAGAGATCTCAACGCTTCCACTTTCAACAGAACAGAGAAATCCCCAAAATGAAAATAATGCCTCCTCTTCCTCAAATTTCTATTTCATGTCCTCCGCTTCCGTGTTGACTCGCCTTCTGTGGTGCTTGGCTCTGGTGCCGACCGTGAGTTTTTTGCCAAGTTACGTGATTACCCTTGGGACTTCGCATCAAATATGGAGTGGGTTGTGCAATTGCGCTCACGAAAACCCGAATTGGGCACTCTGGACGCACATTTTCATCATGTTTGTGTGGATCAACATGCTGTTTCCGCAGCTGCTGTCCCATACTGGTGGAACGAGTCGGGAGCCTGTGTTGATGGATCAGGAAAGTCAAAAGCAAGAAGGAGGGGAAACGAGTCGGGAGCCCGAGTCGGATCAGGAAAGTCAAAAGCAAGAAGGAGGGAAAACGACACTGACGACACCGCTTTTGGCAGGTTTTTCTTAGATAGTCCTTTTGATTTCTCTATGCGTTTGAGTTACTAAGAACTAGTCACTTGTAAGTACACGAAAACTAAATACTTCTCGTGGTTTTGGTTTTTCGAGATATCTTCAATACTCTTACTCATCAAGCGTAGTAAGTTTTTATGAAGCAAGTTGTGAAAATAAAAGTTTCAACATCCGTCAACAGTCCACGACAACACCAGGTGGATCTTCCGCCTCCTCTTCGCGAAACCCTCCTCTCACCGCACCCTCCGCCACCGAGTCAGTCACCCAGCAGCAGATGTCCTTCCTCCATCGCTGCATCGTCGACGATTCCCTTCCCAGTTTTCTCAAGAACAATTGCTTTTTCCCTCTACGAACTGTCGGCGACCTGAAGTTTTTGCATCAGAGCAGTGGCTATGCCGCTTATTTCCTAGTCTTTGGAGGCATGTACACGGCGGTGTACTTGTGGTCTTTTCCGAACGCAACAGCGAACGTCCATGAAGACGACAGCGGAAATGGATATGTTGTATGGCATGGAGCAATTGGCTTAGAGTTACAGTGTCAGGTGTGGGGTTCAGAACAGGCAGTTCTTCTTGCTGTCGCGTGCGCCTTCGCGTTACTTAACGCTAGTGTTTCTACTGAAGTGAAATTTCATTGACCAGATCGGCCTAAAACTAGATGTTATTTTCGTCCCGTCATGATCAACTCCTCTTTCCTTCCTTACCTGGAGCGCTGGGTCCACACTCCTGAACGGCCAAGAGGAAGGCATTTCTGTTGGCGGGAAGCCAGTTGCGAGCACGGATTTGTACACAGAGTTTCTCCTCTGGATGTCGCTGAGCCACATGGCTATTGGCATTCTCTACGCGATTCGCATGCGTGGTCTTGGCAACGAAGGCAAGGAGGCCAGAGCTGTAGCGCGTGGGGAACGACGACACTCGAGTATAGTGCGATTGTCCAAAGGCATAGATGAAATCTCAACAGCAACAGCGACTTCGTGGACGCAGTTCTGTGAATGGATCTCAGCGAAGTTTGGGGACACCGATCCTCAAGAGCAAATCATAAGTGAGCCAGAGACAACTACAGTCTCACCCTCTTCATCTTCCTCAAGAACAACAACGATCTCCAACCACCATCTAGAACTGATCAAGGACGCCAGTTGTACGACGCCGAGAGCAGAAAGGGATCGGGATGAGCAGAGGACGTATTTGTTGGAGAGACACAAAGAATGGATCTTTATGGGCATCTTGTGGATCACCGACCCAGCAATCCATCGATTCGTGTGGTGGGGACGGATTATTTGGCTGAGATATGTGTACTCATACTCTTATACTTATTATAAATTTGGCTGCGATAACGATATGTGTACTTTCTACTTACTTATTCTTTTGCTTGTTTTCAAGTGTCCTCTGTAGAAGCAGAATCCTTGAAGAAGTAAGCAGCTGCAGAGCAGCCGGAAATGAAAAAATAGTGTCGAAAACGAAATCCACTTCTTGTTCTTCTAATCTATAGAGGACCTATTTCTTTGGTCTTCATCTCGAAAAATACCTTCACCGCCCTCAGGTACTTCCCCATCATGCAACCTGACGAGTACAACGAGTACGTGAATGGGCAATCGGGGAATTTTGAGCTTTTTAAGCTTTGGACCGACATGCAAGGACAGTATTTTGCGCTGTCCGTGGGAAAAATGTGGGTCAATTTATCCCTTTTCTTTGCCTTAGGATGTCACGCAGTCCGAAGAGCAGACGAGTACAGAATAGCGCATAACAGGAGGAGAAAAGCAGATATGAAGGCTGGAAGGCTGAGCAGGAGCAGCCTGAAGATGCAAGAGGAAGAAGCATCAGCTCTAAGTATCGGACACTTTTCTTTACTTCATGTGGTGAACTTGGTGTTCATTTCACTGTGGTTTTGGTTGAACGGTGTAGACCATATGTTTTGGTATCAAGGAGCAGTCCCACTATGGATTTATGGAGAGATCCTTGTCCTTTTCACGCTCATGACCTTCGGAATCTACGCGATATTTGTTGCAAAGTAAAAGCAACAAGTGCTGATGATAGGTAGCAAACACTTCCTTGGCATTCCCGTTATTTCTCTCTCTCTCTTGTGGACGAAAGATTCTATTCCTTCTCCTCCAAATCTGTCTAGCAAGTAACTTGTCGTTGAATTATAAAGTTAATAAAAGTTTTTTTGATCAAGTAGACAGTTGTAGATAGGCTCCAAAAGAGAACAACCGGTGAATGTTGTCTGAGTGTGCAGCAGCAGACAGTCGATACTGTGAAGTGTGCTGTCGCGCAGTGTCATCACAAGATGAATTGTGTACAACAGGTGTTGTAGAAGGGTCGCGATCACGACACATTCTCACGAGCACAATGAGAAAGCAACTGCTCAATTTGACTTTGAAAGTTGAAAAGTCCATCGTCGTGAACACGCGGCAGCATGTGGACACTTTCGGATAGGTGGCTGCTCTTGTCGACCAACGCAACTTGTGTTCTGCTGTAGCACCATACTTGCATGCCTGCTACAGATTGGTTCATATTTTTTCCTCCCCTTGTCAACGTTCGAACGCATGGAAGCTTTAGCTTCATCCACATGCTTCTCGTTCGACGCTGTATCCGGGTACCACTGCTAGTGGTCTGCCCAGGAGCAATGCCTTCTTAGCTAACCCGCGTACAGATGAAAACCTTCCTCTTCTATTAGCGCTGTCCGTAATTCATCTTTCAAGCGCATCCTTGAAAAGTATGGGGGAGTATTCCCTTAGGATACTCCTCCATACGTAGTTCCAAGGATACGTCCAAAGATGTATTAGGTACAGCCTTAATTCTATGCGCTGTGCTGCCGCAGCTGCCTCTTTCGACTCCATCGCTTCGCTCCTTGCTTCTTTCATCGCCATCAATTCCTGCTGATACAAGCTGTCCCACGCATCGGGCATCCATGAGTGCAGTCCCCAAAAACTAGGTAATTTTGCTGAACTCTCAACGTCAATACCCATGTCGGCGTGTGTCAGTAGCATGTTCAGCTTATCGTGCACTGGCAGGAGGACAAAAAGGTCGTAATATACCCAGAGTTTAAAAGCTACAGCCTTGCATGCCATCATTGATTGTACTTAGAAAAGAACAGGCGAAGTCGCTGATGGAGGATGCAAGACTATGTATGTGCCATTCTTAAAAAACGCCGCCAAGACAAAAGTCGCCGTGAAAGCTGGTTCTTGGAACGGGTGGTCGTATGTGCTACTGCTAGCTCCACTTCCACCTCCTCCACCATTTCCTACTTTGCTCGGATTGCCAAACTTCCTGTACGTCCACAGAGGCATGCAGGCAGCCAGGAGAAAAGTTCCTAGATGAAACGTGACACACGAATTGCCAACCCTAGCTGAAAATGCCATGTAGTACTTGCGCCCTGCACGCATTCCTAATCCCATATCGACGTACATAAAGTGCAGCACCTGTGCTAGGAAAAGAATCGTTGCACTACACAGGAGGCAGAACAGAGCTTTGTCGACCCACAGGTAGTTGTTTCCAGCACTTGACGCCGACGTTGTTGTTCCTGCCCCTGCACTAGTAATGATTCCTCCTTCATTCGCTGTCGCGGCGAATGCAAAGCCTGCCAACAAGGTCGCCACAGTCGAATGCACTTCTGCTTGCCTTTGTAGTGCTGTCGGGTCGGCACTGTACTGGAACATATGCGCTGGCATTCTCGACGGCAGAAAGGATTTGCCTTGTTGCCCAAAACACTTGCTCCTCTTTGTATAAAAAGGATACCACATAGGACCAAAACTAGGATGCTTTCTAAAGAATTCGCCCACTAGTTCATCGACTCGGTCATCTGAGAGCGAGGTAGAGCGGTTTGATCGATGAACCGCACCAGGCCCATAGGAAAAACTGCCACGTCTTGTTGCTCTATGACCCGCGGCCGCGGTCGCACCAGCAGTGTCGTGACCAACATTTTGCTGATGTTGTGGTCCTTCTGGACTGGTGGTCTTCATCTCTTTGGTCTGTTGAGGAATTGCAATTGCCTATCTGGGAAATAGCTGTCAGCTGTCAAAGATTTTTTTGCTATAATGGAGTGGTCTCATTTCCTTTTCCTCAACACTGCGCGGACACTCTCTCAATCCTCATCCGCGCCCGTCCTACTTTATTCACTCGCGGCTCAGAGAGTCTCCTACTAGCGACATTATATTTATACACCAGATGAAGAGGTGTGCTGCCAGTAACATACCGTCTTAATTGTTTCCACCGACAAAACAGATTCAACAGAGCTATGAACCGCTGCCAACTCGTGAGCTCATCGAAACAATCTAACCGACGCATACAACCTGACAAAATTCTCTGGGTTCTTTTGCACATCAACATACTCTCCTGCACGCTGATATACACGTCATGCACATGATGGCTCCTGTGGCGCGAATTGGGGTTGGGCAGATGCCGACAATTTCTTTCAAAAACAACTTGTCTACAGCCTACAGGTTTCTCGTCTTTTAAAACAGGGGATTTTCCACGAGGACATGGTCGGGGTAGAACTAGGGCTAGTAAAGTGTTGCTGTCTTTGTCTCAAGAGTCTTATTCCAAGAACATGAGGGTAATCAAATGTCTTCTAAGAAGTAGAGCCAGAGGAGCCCAAACTTCATCCGGATCCTGATTGATCTGCAGTATCTAAGGATTCTGTTTGTACTCGCGTCACCCATACACCGCACCAGAGCTAAACAGCTTCACAACCCATACGGTGCTGTCCGCACCAGAGCTAAACAGCTTGATTGTGAAGAAGAACTACGGAGTCGAAAGAACCGAAAGAACTACATCCTTTTTTTTCTCCTGCTCCCACCTTCTAGTAAATTTCTTCCGGCTTGTACCCCTGATTACAGGCCACCAAGAGAAAGTAGTGATCTTGGAACAGTCTCAGTTCCTCTACTTCGTCCAAAAATTCAAGCCTTCCAATCCTCTTCAGCTCTTCGTCTGTCATGACCCTGCGCTCATGCTCGTTCATGGTCCAGGCTTTTGCCTCCGCGAAGCCCAACGCCTTGTATCTCGCTTCTTGGTCTGCCGGTGTCTTGTAGTCTGTGATGCTCATCAGAGGACACCCACGTTGGTGCAAATTCCGGACCATCATCTTGCCGAAAGCGGTGTCAGGATTGCACTGCTCGTACACGACAAACTCTTTCAGGGCTCGGCCAGAAGGCTCTTGACAAAGCTGAAGGCAGCTCTTGATCACCTCGTCACCGAATTGGCCTTGCATATAGACTAAGACGCACTCGGAAAGGAGATTAGAGGGAGAGGATGATAAGTTGTAGACAGATGTTTTCCCTTAGGATCAAATTCAGGTTACCAAATACCAGAACCATTCATGTAAACAAGAAGATTGATCGACTTCGACTTCTTCTAGGAATAAAATTGAGAAAGATCATATCAAAGTGGAGGTGTTAATCAAATGATCTCACGATGAGCAGCTCGTAACGAGTGGCAGCTATGTTTTTATACTGAGTCTGGACTGCATGGCATGGCATGAGTCTCGCATAGTCGTACATGTGCTACATATGTCATGAGACTAAACAATATCCAGGACATGATCAGTTGTATCAGTTAAATCAGTGTCAAGCCAACATAACAAACAACGTATTCGCCATTCCGTTCCAGCCAGCGTGAAAGAGAGAATCTTGAAACTCCCTCGGCTGTCGCATATCGCACGCTACCAAGCGATAATGAGCCGTATGAAATTGCTGCACCCTGTGAGTCGCAGACATTGTTGTGAGGTTTTCTGAGGACGTTGTAGTTGGAGAAGATGTAACTCCACTTGTTCCATTCGAGGAGGTAGTAGGAGCTCCTGGTCCTGAGAGGACACGTCCGCCTACGACGACCTGACGAGCGCCGTTGGCGTTAGGTAAAGGTGGCGGCAAACCTGGTCCTGCTCCTGCTGGTACTGGTCCTCGATGGTCCTCGTGCATTGTCACGTCACCAGAACTACTTCCAGGAGGTCCACTACCCACGTCCAACCGCAACAATTCTCTTCCCCTCGGCAGAGTGTTGAGTTTCGAGAGTAGAGTTTTTGTCTTCTTGCTAACAATTACTGGGAAATCGGCTTCGAAGAACACTAGGTCCTCCAGTTTGCGTCCCCATTTCTCAATGTTGGCCGCCACGTACCAATACAGAGTATTCAAGCCAGCGCCTAGGTCCACTATCTGAATAGGCAAGTTTGGATCCGCAGCCTTGATAAACCGCTCAGCCGCACGTCGCATCGCCGTGTAGCGTAGCAGAATGAAGGTGGACGTGGAGTAAAATAAATGGAGGAGAAGTTTTGCAACGATACAGATAGATACAGATACTTCTCTAGCACGTGACTTCTCTAGCAAGGCACGTGAATGTTGAACATGCAGCTTTCGTCCTTCTACTTGGAATCTACTTGCTTTGTTTACGAAGAAACAAACGTCACTAGAAAGATACAGCATATCACTTCATCAATTAGTTTTCTTCAGTTCTTGTTTCACATAAAATAGTATCCGCGATGCATGATCGGGCTTTTTCGTCCAGCGACAAATGCAGGCACAATCTGTCCGATCCAAGGATCTTCGAAGTAGCCTAGTGTCGCACATACCGCTTTCGCCCCAGCCGCGTCTAGATGCGTTGCTTGAACTGGTGCGTCTAGGATTAGAGATGATTGAGCAGTTCCGTAGTTCGTTGTACATTTATAAGTAGTAGTAGAAAGAACCTCAGTAGTAGTAAGTAGTAGGAGTAAGGAGGAAGGAGTAGGAGGAGTAGTAGTGTACGTTGGTGTCAGAATTCTTCTTGTTTTATCACGGCATGTTTTTAACAGACAACTAACTTGGAGCTCCCTTCCTATAATTCGTTCTCATTCGAAAAAACGAAACCAAAACCAAGGATTCTACTAGAAGTACTAGTACTGAGGATTAGGACTAGGATGTGATCCGCCGTCCGCAGGCTTTAGCTGCAGTACCTACAACCAAAATGCAGCACAAAACTTGTGCACTACTTTCAACATAACAAAAGTGAATCTCCTGAAGTCCTGTAACCAGCCGGTGGCCATGCTATTTGCGGCGGACGAGCCTGCGTCGGGTCGCGTTGCTCTTCATCGTCCTCATGCTCGACAGCAAATTGCCCACCAGACGATGGAGGATCTCCGTTGGCAGCTGCCATCATTGTCCTTTGGCTACTCTGCGATGAAGATCTAATTCTAAACGAAATTCCTTCGATAATGAAAAAAGAAAAATGTGGTCGAGAGCAGCAGGAGGTGTAATCAAATATATGTTACACTTACAAGTGTTGCTGGATTCCTACTCACTAAAAACCCCTTCGTCGCTACACTCGAAGCCTCACCCTGCGATGATGAAGAAGATAGATCCTTACAAAGGTTAGAGGTGGCTCAAAAAGCTTAGATCAGAAAAACGCACTCAATCCCTGCTCGTTGTATGTTGATCTGTCGTAAAAACTACTACTGAGGATCAAAGTAGAGGTACAGGTAGAAGCATTCATGTTTGAAGCCAGGATTGATAATTCTTGTTCACTATTCTTCGTGCTGCAAAAGAAATAGCTTTTATGTACGAGTATGTGGATGTCAGTCGCAACCGGAACACTTTGCCTTGATGGAAAGAGACTCCTGCTCCTGTGGTCATGCCCGTCTAGGAAGAACCTTGCTCGCCGCTTGGAGGTTCCTCTGGCGATTGAAGAAGAAACTGCTCGAAATTTTCTGCTCATCTGTGGTCTCAGTGAAATCATGACGATGAGATCTGTAATTCTAACATTTCTATTAATTTCAATTGTTTGCATTTCATTCTTGGTTCTTGCTATACAGCGAATGAATTTGGAAACTACAAGGCTGACGCCCTCCAATCAAACTTTCTATACACTTTGCTGTACTACAACTTCCAGTTCAACCTAGATCTAGTTAACACAATCATGACGACTTATTCGGATAGGATAGGAATTTGCTCGCCTCGGGAAGGTGAGCATTCACGACGATGAAAACGCCGAAACTGATTTTACCTTACTAGACCGAGCTGTGCTTGAGCCGCACGCGAGGACCGACGTCCTCGAAGTCATTTTTGAATGAGTATGAACGTGGATGCTTCTAAGGAAAACTTCCATAAGAGAGAGTCAATGACAACGAATATACTTTTTACTTGGTCTAATATCATGACAGATGACAATGTGATAGAAGATTTGAATTTCCGTGGTGGATTATGAAACGATATTTTTATGATGGATTAAGTAGATTATGTAAAAGAGATTGATATACATATTCGTACAACTTTATGAAAGATCGTGCGGCGCAAGCGCAACCTAGGTACCCTGGCGAAAGAGAATACCTCCTGCTTCGACACTCCTTCTTTCGTTGTAGCTGGCCCTAACTCTAACTTCCTCGTTTTTCTAATTTTTGTAGCCCCCTCTTCATGCTAGTCTCTCCTACCTTCCTACGACCAAAAAAGGGCATTTGAATACGCTTCATTCTTGGTCAGAGTCAGACGCCTCCTCCCGAGAGTTCTATCGCTCAACTAAAAACTTGTTGGTTCAATTACAGTTTAAGTGAAAAACCTATAATTTCTAAAGATGATAGTTGCTTGTTGGTCTGCAGCTGCGCGTACCTACTAGTGATGATTTCTATAATATGTACTATTCCTTAGTTCGTCTGTGATTGAGTGACGACAGGAAAATAAAGAAAGAGAAGCAGCCATTCTAGTAGTAGTTATCTAGTCGTAACTAATTTGAATTTCAGTTTCATTGTTGTTCTTGATCCTGATCCTGAATAAAAAAATTGAATTCTTGATTCAATCATTGTAAATACCCTGCTTGTTGATTATCTGATGCTATTTCCGTTGGTTGTGCTACTCCTCCTACGTACTATACGCATGAAGAGGCACTAGGACGCTCCCGCCCATTTCTTGAATATAATCAATATCTACCTCTCGTGCGACGTAAATTGAATTTCAATTTATCACCTTCTCAGTTTGTTATAGACTAAGACTTCTATCACTAGACCTAGTACTCTAGCCCTACCAGGGTGGAACTTCCTTACTTTCCTTTCCCATTGTTGTACATGTCATCGATGAGGTCTTGGTGTGCGCGCTGGATGACAACCCGTTTCATCTTCAGAGCCGCTGTAAGCATATATTAGAGCTCACCCGAATCCTCCATCATACACAGGGTTCATCTTGAAGCTGTTCTCCCCGCTCCTTATAACGGAACAGTTCCAACAAGATGTCTCAAAAGATGTACTTTATTAAGGAAGCCTCTCCTCTCGTATAATATCTCTCAGCTCGTCACTTACACACATATTATATATCTCACACTTAACAAACACGACATTAATGCAGTTTTTCTAGATGATAGTGGATTAATCAATCTGAATCTTTATTAGAAAAGCCTTAAATGTCGTTCTCTGGTGTCCACAATGCGTTCACGATCCTCAAACGTTGGGGTATCTCGAAATTCACCAGCTTGGACTTCTTGCAGTACTCGACCACACTATCCTGGACAGCCTTGAGCACGGGCGGTTCGGAGATCTATAGAAGGTGATGGAGTCATGGGATGCTATGTGGAATCATGGGATGCTATGTGGAATCATGGGATGATATGTAAAAAATGGTGATGTTGTGTCTTATGTTATGTTATCAGTAAAGGATGACCACGCAATGCGTATCAGTATGTAAAGTATGACGCAATGCGAATGTTAGTAGTAGGACTTTGATAGAAAATCAAAATTTTCATTTTGGTCAGAAAATCATTGTCGTGTGTGTCTGCCTGATAGTGCTGTTCCGAGTACCCGTAGAGTTTTTTTTTTTGCGTTAGGACTATACGCCACCGCCCTTTCAAACAATTAATTAACACGTTCAACTAATGCCATACAAATCAGTGGTTTTTTCGTCAACTGTTTTTCATTTCATCCAAGTGAGACGACCCATCACCTAGAAGAAAAAAAAAATAATAGATGTAACTAGGAGTACAATTTTCTCATAGTCTTCGCCTAATCCCAGTTCTTTGCCCAAGGCCTTGATGCATTTTTCGTTACCGACAACCAGCAAAACCACGAAGGCCTGACCGACCTGACCGTAGCACATGCACATATCCACGTATGGCGAGAGCTTGCCAGCTGACTCCACCTTGGATAAGTTCGAGATACCTCGTTCGCATTCCCGATGCCATCGTTGGCGACTTTTCCCGTTGAGAAAAGAGCCAAGGATGATGTTGAGCAGGATGCGTCCTTGGTACTAGTTGCCGTAAATAAGGCGACGTATTCTCCTTGGGGTCCCTTCCACAAGTCCTTCTTGCGGTCGACGATCTGGAGGGTTCCATTCTCTGTGATTTGTCCAATATCACCGGAACAGAACCAACAGAAGTTAGAAGAGATGGGTGCTGAGAGGTCTAGATTCTACGTGTGGATTTAGATAGAGGTTGCACTTGAAGTTGTAGTCCATGATATTCCTGCTTGATGTGCTTGAGGAAGGAGTCGAAGACGATAAAAAGCCAACTTCAAAAATTTCCAATATGACTAGAAATACTTCTACGATTTGAAGAAACGTCTGTCTGTTTGCAACGGCAAGTCACCATCGTCCATGGAAAGGATCTAATTGTTCCCATCGATCCATAAGATATCCATCCGCTTGCAAATATTCCTCCTGGTTTTTTTTCACCAACTCTTTGTCGTTCTCGTTTAGGTTGTCTGGATCTGGGATAAAGTATCCCTGGGAGACCATAGGACCACCAATCAAAACCTCTCCTCTGGGCTTGCCAATGGCTGGATTTTCCTTGTCGCTGTTGAGGTAGAGACCCTCTGGCCAATCACGGAGACGGATTACCTGTGTGTGAGGTGGATTGATTTTTATTTGTAGTGTCTCAAAAGTCTCGAGTGAGTGTGAGATGGATTCATTTTTCGTAGTGATGTCTCAAAAGTCTCAAGTGATGGATTGATTTTTCGTAGTGGTGTCTCGAAAGTTTCATGTTAGACAAGATGAAGATGGTAGAGGTACTAGTACTGGAATAGATATAGCGCATCTTGGAGGAGAATAATGGAGAGAGAAGAGATGCAGGTCGACGTCTATGAAATTTTCTTCCACCACCCCCTGATAATTGACGATAGGTGATAGATTATAGTCGCACTACTTATTCTCGTCACGCTCATGATTATCCTTCTACGAGTACTACTTTTCGTTTTCACCACAAAATGAAACACAAGTACCGTCGCCATAGTGGGTACACCCACAGTGCTTGGGCTATTGTCACACCAAAAAGTGACACACGAAGCACCAGCAGTCTCTGGCATTAGATGTTGCCTAAAACTAAATCCATCTCGATCAGTATTAGTAGTAGTAGTGTACCCAATCGTCGGGTATACTACTACTACCGATCAGCATCTTGGGTCCCATATTGATTCTCTTTCAAGATGATAGGAAAGACATCTTCCCTTAATATTGAGTCCCTTTCGAGATGTTGGACCAAAATGCTGGGAAAGATTCAGATGGATTTATCTTTTGGTCTCAAGCTGCCATAATGTTAATCCATAGCCTTGACGAATCGGGCAGTTCAAAACGGTCTGAAAAAAAGCCTGCAATTCCTTCGACAGAGGTGCGGAACCAGTGATCACGCCTTTCACTCGTCCACCAAATTTTGCGCGGACAGGGATTAGACGAGGGACTAAGTAGAGAAAAGGGAGCTTCAAGACAGCCGATTCCGCTACTGAGAAAATGGAAACGATTCAGGATGATGATGATGATAGTCGAATCGGGTTGGACCTGCGATTCATATTGAAATCAATCACGATTCCGATTCCGTTGATAAAATCCCAAGCTGCTCATAACTTCCCCAACAACTTATTCGGGAGGAATCCGTACGACCCCAAATAGCAGGTTTCCTGGGTGACTCCACTAGCATCGAACTTGGCACGTCCGTTGAGGATAGCTCGATCAAAAATCTTCTTTTTCAAGCCACTGGAGAAGAGAGCAGTGAGACCATTGTACACCTTTTCTAGGACAGCCGGTGCGAAGACGATGCCATGAGGTTTGGAGACGATAAAATCTCCACTCGATTCAGGCTTCTTCAGTTTGATGCCAGCGTCGGACAGGGTGTGCGGATTGGCATAGCACAGGCACATACGAGAGGCGAGGGACGCGATTTCAACTGTGGTCGTGGTGGTGTGTAGAAATATTTATAGGGAATTTAAAGGGAAGGGTAATGGGAGGTTTAATGAGATAAGGAAAGTAGGGATATCGGGTCGGCTGGAATATGCAGAAAAGCTGCTGCATTTAGATTAGTAAACGCACTACAAAGTTAAGAATACCCGCCAGTTCCATGATATGTGCCAGCGGCAAATAGCACAGCATGCTGTCACCCGGGGTCAAGAGTCCGGCATAAACGTGCTCACCAGCGCCAACGAGGGCATTGACATTGCCGTGAGACAGGACGACGCCTTTTGGCAACCCAGTCGTTCCAGATGTGTACATAATCACGGCTGTAGACTCTGGTGGCGTGTCCTTGATGGAGAAGTCGTCGAGCTTCGCCATGCCTTGGTGCCGGTTAGAGTATGGGAGACGAGAGGAGGGGGAGGGGGGAGAAAGATCAAGAGAATGCTTGTTGCACTCGTGGAGGCAGGAGGAAGAAAGCAATTTTCTCAGCCAGAAAATCCGTGTTAAAAATCATGAATCAGGAATGTCGTGTTTGTGGTACAAGTAGTTCGTTTATTGGAACAAACTGATAGTCAAAATTATCTATAGTATATCTTTTGTCATCTTCTACTTTCACCGACTTGTACAAGGAGTTTATAGGGATTCTCAATATTGCCATATCCACCAGATCCGCGAAATATTCGACGCCCTCAATGCCGCCATGGGCCTGCTTGACCGTCGCGACCGTGTCTTCTGGGGCCAAAGATTTCTTACCCAGAAGGATGACGTGGGACACCGAGTTGCACTCTGGAAGAACTTTTGCCAACGTTTTTGCCAGTTTGAAGTCTGTAATCACGATCTGTCCTTTGGTTTGACCCAAAGCGTGTTTGAGGCCGTCTTCACCAAGAGTGCTGTAGACGGTTACCTTTTAGATGGGGCGAAAAGAGGTAGTTGGATGAAAGAGGAGGGAGAGAAATTTCTGTACTGATGTGGCTTTGTGTGGTGCTCCAGGGGAAGACGAAGGAACAAAGAACAGGGGATGGCAAGGACAAAAACTATACTTCAAATCTCGTAGTGTTGCTGTTGCACAAGGATCCAAGTGCAAGTACTTTGTCATTTTCGTCCTAGGGTTGAACTTGAAATCACAATGAATAAATCATGCAACAGGTACCACCGGCTTCGCTTGTGTGAACGCGGCAATCGCCGAGCAAAACCAATCCATTTGAGTATCAGCGTAGATGACAATACGGCAATCTGGATTGCTGATAGCCCCTTTTGCGAAAGTCGTGAGACCAACAGCAAACGCCTTCACTCTCTCATGAATCTGCTTGTACGTGAGGAAGGTGAGCTCATTCGCAAGGTGGAGTTTTTCGAAACCGTTCTGTAGTTGGTGATGTTGTGTTCGGTCAAGTGAGGGATTTGTTTTTGCGAAGACGCCAATGTTTTTCTTTGTTTTAATTAATATGATCTACCTAGTACTCCACTTCTCAACGAACAATAATTATAATAACTCTAACAAACTACTACTTACTACTAGTTCTTTTCAAAATCGAAAGCAAAATACGAATACCTCATAATAAATCCCAAAAAGCTGACGATATCCAGCTGCGTTGTGATGGGAATATTCCTTGCATGCCATATCCCACAACTCGGCAATGCTTTTGGCCTTCTTCGTACCAACCGTGATTAGGTTGTTGAAATTTCCCGTATAATGCGAGTTGTAAAGCACTGGACCGAGGAGGGGTTAGAAAAGGAAATGGACAACGACAATGTAGGACTACTACAACTCGAGAATCATTCCTATCACAATGATGATGTAAGGACTTGACTGCGATTGCTTGAGGACAAGGATTTTTAGCTTAGCCAGTTGAACTAGAATGAAAGCCGAAACCGCCCAATAGCACAATGTGTGAATATGACGAAGACGAGTCAGAGTCTATGTCTGTAGGTATAATGACATTGATCATTTGATAACTTCATGGAGATTCTAACGAGGACATGAAAAACCTCGTCTGCGTCTCAGTAAAAAATAACTTACACCAATAGGATGGCCTTGTACTAGAAGGGCTTCTAATTTCTGCACACAGTAAGATCTTAGCCCCAACACTGCACACAGTAAGATCTTAGCCCCTTAACCGAACGAAGATATAAATATAAAACTACTCAGGAGAGGGAGGGCGGGAGAGAGAAAACACAAAGGTTCGCGTTCCCAATTCGTGAGGACCTATAACATCTTTCGCTCGCTTGTTTACATACCTCAGAAATCAAACATTTCTTGCACACGTAAACGCACTCACTTCATCATTCGGCTCAGGGGCCGTCGTAGGATGGCCTTGTACTAGAAGGGCTTCTAATTTCTGCACACAGTAAGATCTTAGCCCCAACAAAAGACCTCGAAGCCTATCTTAGTGTCTAGGACCACCGCCCCCTATCTTAGTGTCTAGCACCACCGCCCAACTAAGACCCCGAAGAGCGAGGCCCACGGACAGAAAAATTCAGAAGTGCATGGAGACTCTGGATGTCTACGCTGGACGAGGCGACCCTTACTTCCGTAGCATCGGCCCCGAAAGCCCGAACACAGTCTCCATGTGGAAAACGTGTAGGAGCGTCTGCGGGGTTCTCAGCAGAGCGGATATATCTCAAAACCAAACGAATGTCCAGCCGAGCACAGAACAAATGAATCTGCTGTGCTAAAATACGTAAGACAATATCTTTCGACGTCCCTTTTAACAAAGAAAAAAGAGCAACTTGAGAGTCCAAGAAAAGAACCACAGTGGATCCCCTGATTATTGGAGAAAGAGAAAGGAGCGCGTAATACACCGCGACCATCTCTCGCATGTGAATAACTTGTGAGCGATAACTCTCGAAAAAATTATCCAGCAAAGGCGACGATTCAAATCGCGCCCAAAAGAGTTGCTTGCGCACAAGCGCCGCGAATCCCAGAAGAGATAGCGAGGCGTCACAGAATAAATAATGAATAGATAAGGAACGGAAGGAGAAAACAGTAGGCGCCTGCGTGAGAACAATATCTCGTAGCGTCAAAAGCGTAGGAATTAACTGTCTAGACGCAGACACAGTAAGGGAACCCCCGAGCGGGCGACCTGGCTCCCCGAGGGCCTTCCCCAAAGCTGCATAACAAGGGGAGAGGAGACCCCGCACCGCCCCCAGACGTAAAGCTACCACGAGAAAATTGTATAAACCTAACATCTTCTGAAAGTCTTTTACCGTAATGGCAGCGCCTGCTTTAATTGAAGCGATAAAGTCAGAAATTAAGTCCGCCAATCTTTGCCTTTTGGCGAGACGGATGTCAAGCGAGACGCAATCAACAGTGGTGGAGAACTCAACTCCGAGAATTCGGAGACAAGACCCAGCGAGAGTCTTGTGGGAAGCTATCCTTATGCCTATCAGTTTACACACTTCCTCAACGAGGGACTGTGAGGCATGAATTAAAGATAACCTTTCAACTAAGGAAAAATCGTCGATGTAGACACGACAGAACAAGAAGAAAAACTTCCGAAATACCTCCATTATGAAAAAGGAAACCCTGCACCAATTGAACACGGAAGCAACAGCGCCGAAGGCACTATAATAACAGCGGTGATAGACCCAATCGCCCTCAGCTTCATCCCAAGACCCAATGATATTAAATTTCAAGTGCTCCGACTTAATGGCAGTCTGCTTGTATGCAGATTCAGCGTCGACCCCGATTATACCACAGTGAACATGGGGCCTATGTTCATCTGGCCCGGCCGATATCGGCGTCCCAGGTGCCCCTGCAATACGTGAAACTTGAGCACTCAGTCGTCCTTCGTCGGTGCTCTGTGTTACCCCTTTGAAGGCTTTCGTGGCTGGAGGCGCGGCTTCTTCATCTGCGGAGCAATCTCGGAGAGCTTGCTCCGCCTCCATTCTCCCGAAGGCAGGGATGAAAAGATGGGACCCCGCTGAAAGACGCCCAAGAGCTCTGACAAAAGTCAAAGGGCTCGGCAATGAGAGTTTCTCGGTCATCGTGGTTGCGTCGTTAACATCCCTGAAATGCATGACCGTTCGAATTTTTTCACCCTGTTCAATCGAGTGGCAGTATGCCACTGCTCCCCCTTCGTCATTGACTATTCTACGCACCTCGTCTCTGTGTAGACGATGCAGCCACTTCTTCTCCAACTCTTTCTCAATGTTTTCCTTCGTTGCATGGATCAACTTATTGCCCATCCAAGATGGTCTCGTGCGTCGGAAGGCGCAAGGCGTATCTCCCTCTTCTGGAGGGTCATTTTGAGGGCCTGGCACGATGGCGGGCCAGTTACCAGTCCGAGGGAGCGGCCCTCTGATGGGGAAACCTTCTCGGATATCGCGCCCCAAATGAATGTCGCTTAAGCCTAGCCGCTTCGTCAACTCATCAATAAGGGCCGTGTCGATATGCCCCGATATCGCACGAACATGATGCGCAGCCGAGGCCCAGAACTCTTTATTCTTGCGAACGCATTGGGCCTTCAGGTTTTTCAGGAGCTGCAACCTGTCGCGCCGAAAGGATGCTATGGCAGAATCAGATGAGGCGTCGTACCAAGAGAACACCCTCTCGTCCGCGGCGTCGAACTCAGCACAATTCATAATGTAAATCAAAAGTCGAGAACTAGTGCTAAAGAAGGATAAGATAAAGGCTACAGCTGTGTAGCAAGTATTGAGAACTAACCCGAGGGACAGGAGGCGGGAGCTTCGAGCATTAGGGTGCTTATTACAACATTCTTTGACCGAAAGAAAAGAAAAAACAAAGGTGGCCGCCAGAATGTCGCTGCAGAGGAAGGGGTCAGGCATAGGAAATAAGTATAAGAGGGGATACGTTTAGCCAAGCGGATGGCGGGCTTTAACCATAGACAGATAACGAGGTAAACCTTGTCAAGCATACACAGAACACAAGTTTTCTCCTCTCTCTCACGTCGTACTTCACTCAGGAGCACAGGAGTCCCTCGTCGTATTTCCGCTGAACCTCCAGGAGAGCGGAAAAGGAACGCCAAGGACCGAGCGGCCCATTCGCTCGTAAGTAGAACAGATGAAAACAATCTGGATGACCGAAAGGCCGAGCTGAGCTCGACTGTCGGAGCTCGACAACGGAGCCAAAGATTACCATAGCGGCACGCTCAATGCATATTACTGCGGTGAAGCGCTGGTCCTCTATTGAGGCAGCTGCGCACCGTCTCTTTCAGTGGTAAGACAATGAGGAAAGTGCACTTTACACGAAGACTGCCTTACACCGAGAAAGCCCGACCCTACGATAAGTAGTTCAACAGAGACCACGGACCTAATTGGATCGACAAGTGAGCCAGAAACACGAGCGGGGAAAGTTAGTACCTATGTTTAGGGGCGACTACGTCTACAAAATTTCAGAAGCTGCACAGGTGCCCAAGTCTATATTTGAGAAAAGGCGGCAAAGGCGGACGCGTCGCCAAGCAATCACTTTTCGCTCAGTCGAGAGTCTAGATATGATGAATATAAGAGAAGGTAAGATCAGTCGACGTCTGGAGTGCTTCCCCTAGGGCAGCACGTGGTTACCAAGCGTCGGCCGAGGAAGAAAATAGAGTCACCTATCTCTCAGAGCACGCTTAGATGATACGAGACGCAGGCCAAAAGGGACTGAGCCACGCCATGCGGATGCAGCGACATATTTTTAACTGGTCGCTCACTTGCCGCTCAACTGTAGCGACGAGAGAGGCAACTTATCGGGATAAGGAGAGAGTGTCGCGCATCGAGCGTCCAAGCCTTTAGAATTAAGAGCCGCCTATTTCTTTAAAACCAAAAACATAATACCGGGTAGCGGCAGACAAGATTTTTGAGTTGGATATGTTCCACGAAGTGCTATCACTCGTATAATTTTCTAGTTGCCTACTGTGAGGCGACCACCCTAGCGACTCATTTAAGCGCCGCCGCCCCGCAGAGCTTAAGACGAATCCAGATACACTCATCACGTCCTTTACACATAGTAGATGGGTGCGCCGCCAGGAGTGGGTTGTAAGGTTACCGCTAAAACTATTCGAGACATGACGGATGAGATCTTTGGAGATGGGAAGACAGAACTGCTGATGGTGGTAGCAGAACTTTGCCCCGGTTTGGCTGCCGCAAGAACAAACCCACATTGAGAAATGACTGCACACTTTATCCTTTAAAATTCTCAATCTCAAAGCCTTCTCCGTCCCTCCCACTTTTACGATGTCAGCGTCACAGGAAATGCGAACTGCAGCATCCGACCGAAGGCCGGTGGACAACAAGAGTGAAGCAACAAACTGCACAGAGTTGCTTTGAAGTTTGCCGATCAGTAGGAGATCAGCCAAGGGCGAAGCCTTGCGCGCCTCTCTTTCGAATTCCTTGAGGCGTTTATAAACGTCTTTAATATTTGTTTCGACCCGTAACAGGTCGCTTATCTTTGGAGATGGAGCCGAAGGTGGACGACATCGCTCAAATCGAAATGCACTGTTCACGTACTGGATGATGTTCGAATAACCCGACTGCGCCAGGTGTACGCCGTAACGCAAGAAAACGTCGGAGTCGACATCCGAGCAACATTCAACCTCATCACGATACGATACCCAAGTTCGCTGCTGTGCAAGGTTTACCCTATCCTTTCGCACTAGGGTTAGCCCCGCTGTCTTTGGATCCAAACTTGCCTTTAGTTTTCGCCGCGGCATTTAGCTGCTGGTTGTAGTGCCCGAAGGTAGGCACGGGGAGGATGTTCTGGGAAACGCCGCGCGGGGAGGGGCCACCACGATAGCCTCCCGCTGGAGGGTAATTCCACCACCAAGAGGAACCCGAGCCCGCACTGGGGTCGGGCGATCGCTGCGTCTGCTGAGGTGCCTTGTTAGCCTTATGTTTTGCCCCGCCGCTTCCGTCCGACTTCACGACTTGCACCACTTGCAGTGCCAAACTTTTAATAAAATTCTCAGTGAAGCTCGTGAGCGAGGACCGGGCCGCCTCGGACGCCGCTTGCTCGATGTGCGGCCGTAGGACCCCGAGGCTTGGAACGTGTTTGCGCTGCTCCCTAATTGCTCTCTCGAGTTTATCAACTTCGGACAAGGGGATCCACCCTAAGCATAAGAAGACCCTCGGCGAGTGCAGGGTAATCATCCACTCTTCAGTGCCACTTTTGAACAGTTTGCTAAGGTCAATACTCGAAGGAAATGACCCACTTTCTTTGCGAAAAGTCGCCACCGATTTGAGGAGAACGTCCTGCAAGAAAGACCCGCCAAGCTGCACAACGTACTTATTGACTTCGGCGCGGAGAGCAGCCTTGTCCAACTCGTCCCCCTTAGAGTAGTAAACCCTGTCGGTCAGCTCTCGCACTTGGTCCTCTTCTTCCCTGGTGATATCCTTATACAGTTTTAACCAAGAGATGCTGCGGATTTCACGAATCGACTGGAGGGACCGCCGTTGATTCAGACTGAAGACGTTAGTCACCTGGATGGATACAGTTTCCTCCAGGTGGTTGTAAAGGATCGCGGAGAGCTGCTGCTGCAGAACCTTGTCCACTAAGTTGTCGCTCCGCTTGATGTGATAGCGATCGTCGTCCTCCTCTGTTTCCTGCTTTAGTAAAGCCTTGCTCGTGTTGCCTCCTTGCTCCGTTTTTCCAGCCAGTTGCACGGGAAAGGTGTCGTACTCTCGGTCTGAAGCGTCCGAGCTGCTACTTTCGGCCTTATTTGTATTCGACGTCTTCTTTTCGCGCTTACTGGGCCCAGGCGTGCTGCTCCCTGCTCTCCCACTTTGGTCCTTATTTGCGGCCGGGAAGATTCTGACCGGCTTCTTCTTCGCCGTCGCTTTTCTGATCGTTGGCTTCTTTGGGTTAGCCTTCGCAGCTGCTTTGATTTTCATCGAAGGTGGCATTTTGAAGTGTGCGCGCACTAAGCAATGTAATGTAGCTCCTACGAAGAGGCGGAGACCCTAATGGCTGACGGGAGATAGCTCAAAGGGGGTAGATAACTGAAGTGCCAATAGCTCCCAGGAATAGAAGCCTCTGTGCTGGAATACCACTGGGCAGGGACTTTCCTTGAACTAGAAAGAGGGGGTAACTTTCGTTTTATGCAGGTTCTGCTTTCGAGGAGGAGGCTCACGAAAAGGCTGCACTCTCCTGTTGGTGTCGTTTTTTTAAAATAGATCGCCCATTGATTTCCAAAGTCAGGCTCTCTCAGTCTCTCCTCGGGTTCACTTTCTTGTCTCTCTCTCGTAAAGCACTCGCGCCTTTTTAGTTTCTTTACCTTGGTTAAGACGAAGCTGTAGTAATTGGGACGACCAGAAGGATTCAAACGCCTCTTTTGTCTCGAAGGATTAAAGAGAAAACACAAAGGTTCGCGTTCCCAATTCGTGAGGACCTATAACATCTTTCGCTCGCTTGTTTACATACCTCAGAAATCAAACATTTCTTGCACACATTAATACGCTTCAACCTCAATCTCAAAGGCTTAATGAAATAGCTCAAGAAAGACTTACAGTCTACAGTAACAAATTGTTCTAGTGCAGCTCAGAGTCATAACCAGGTCTAGTATCTTTAGTGCTCAACCGCCTATTGTTACGCGTTAAATAGTAAAGAGTAGCATTACTCAGTGTCATAACCAGGTGTAGTATCTTTCGTGCTCATGTCGAAGACGCCGTAGGGTAGCTGACGGCCCAAGGTGGTTACTTGTCCTGGCGCCGTATTTAGATAAGTACTTCCGCATTACATTCTTCAGAACATCCGGAGCCTATTTCCCCCTTGAAAAGGAGCTAAGGATGGCGGTGAAGGATCCAATGTGGAAACCCTTAACATATGTGCCGGCATCGGTAGGCTACTCGGGTACCCCTTAGAGGGCGCACCACCCATACAACAGGACGACATCTTGTTTTTCGTAGTTGAAGACTTGTTTATTGGAGTTGAAGTAGTTGGAAGGAGGAACTGCTTGTGGTGTAGACGTAGTAGTTCTTCTTGGGGGTACTATGTATAAGTTGAAGTTTTTTGGACTCGCTTGGAAGGATGGACGAGGAAAAAGGGAAAGAGCACAAGTGAGTACAAGTGAGTACAAGTAAGTGCCAGTAAGTACAAGTGAGTACAAGTAAGTACAAGTAAGTACAAGTGAGTACAAGTGAGTACAAGTGAGTACAAGTAAGTACAAGTAAGTACAAGTAAGTACAAGTAAGTACAAGTAAGTACAAGTAAATACTTGTAAGTACTTCAACTTCTCCTAGAGGATATTTCTAAAGGCTACTACTTACTAGAGAGAACTCCAGTATGAGGAGATCTTCATCTGCTTGGACGAGGTATAATTCAGTTCCATTTTCGTTTTAGTGCCTATATATAATTAAAGGTTTTGGAGAACAATGCGGAGTGGATGTGCCTTTTTGTTTATGAGCAGGCTATCAAGTTCTATCTAATCAATTTGAATTCCCTTTTTCGTACTGGTTGTAGGAACATTTTCGGGCAAAATCATTTTTGTCGTTATACTCGTTATTTATTCATCACCATGTTATACTAGATGTTGTAGCTTTTTTCCCGAGCATTGCTTTCTGTGGCAAGTTGCCCTGTCGCTGTAGTCACGTCGTCTGCCAGCCTTGCTGAGGTCCGACACAACCGAGAAATTGTTTACCACCTCAGAATACAGATTTAGTTCTCTTGCAGCCTCTGCACCCCCGATGGAGCCGAAATACTTATTTGGTCATGCGTGCGTCTCTGAACACATAATTTGTCGCATGAGTACTTACTTATACTCGTACTACCTCTCCTGCAAATCTTGAAATCGGAATCACGATGAAAATTCAACAAATTTCAATTTGTACACAGACAGAGAGAGAGAGACACCTGGAGGTTGCAACATCATATGAGTGACAGTCGGATTAGATTTGGTATCGACGGACACGCAACGTACCTGCATGTTGTTCACGACAACATGGCAGGTTATGTGTGTTGATGTGCTAAAAAATGGAGTTGCTTTGAAGCACGCTTCGTTGTATGAAGATGTAAAAATTGCTTTAACAATGAGGACACCATCACTCATACCTATATTTTGGCGACATCGGTGCGTGCGTCCCCCGTTTCGAATCGGATATAATGTTGGCAGTCGCTTATTACTTACACTAGTGAGTTAGCTACTACTTTTTAGCAGCAGATCGGTCTAAAATGAAATATAATGCAGCCTATCTAGTATATTCCCAAGTTGTAGATATTTTTTGTATTACTTCTGTTGAACGCACGACGTGAAACTGAAAGTGAAGTGTGTAATCCTAATCAATAAGAAGTCAGACAAATGTATGGACTGGTAGTTCTCATTCGCCTATCATAATCATTCTGAAAAATTTAGAGGTAGTCCTATCTCCCAGTCGGTAGTGTTCCCGCGGCGATCTCTAGTCATGCGAAAATCATTACCTTCATATTCATCGTTTTTTATGCAAACAGTCGTAAGTTGAAGTTGAAAAAAAAAGTGAATCGAGAACGTAATCGGGTAAGTAAACAAAAGTCGAAGTACATTTACATCCAGTCTATTGAGCTTGACGCACTTATGTGCTCAAAAAAACTGCTGCTGATCTAGTTGATGCATTGTGCGGAAAAAATCGAGAGGGTCCCAATCCGCCTTCTTCATAGAATCCGCATTCTTCATAGCTCCCTCTACGACCCCTGTAACGGAGGTTAGCTTATGTCCGCAACTAATTATGCTGTCATCTCCTTGTTCTCCTTGTTTTCCACCACTGCTTTTCAAATGGAAACTCATCTTCTTGCAATGATCTTCATGATGTCCGTTTGCTGCTACATGTTGGTGTACATCGACAAGATGTTGAAGATCCCCATCACCAACACGATGAACATGATCCTTGTCGTAGCCATCGTCCACTAAAAAGTCTTTTTCCCCTAAGACTTCCCCGAGAATTGTCGTAGTCATCCCCCCATCCGCCTGATCCTCTCCAAAATAGGCATGATCGCTTGCAAGACTGCCCATAAGAGATCTCAATGTGGACCTTGAGGCAATTTCCACTGCGTGGTGCAAACCACGAAAGGCGACGAAAGCTGTAAGAAGTCTCGCCATCTCCTTGCCTATACCTCGACAAGCGCGTCGCGAGCGAGGACTCCGGAAAATCACATCCTGCGCTGTTGTCATTGGGACGTCAGATCGATGTTGCCTAGTACTAGTTCTAGCTTGGCTAGAGGTATGAGGAGCTTCTCTAGTTATACTCGTTGTAGGCTGCTCCGAAGTTCTTGCATGTTGTGGCTCTCGTGAGGCAGCAGTGCCAGTTCCATCGTGTTCTTGCTGGTTCCTTCTACTAGTTTCTGAATGCCTATCTTGATTTTCATCTGCCTCTCTTCTCCTAGTCCCAAAACTCCTAATCCCTGACACCACAGATCGAACTCCAGACACCTCTGGTGGACCTGGAGGCCTAAAAAACTGCTGGAAAGGAAGACGATCTTGATTGTCTGCCCTCACAAATTCGAGTAGAAACATCGCTACTAAGTAAGACTGAGCCAGCGAATCGAATACACTCCAACGGTAAGAAAAAATGCGATCCCTATCTTCTCCTCCATGGATATTTACCTGGACCACGTCATTATCTGCATCTGTACGTGTGTCTCGTCTAGTGGTGGTTGTGGTACTTTGTTCTTCAGTTGTTCTTCTACTATTTCCTGCTCTTGTGGGAGGAGGTGTATCAAAAGGGCCTCGTCCTGGTCCGAAAAAGAACTCTCTAAACCGTGCTATAGTATCTGCCTCCAAGATATCTGTGTCGTCTTCCCCCTCAAACTCATGGTACCCAAGAGGTAGAATGTCTACTTCTTCAGGGTCTGAAGGATCTACAACTTCACCTGATCCCTCAACATCGCCTTCATCTCGACGTTCTCGCAACGCATAATTACTGACAAACTGCCAAAAGCTAAAACCGTCACGGCGTCTACCTTGCCTGTACTTCACGGGGCCGCAACCGCACAAACACATTTGCAGCAAATGCCACAAGAGCTTGCGTGTGAGTTGGATTCGTGGTTCGGTAGACCGGATTTAGAGGTAGGTTTTTGATGGTGCTCGCTTACCCCGCTTGTTATGCCTTTCTCCCTTAGGAGAGGCATAAAAAGCGGTAAGAAAAGCGCCTTTAACCTACCCTTAACGGATGACGAATCGTGGTTGTTGTGCTGGGACATTCATTTCCTGCTTAGAACGACCACTCTTTTCGATAGGTGACGTCGATGATCCAGCGGATGCGGCAGCAACAGACGAGGACACACTAGTAATAATCTCGTCACGAAACAGCGCCGCGCTTTCACTCAGTGCCCAGAAACTACAGACACGGTTGACCAGGCGTCGGAACACTTTTCTGCCTAGCTCGCGTCTAGCCGCTAGTTGAAAGGTAGTTGAAAGGTATGCCTCCTCTTGTGGTGGATCAGCATCGTCCTTGCTCCTTTGCTGCGCACCTTCTTGTTCTCGGATCATAGCTACATCTTCCGCTTCTGATACTCCCTCGGAAGCCGAATCCGACGCAGCCACACTGCCACTAAACCCCTCAAACGCACCATCAGCACCTCCATGATCCGTACTTGGAACTACTGGCACATCAATAGTTGTAACTACAGGCATACACTCTTCTAGGTACCCAGAAATAAAGGGAAATCCTTCACACCTGCACACAGGGCACTTCTTCACTCTATGCCTGAGCATGCAACTTGCATGCACTACGTGCGGTCTCTCACCTGCGCAAGCTAGGAGAAGCACTTCTCCTGCGTTCTCTACTCCGTCTACTGGTCTTGATGAAGTCATGACGGGATGTGGTTGCTCTTTGTCTCGCCCTCCTGGTGGGCCTCCTCGTAGACGCGACGAGGACCACGAACTCGTCTTAGCACCATCAGCCCTTATGTCATCCTCGTCAGGCTTCGCCAAGATCGGCGAGAGACAGATGCAACAGCTTTGAGTCTCATCGATCTCGACATGCCAACCGACACTTTCCTTGATTTCTTCTGTCCACTCTGAAAGGCGACGCACCAACCATGAAGTCACGACCTCAGCTTTGTTGATTCTAGTTGCAGTCATCTTGCTTTTCTTACTTCTATCACGTGGTGCTGTGCCTTTCACCGTCGAACCCTCTTGAACGCTTCCCGTCTCAGTAGTTGCACTTCTTTCTGGAGTATGTTGAGTGCCTCCTACACTGTTGTCCGTGCCCGGGCTCATGTTCCGCCTTATAGAAGAAGCAGAAGACGCGATGCGGTAGAGATCGGTCAAAACCCGCTCACCTACTGCTTGCGCACATCTCAACACTTCATTCGCTCTGCTTGAAAATCGTTGACCGAGTCTGCTGGATCCACCTCTCCTACGAGGTTGCTCTCGTATCATATCCGTCCTGCTGGGCGTTCTTCGAAGATCATTATCTGCAGTAGCTGTTGGTCGAAGATCATTATCTGCTACGCTAGGCACAACAAAATCTAGTTCATCGTCCAGCGAACTAGAAGCTTCATCTGCAGGAGCACGAGACGAGTCATTTACTCGCACTCCCCTCTCTCCTTCTGGTACTAAAAGACACCACGGAAAAGCCAGCTGCTGTCCTGGCGCAATTTCGTCCAAACCTTCTTCAGCTGGAGCACAAGCAGACTGAGTAGACGACTGTGCTAGTGCAGGTGCAGGTGATGACGGCAGAGTAGAGGATGGCGTGTTTGCTATGATGTTGGCACTTGAAGATGCAGTTGTAGATGTGACAATCTTACCATGGTCCCATTCCTTATCGTCACCTGGAATTGGCGAATGGCATTGAAGATTCATCCGTTCAAAGGCCTCGCTAAGGTCAGCACGTTCATCTTCCTCCAGCTGGGCAATAATGTCGGAATCGCCAAACTTCTCATCGACGTCAGGGAGTTGATGCAGCTGGCTCTGCGTTTCTACTCTTTGCTCTTGTTGTTTCCGCAGTGGAAGTCGGCTGGAAGTAGAACTGCTCGCTCCTGCTGAAGAACCTGATGGTGCCAACGAGGACGTCTTCTTCGCATCTAGTATGAGACCTTGCTCTCGTCTACTGCTCTGTTGATCTATTGACGATGACAAGAACTTGTCAAAAATCTCACTTCCACGTAGTTCTTGATGGTGCGCTCGTCGACTTTGAAAAATCGACGCAAAGGCGGGCTCCGCTCTTTCAGGACCAGCACGAGGCGCAGAAGTAGAGCCTTCCCCTTCCTCCTCTTGCGAAGAGCCGATCACTTGCTCCGAAGTAGAAGAAAACATCCGGCGATTCAAACGAAGAGCTCTCGCTCTTCCTGACAATGGTAGTCCATCTCCGTACTTGGCTGCTCCTTTTTCATCTACCCTAAGATGTTGTGCTCCTTCTTCCTCAACCCATGGAACTCCTACTCGTGGTCCTTCTCCAGCTAAGTGGTCCTTAGAAGAAGAAGAAGTTCTACAACTAGTAGTTGTACAACTCGGAAAAGGTAGTGAAACGTTTGGTGTACTAGGCAGAGATGAGATTCCTGAATAGGTGCTAGAAGCACTGGGCGTCGCTGGTGCTGTCGTACTAGCATCTTCAGAGCCACAACGCGATCGCAGAAAGCCACGGCTAGGACTAGGAAGAAAAGGACGCCCGCAGGATGGTGAGCTAGAACTAGAAAGGCTACTCGATAAGGCTGTACTAGTAGGGTTCTTTTCTCCCGTCGTACTAGACCGTGAGGCTGCCAGCACTACGCCACCATCTTTCTCTTCATTTGCATTTCTACTCGCCCCCGTCACCGGGAGGACAAAATGATCATCCGTTATGGACGATGATATTGATGCAAGAAGAAGTAACCGCTTCATGGTGCTGATCATGTGCTTGTTTGCAGAAAAAGAAGCATTTTTGTTTTTCCGCTCTTCCTTTTCACGCAAACGAGGAGGTGCCTTCATCTTAAACATTTCTCAAAAACTAAGGGCGATTCCGATACTATCTTACTCGCTCATAATGTGGATCCTCATTTGAATATGTGTATGCCACTGCGTGCAATGAACTATAAAGAATCAACGAGCCATAGGACTAAGACATCTGTGCATTCAAGAAATATGTTGCAATGCAAGACCTGGCAGTTTGTATCTAAGAAGTACCTAGGAAGAGCGTTGCATATTTAGGAAGTATCTAGGAAGAGCGTTGCAACATGATCAAGAATCACCTGACAACTGCAATCATTAAAGCAATTAGAGGCAAGAGTGAAACTTTCATCGCGGTTTTTTGATACGGATGGATCTCATGGATAGTGACCGTGCTGGCGCAAGACACCCGATGGAGGCGCAAGAAAGACTTTCGAATACAAGACGAGACTGCGCCAGATACTGCGGCAGGAGGCCTTCATCACATCAGTCTCAACATCTTCATCTTGTTTTTTTCTTGAAAAAAGCAACAACAGCGACTTACAATACATCAAATCGCATCAGAGAGAAAATAAAGCATGGCAATCTGGTGATTGGTGCTCTTTCTACTTCGTCGGATCAACATGAGTGAGTTCATCTTGTTCATCATATTTGTATCACTTTCCATCAGCATTTGTGGAAGATTCAGACAGTGGACACTTAAACTGCTTACACTCCTCTGAGCCATCCAAGTGTCTCGTAATCCTGCGCCACGTCAGATTGATGCGCTCCCCCTGTGTCAAAGGATGATCTTGTTGCGCCGTATCGTCACCAGGCCAAACTGAGTGGAGATAGTAAAGCTGGAAGAGTCCTTCCATGGTCATCAAATCTCCGTGGTTTAAAACGACTTCGTGGATTTTTGGATCACGACCCGCGAAAGCCTTTTTCAATCGTACTTGAAATTTTCGAGAACCACCTTGTTCTTCTTCACTTCCAGTCGTTGGTGTCTTGTTTTCTGGGTTATTTCCACCACCATTTTTTCCACCACCTTCATCGTCTAGTGGAGCAGTGCCACCTGCACCTGCTCCTTTGTCCTCCTCCTCCTCCTCACTACCACTGGCCCCACACAATGACAAAGACACAATGCATGCATCTCGATTGAGTCCATCGAAGAGGAACTCGTCATCCGCATGAAACCCGACTCCCCCACCACGAGGATAATAGTTTAAGTTCACTGAGTTTAGATCATCTCCATCTAAACCGCAAACTTCGAAGACACGCTGTGACATCTCTGACAATGGATTAGAGCTATGAAGAAGGGTGAGCTATAGGCATAGCTAGCGTTAGCGTGTTGGAACTGAGGTGATTGACTCGTTCACTTTTTATATCGCTCTGCTTTTGTTTCGCTGTTCTCTCTGCAGGCCTCGGCGTCCTATCCAGCAGTTGTTACGAACAGGCAACAAAGCGCGCTTGGGTTACTGCTTCCACACTCAATTTTCTAGGTCATTTTCACGTGGTCAGTTGTAGGTGAACTCATGTTCTCTCTTCAAGAAACAAGAGCTATTGACTCCAGTATAAGAGAAGGTAGTACATTTAGAGGTAGGTTTTTGGTGTACGTTTACCCCGTTCGTTATGCCTTTCCCCCTTCAGGAAGGCAAAACGAACGGTAACACGAACACCTTTAACCTAGTACCCTTAATACATGCAAGGTCCCAAGTAAATGATAGGATTAGAAATCCTCTTCATAAGCAGGTCTCTCATCCTTTCGTTCGTTATTCGCATCTGCCACGTGTCGCTATAGCCATATTCGCACTCACACTCCGGATTCAAGACGTGCCAAGCCGTTTTCCTCAACAACAGCTTCCCTTTATAATGCGCATCAGTCCAAGCTCCAGTCGTATTCACACCAAGTGCATCAGGATGAAGCTCCCGAAACCAACGAGCTAGCTCGAAAGATGAGAAACGAGGGCGAGGAAGGCTGCTGTTACTGGACGAGGTTGACGTAGGTGAAGGCAAATTGTTGGGATCATCTTTGACCCCGTCAATTATTCCAGCACTGTTATCCGCTTCATGTCTCAATACATATGAGAAACTCCGCCTCGGTCCGTCTTCTAGAAATGGCTTCCATGAAGAAGATCGCTTCTGACTCTCTACATCGGCTTGTTGTGCTTGTCTATCTTTCACCAAAGTAAGCGGTCCTACAGTGCAACGCACACGATCGAGCACGACAGATGCTTGCTTTTCGTCGCTATTCATATCATCGTCTTCTACCATGTCTTGAAAGGGCGTTGAGGATGCCGCTTGCATTTGGGCGGGAGCAATGACGGCTGTGGGATCGGACATAGTGGTAGTTGTGTTTGTGATCTACAACTACAACGAGATGAAAAATTGCGTTGTGAAGAGAGTGAGTACGACCACCGTCATGGAAGTCCGAGTGCCTTCATTCATCAGGGACAGGCGCGAAACACACTTACTCCGAAAATAAGAAACATCCTTTGAAGGGATCATCTGCGTTGAGAAAAAAGTGAAAAAAAAACACATCAAGAAACATCCTCTGAAGGGATCGCTAGGCAGTCAATCCTAATGATCTCAGCAATCTTCATAATCGCATTAACATCATCAACTCCATTTTGATGGTAAGCCAATGTCAAAGTCAATGACCAAAAGAACGGGAGCGTGGTGGAAGGCCAGTTTTGTGCTCTGGCTAGCACGGATTTGCTCGAGCTGGTAGCGGTAGGACCGTTCGTAGGATAGACGCAACGTCGTTTTCCCTGCTATTCTCTCTTGTTGCTGCGGAATTCATTTGTGGTACAGTCACGGAATGCTCCTCACAACTCAGTCTCTCTACCACGAACAACAGTTGAGATGCCAACGTTCTTGGTAGGCTCGTCTACATGATTTTCCTTTGAGAGTCCACGACAAAAAATGCTATCGCGTATCAACTTGACCACAAAAAATCAGAATCTGTACTCTCAAAATAATCAACATTCGTGCTTACGGGGCTAGAAGTTTAGGTACACTGAAAGGAATCATTGTCTTTGTAACAAACAGGGATAGGGAAAACAAGAAATCATGAATATTGATTCAGCTCAGATATCTATTTTAGAGCTGCATAAAACCTCATACACAAGCAACATTCGTGAACCAGAATCTACGACAGCTTCTTTCCCGGTATCGGTGGCGTGACTTGGTCCACACTAACGTAGCCTGGCACCGCACCCGATTTTCCGCCATGTATTAGAAGTGGTCTTCAAGGTCAAGAAGTTGTGACACGAAAGTAGTTGGAAGATGATCACGAGTCGTTTCTACACCTTAGTGCGACATCAAGAGCATAGACCCTAAAAATGAGAGAAGAGGTTGTTGTCATATGAAGCGAAAAAGTGCACTCACACTCAAGAATTTGGCTAGGATTTAAGTAGGAAAGTAGCCACTTTTTTTGAGTGTGAGTGCACTTTTTTCTTTCATATGTCAATATTTGATATTATACTGACAGATCCCATAAAAAGTGATCCCACGCCAATTCGTTGCTCCACCAACAGCCTGAGGCAGCCTGATCCCTCGTTGCTGGACAGTTGATAAAAAGGTTTTGCCCACTCTGCAAGTAGTTCCGATACTGCTCTACCGTGACGCACATGGGTAAGCTTTCGCTTCTCTTGCAGAAACCCTCCTTTTCTGTGCAACAGGGAGTTTAGAGATGAGGGAATCTTGCGGGGGCCGAGGTGGTGCTGCGTCCTATCAAACTTTATTATGACGGGCAGAGAGGGGAGGTGCTACATTATTTTCGAAAGCAAAAGAGAACGTATTTATACGTGCGTTGCAGTTCAAGATTATTTTGAGTTGAAAAATGCTTTTTGTACTACTTTTTAAGTAACCCGTGTCCATAAGTCTCATTCAATTGGTATCTCGCCGAAGCAGGTATTGCACTGCTAGCGAAGCCGAGGAAGCTCTTGACGTCGGTCGTCTCGACTTCACGGCCACTCTTTGAGGACACTCCAGAGTGCCATGGCATGGGGACTGGCTTTATGTAAGTCTTATCGCGGTCCCAGATCTCTTCCGCATCTTCGTCGTCCTTCCCTGTATGTATAACCACGTTTTCCGGTTTGTCAGGAACAAATTCTTGGTCCCGATCTTTGTCGTAGTCGCCTTAGACGAGTTAATACTAATAGGATAAGTAGTCGCTAGGATAATTATTGGGGTTGATTGGACTCGTTACAGATGAAGATGTAGTAGAAGGGAACGCTTTGAAAAGACCGATACGGGTTTTATGTCCTCGTAGGTGTGGATGTGGTTTTATGTCGTAGGAGTAAATAAGACCACGATTGGGATTACCACTGGGGTTGAGCTTGGACTTGTTACAGAAGAGGTAATAGAAGGGTGGGAGTGCTGAGAAAAATACACCTACTGATGTAGTTGCTAGAACACCTACAGTTAGAAAGTTTACTTGATCTACTAATACAGTTCTTGGAGGGTCCAATTGATCTAAAAACCGTAACTCTAAACAACCTAGAACATACGTCGTTCATAACTATAGAACCGTGTTCCATCCGGACTCGTATGTTCTGACCATCCAACGCGCAAGCCAGTGGGTTTTTGAGAGACTGACCATTTGCACCAATCGTTTGGGAGGGCTTGGACACAAATCACATTATTCGGATGTTCCGGGTCGTCACACCAAATACCACGACGAGCGAAATTAGGATACGGCGATCCTTCTTCTGTTAGGCCCTGATTGGTTGAGAGGGTTTAGTAAGGTTGTAGGTAGAGATGTAGAAACAAGCAACATGAGAGCGTTGAGCCCCACAATAAGTAGCAAGGAAGCATAGAGAGGCACAGGCATCAACGTGAGAGGATGACGATGCGCACCTTTTCGGCCACCTGCCTAAGATTTCCCCGGCGAGTTCTACCCGCTGATCTAGCTTCTTGTTGGATTAAATTTATGATATTGGGAGTAATAAAGTAGAAAACAATCAAACTTAGTACCGAACTGCATGGCCTTAGCATGTATGGCATCCTTTTTGGTGCGTTTTTGACGCAACCATTCTTGGGGCAGCCCGTGCGAGGGCACTTTTTGTTAGAGCTCAAAGCAATTCATTTCTTGCTTGCATATGCATTTCTCCCAATTTATTATCCTGAGAAGGAAATAGGGAGAAGGGACTCCTTGTAGAAGTGAAACATATTGATCCTTAATCTTGAGTTTTTCCTTGAAACTCGGATCGTCCTGGGGACAATACTCCGGTTCTCCCGTTTGGGCGTTGGTGCCTTCTTTACAAGCACGTTGAGGACACCCTACGTCGCATGGCGAACCATCAGCCGGACACAGCTGTGCTTTCTCCCCTGTTCCTTCCGGTGTTCCTGATTCTTCTTCGCCAAGACCATCAAACATGAAGCTCGTCCACTGATTCCTCCCGTTGGCATGTTTTGTTGTAGATAGACGCGCAGTCGCTCCTTCTGTGGTCCTCGCTGCAGACGTAGCGAGGAAGTGTTCCAGGTCGTCCGCAACATGCCGCAAAAGCTGCGCCAACAAATTCATCAAGTAGTTGGGATTCCCTTGTTGCTAAGGGTATATCATTTTGAACTACTACATAGCATTCTAGACTGCGACTGTTTCCTTTCTCTAGAAGAGCAAGAGAATCAATTATCCTCTCTATGTATAAGTTCATGTACTACTACCGTCATGTTGCACGAACGATTCATCCTTGATTACAAATTATAGCATCCTTTGCATGAGCTCTACAAGTTCAGGGAAACTTATTCACGTCGCATCCTGCTTAACTTCCATTCACGGTCCTCGATCGACTCGATGAATTCTTACGAGTGTGACAAGATCAAATACGATTTTACACTTACGAAACACTACAGATCACCATAAACGATCAAGCTACAATTATGTGTTGCATTTTCCTCTTGTAATATGATTTATTGAAGAATGCTCTGCAACATCAAGGTGAGGATAAGAAAGTTGCTGTCATATCACTTTGACTTTCTTGGAAATGGGAGAGGGAAGTTAATTTAGAGCAGGTTACGGAATTACATTCCTCAGAACATCCCTGGCTTCTTTTCTACTGGGAAAAGCGCTAGGGATGGTAGTGAGGTATGCAACTCGGAAACCCTTAAGGAAGAGGGTACGGCTGCGGGTACAACTACAACTCGAAGATAGTACAACTAAGTCTTCAATAGCCGTTGTCCTCGCGGCTGGCCTAGATTTTCGAATTCATCCCCGAGTAGAAAAGTTCAAGTTCAGAATGAAAGTATCATGATCTTGTCCAAATCACGCGACTGGGTTTCCTCAGCAATCCTCATTGGTCTTCGTAGGAGTCTTCTCTTCTCCTTCGTCTCCTCCGTCGTCTTCCTCATCCAGCAGCACCTCATCTTCAGGTGTCGGACGGCTCACCACCAGAAGCTTTCTCTTGCCTGTGGGTAGTAGTGGAACTAGAGTTGGACTTGGCGGGCCTTCTCGTCTTATTTGCATGGTTGATGAAGCAGGAGTGGGAGTGGATTGCGATCTTCTTGTTCTATTTGAAGGTGAACGAGAGAGCAGACTTGATAATCTTCGTTGACCTCCTGCTTGATCTTCATCCTCGTCGTCTTCTCCTCCTTCGAGTTCGATCAAATATGGTTCTCCTTGTTCTATTGATTTTGATTCCCCTTCTCTCCGCAATACACCGGGTCTCTTTTTAAAGCTCAGCCTTCAATGGTCACTGACTCTGAACGGAAGGGACCCTCTTCAAAGCTCTCCCCTTTCCCTTCGTTTTCCCCTGTTCTCTCAAGGGGTCGCCTCTTCGATCTCAGTGACCAACTCCAATGACCATTGAAAGTTGAGCCTTAATAATCTTTCGTCCTCGTCCTCGAGTAGAAGCAGAAGTACTCCTAGAAGAATGTCCACCTCCTCCACCCGCTCGGTTCTCTGCACCTGCTGCGAAAAAAGTGTCGTCAAAAGCAAGATCGCTGGCCCTAAAAAACGGATCCGAGGACCCTGCTGCTGTCGCGAATGAAATGAAAAAACCTCCCGACTCATGATCAAGCACTTCGTCCTGGTCCTGTCCGTCGTCATCCAGCACTTCCCCTTCGAGTTTGCGTGCTTCGCGATCAGCCTGTAATTGCTCATCCCGCGTGTCCATTTCGGCTTTGTGCACTTCACGCAGAAAATTTTCGCTCTCCAAGTGCTTGCATAGTCCAGAAGCCCCGATGGCGATCCAGGGTAAGGCGAAGAGGTACATCAGACTGCGGATCGCAACGTGGTTCAAATGAGGAATCAAAAACCACAGTGGGCAACTTTGAGGCGCCATGCAAAAATTGATACCGCATCGGTCGCGCAAACCGATTTCCATCACGTAGCCTCTCCTTTTAGAAGAAAAAACCACAAGAATGTTAGCACTAGCAGCCCTAGCTTATTACATCCAAGTACGAGGACTACACAGAGTACAGCTACACATACACAAAGAGAGGCATTGACATACACGACATAGTACTTACTAGATCGACGAATATGATGAGTACATAGTCCTTGCCACCATAACAATAACAAGCATGCACCCTTGACTGAAGAGAACCAGGTTTAGCGTGGGAGTCCGAAACTCAGCATCGTTACTGTTCCGAAACAAAAACACGCGTTCTATGAGGTCTCTTCGCAACGCCTCATACTCATGCCGATCTTCATCGTCTTCGGAAGAGCCCTCTCCGTCAGCTCCTCTGGACTTCTTGCTGACAGCAGTGCCACGAGAGATCTTCATCTTTCTGACTTGGTCTGTCAGGCGTTGCGTCCAGCTTCTGCCTTTCGTCCGATGCTTCCCGTTCTCACTCGTCTTCTTGGTAATAGTGAGACGAAGATCTCGGTCTCGGCGACCTCGACGTAGTCGTCTTCGCACTCGATCATTTTCATCGTCTCCATAGTCTGCGATGACCCGACTCCTAATCCGTTCATAAACTTTTTCTTTCTCCTGCTTCTTTTTCTGTTTTTTCGTCCTGTAGTCCTCGGCTTTCTGGATCTGAAAAGCATCCACTTGATGTTCGTAGTGGGAATCTTAAAGCAGTCTTGGTCTTCAGTACTCTCTAGTACTCTCTAGTACATATTTATTGATGTGTTGAACTGCTGTCCACTCCCTACAGTGGGATCAGATGAATCACACTGATGTATTTGAGAAATAATGTACAAGAACATGCCTTAAGATTTACTCCTCGAAGGACCTTGTGGTGGGTCCTGCGCATAGTCGTGTTGGATCTCCTCAGACGACGATGACGCTGACCACCATGCTATGTCATGATCTAAAAGATTTGTTTTTCTTCTTTTTATATTCAAGCCACGTGGACCAGGAGATGAAGGAGATCTAGTACAACTTGTCTCACTTATCTGCGTAGGCTCTTGAAAGTGTGCATGTGAGTGGGGTTCTTGTAGAGAATCCCCTAGTTTGTTCTCATCTTTAAAAGTTGTACCAGTAGTACTAGAAGTTTTTTTCATGATACTACGAAGTTTAGGACTTTTTTCTTTCCTACTACTTGTGCCTGTACTTCCAAAAACTCCCATAGTTCTTCTCGTACTGCTACTTCTACTTCTCCTTGTACTTTTTAGCACGGCAGCTGGTCCGACCGTAGGTTCTGTGGGTCTGAAGAAGCTCTCTCTTTCTGTAAGCCACAAAACATCGTCTTCATGCTCGTCCTCAGATGAGTTGTTATCTCCCTTTATGCCTGTTGGCTTCCTGCTCGTGTTGCGTGTATATCGAGAAGATCCAGTATATCGAGAAGATGCAGTATATCGTGAAGATCCCGCACGACCTGACCCTGTAAAAATTCTGCTTTTTTTCATGTTCCTAGCAATGTGGTCGTTGTACTGGAAGTTATCGTCCTGAGGATCCATGTCTGATGCAACGGCGCTAGAAGACGATGAGGATGCTGAGGCTGATGACGAAGACGTGGTGGACAACAAGTCATTAGCTGTTGGCTGTTTCCGAAAGCGGGACCTCTCATCTAACGCTGCTATGGCGCGACGCATCGCTAGTATTTTGGCTACTGTTTGTGGTTTTTTCTTCTTCGCACTTATTCCAGAAGTGGGTCTTCTAGGACTGGCTGAAGTAGGTCCTCTAGGAGCCCTCGCGCTATCTACTTCAACCGATCTTGAGGTTGGATTATTCTTATCCCTGAAGATGATGATACTCTTCTTCGATGGTGACGACGAAGCAGGAGCGGCCATAGAAGCTTCACCTTCCGGGTGGTGGTGGTGAAACATCACACTAGAAGGAGTCATCTTGGTAGTCCTGGTCCAACGTGAAGAGTCCCTAGAATCTACACTGTCTTCTTGTTCTCCAGTGCTCGAATGGTCGCCTTTTTCATCCACATCGTCCATACCATAGAGGTTCTGGTCCTCGTCCTCTCCGTCGTCACGATTTCCACGTGCGTTCTGTCGACTTACATACGCCGAAAAGAGTGCAACGGACCCTACTACCGGACCTCCCGTCATCAGTACCGTCAATCCGGACGAAAGGTTAGAGGTATTTATAGGTAAATACGATTACTATAAGGTAGTTTTTATAACATATTACTTCCCCGTCATCTTCTTCGTGGAGAAGATACAGGGCTTTGCATCTACTTTTTCCCTTCTAGGAACCACGATGAATGGAATGCGCAGCTCCTCACATTCAAAAACCATGTTGTTGCCTACGTACAGTGTGAGTGACATGGACGATTCATTGCCTTTGCTAGTACAGCATTATAGATAGCCTTAACAACAAAGCTCCAGGCCGGATACTGGCGCCCCACCGTTATGAAGAATCCCAAAACGACGAAGCTTATGTAGATGATCACGATGATTCTGTCGCGTCGTTCTCGTTCACGCGCTTCTCTAGAAATCGTCTCCTTCGCTACCCCCTTCTGCTGGTCAGCAATACGCTGATTTTCCCTTGCTACACGTGTCACTGCACCATCTAAGAAAGGAAGATATTCATCGTGGTAATCTTGTTCGTCATCCTGGAGTTGATTCGTGTCACGATGTTGAAGTGGCTCCTTGTAGAACATGACTTGTTTCTCTCGACTGCCTGTACTAGAAGGGTTGAAAGTAGGAGTGATACTACTCCTTGCGCTACGTCCATACTCGTCTAGGGCAACATCCGCTTCTGGTGTTACATCCTCTTCTTCATCTTCGCTTTCGCCTGCCAGATGTGCTAAGTATTCGTAATCATTGTCGACTGCGGGCGGCATGTCCTGGGATTAGAATCAACAGAAAATAGCATGTGTATGCTCCTGATAGTACTACTCATAGCACCCGTAGAGACAGAGTCTGAATGTCGTGATCATGATCGAAATCTGTGCGTCAAAAATAGATCTCGGCGGTTGAGCATTTGGTAGAGTTCTTCTTGCTTCTAATTCTACAATTACTTGGTCCCTCCTCAAACGTCAAAAATCTAAAAACCTTTCGTTCACCTTCATAGCAGTAAATCGCCAGACAAGCACACGTCCACGCTGAGCCGACTCCTACGTAGAATAGTTGAGCAAGCGCGCTCACCCAAGGCATCTGTGTGTTGCGGAGTTCTTGTATTCCCAACCCAGTGTGCGCAAACGCTAGCAAAAAGAGTCCATTTACGAGACTTTCGCGTGCTCCTCGTGCGAACATTCCTGCTGTGGACCCACCTCCCCGAAACTGTTCCGCGGCTCCTCCACGAGCCGACGCACTAGCACGTAGTGCTGCACTTAGAACTGTAAGTGAAGAAATCCACTTTCACTGAAGCTTCATCTTGGTTCCTTTATTTGGATTTGCTTCCATTTCTTGGTTCGTTCCCTGTAGAAGTTGACATAGAAATGGACGCAGGACCAAGATCGATGATGCGGGGGAAGATGGATTTCTTCTTGTGGCCTTAATGCACGCTGCATGTAAAAGCCAGCATAGAAACTCAGGATGACAATGAGGCACGTCAATGCCGTAGCAGACGTGGAATTTTCGACACCATTGCGGTAATACAGTCTGCCTCCTAAGTCAGTTAATTGCCCATTAGTGTAAAGAGCACAGTAGACTCCTTCATCAGTGGTTGAAGTTGATGCTTGTCCTGAACCTGATGAAAATGAAGCAGTCGTACTACTAGAGAGATCAGAACCAGATCCAGAAGCAGCTGCCTTCTTGCTGGTACTACTTCTAGCGAGAGTATCTTCGTCATTCTGAGATGCAACTGATGGTGCTGCTGCAGCACTGGCATCAATATTTTCATTGTCCGCAGTAGATGAAACTGTTGTTCTGGATTTTGATAGTCCTTCGACTTCATCTAGGGAAGTCGTTTTCTTCTCCGACCTACACCCATCACCTCCACAACAACGACATCCTCCCCCGCCTCCTGTTTTAGAGCTACCGCGTTCGCATCTCCCCATTAAGAGCGTCCTCCTTGGTTGCTTCTTTTTCACAAGTTGTAGAGAAAAAAGAACCAAAGTAAGATCTATCATGGTGATGTTAAATAAGGACATGCTTCAGCGGTAGCCTTAACATCTTCTCTCTGATCATGCTCTCCTTCAGCATTTTCAACACCACTTTGTTCGTCAGTCCATTGGGATGGAAAGGCGAGATCTCCTTGAGACCCGATTTCGATCTCCTGTTGATCTGCGTTGTTGCGTCTCACTCTCATCCTTCTGATGATTTGATGGAACTAGCACTTCTTGGTCTCTGTCTCCTTCTTCTTCTTCTTGGTCTTTGCCTCCTGCTTATCTTCATTTCCTCGAGGACGTTGTAGATGTAGACTACTACTAGTTACACGACTAGAAGAAATTGAAATTATCCTTTCTTTTGAACGATCAAAATCGAAAAAAACTTTGGATTTATAAAATTAAGTACAACCTAAGTACTTCTGTTTATCGTAGCTCCTAAGAAAGAACTACACTATTCAGATTGTGCGATGTATTTGAACAGAAAAAGGAGTCGATGAAATCGAAACCCCATTTTGTAGGAGAAATCGAAATGGGCATCCCTCATTGTCGAAACGAGAAGGCTATGATACGAAATTCAACAACCATCGAAACGAAAACGACGTCTTGGTCTACAACTTTCTTGTAGTTGGACTAAAAAAATCAATAGATGAGAAAACGAAAAGCAAGTACTGTTACGAGCAGCTTTTCGATTTTGAATCTAAGCTTTTAGGTGAAAGTCATTGGCGATGGGGCAAAGATGAACTATCATTTAGAGGTAACCGAAGTACAACGAGTACTACTCACAGTAACAGATCGATGAAGTTTTAGTACTGCGACTCAACACTTTTACCGAAACGACAGATCAACAGACACTATTGCTTGGTTCTGAGCATTTGCATAATGACAATTGTAGTAGCTCTCTGCAACTGCATAATACTTCTTTGCCAAACAGTCCGGTCCTTCTGCTGAGTCACGCTCGGACCACAATCACGAGGAGTTGTTGCCGAGCGTTTGTCGTCGCTCGGACCACAATCACGAGGAGTTGTTGCCGAGCGTTTGTGTCTTCAGCAAGTCTTCTGTAAACGGTCAGTATGCGAAGCGTTTAGCTCATCACAATCTATGGAAGTACCTCTGGAATCGTGATGAAAACAAATGAAAATGAATCGAAAATCGAGGACATTCAAACTTATAATATATTACTGTATGTAACAACAATTATGATGTCTCCTGTGTCTACTTACTACAATAGTACAACAACTATATTATTTAGATTTTGATCGTCCAAAAATAAATAGTCCTACTTTATCTCGGTCTTACTTGAGTACCAAAACATTCTTGCCTTAGGTACTCATATATCCAAAAATTTAAGCCAACTGCGGGTACAACTTTGAGCAACTCTGGGAGTAGACCACGAAAGAAACCACGGAGGCCCTGTTTTGATCCGTATATCTCTCGCGCAATGGCCCAGACGCTGCCAGGGTTTCTTAGAGGACTACCACGTTGAGGAGGACTACGACGCTGTCGGTCGTGGTGCAGTATTCCATTCCCGGTACTTCCTAATCCTAAGCAGAGGGATGGATCTCGATGACCTTCTTGAAGATGAGCAGGTTGTAATTACCGCTACGCGTTTCAAGATTTTGACTCTAATACGTAACTCTTTACTCCTGGCTCTGTGAGAACATGGACCACTGCTGGTGCTGCTTTCTTGATGCATCGGCTCTTGAGGTATTACCATTTGTTGTCTCCTACGAATCAAATCGAGTGGATGCGTTGCGACTGAGGAGACTAGACCTGCTACTGTTAGAAGGGATCCCATCTCCGCATGCGTCCTCGCATGTTGTTCTTGACGTGCAGCTTGATTCCACCATTTGTTGTATCTTTTCCAGCTTCCAGGTAGTTTGATACTGATGATCAACCAGGACCACACTTCTAGTGGCTATTAACAAAGACAGCAGCACAGCAGGAGCAGATTGGGAGAAAATCCAAGTAAGTAGCCGTAACACTGCGCCACAAGTTATGCAATGCAGAAAACCTGTTCTTGTTTCGCCTGGCGAAAGCATATGCACATTTAGAGTTTCGTAGATGCCAAACCCCAGTCCCATATTAGCTCCTTGGCACAGCAATGTACAAGGCAAGCCGCGTCTAAGAGCACCCCAAACGGACCCTTCTTCTCGCACTATAGCCAGCCACGTGTCGAGAATCAGAGACTTGGAACGCATCCGGTCTAAGAGGACTCTAGTACTTGATACTACGCCGGTGCTGGTATTAGCAGTCGTCGTGCTACTGGTGAAATGTCGAAGTTGCGCTGATACCATTCCAGAGGCACCAGAGGTCGCACTCGCCTGAGCACCCGACGTAATAGTGCCCTTAATGCCTCCTCTTAATCCTCTGCGCTGTGGATCGCAGGCTAGCCGCGTTCTCACGATATCGAACGGGTACGAGAACAGCAGCGAGAGGACACCACCTTGGGATTAGAGCTGATCTGATCGACAAGCGTGTGGAAGAACATCTAACAGTATGAACAAGAGAACGATCCCTTGTTGACATAGAGCACGACATACACAGCTTCCTAGTACTAGTCTAGAGAGTTGTACCTACGTGAGAGTTGTACAAGAACTCCTCATGAACATGGTGACCCCCAAAAAATAACCAAGACCATGAACAAGATGAAAAAAATTCTACTACTAGTATAATTGAAGATTCCTAACCGAACCCAGCAGCCGTTCGTGCCACGATGCCTACATCGTCCTCGCTGCGCCACAAGGGTCTAGCCACGTCTTTCAACGACTCGAAGAACACGTAATTGAGACCCGTGGCGGTTCCCTTTTGAAGTATTGAAGCCCGAATATTAGAGACCATGAATAGAAGTACTAGTAGTTTACCCATTCTAGGCGTAAGTAAAACTTGTTGCAAAAGAGGGAGGGGAGTATGTTGTATTTTGTGGTATCTTTGATCTCCACGAGGAGACAGGACCGCATGTTGCGATTCTGTTGTTTTACGTTTACGTCCTGTTCGTTGTAGTACTGCCGTCTTTTGCAGGACGAGAAGAGTGATACTACGTCGTACTGCTCCGAGGGATAATTCTCCCTGTACAGTTTCCAACTACTCGTGTAAGTATTCCATTTCCACTGCTACCAACATACGACAAGTTGCAGCCTTAAAATTACCCTTCCAGAAGGACGCCAGTCCCTCCCTCCGCACAGTGTCTCGCCATATCGTGCGCAGATCCACGTTGTTCGCACGAGTTAGAAAATCGGGAAAAATATTCCGTTAGTGCTAACTAGGAGAGCACATCACCTCCAAATAAATCTTAATGTTGGACCACTGCCCCCAGTCCCTGCAATCGGCGCTGTCTGCAACAAAATGGTCAAACGAGATAGAGGCGCTGTAGCAGTTTTCACCAGAAAGCCAGCTACGAATCCGCTAGCAAAGGAGGCATTGACGTCTGTCGCGGTCAGACCAGAGTCGTCCCGTTTCCAGACAGAGCTAGATGAACTAGAAGAAGACGAGCTCATCCTCAGTATTTTGTGTGTGGTACTTGAATCCGCGTATCTCTCCACCTGTCAGTCTCAGTAATGCTCTACAATGTATTTCTATTTCAACAAGAAGATCTTCTAACTAAAAAGAAAGAAAAGGCATGTCCCAGTCGGACGGCAAGGTCGAACGCGCCGAACCCGTTGAAGCTCGTAAGAGAGCAACGCCGAACCCTACACATAAGAGAGCAACGTTGTTGTATGAGATCATCAACGTTGAATTCTTATTCACTTTATTCTTTACCCATAAGCACAGTTGCATCTGCTCAATCATAAGTTACAAGTTGTTGAATTCATTTCCCATCGATGTATGTTGATGTCTTCCAATTTATTTTGCAAAGAAATAGAAATGGAAATCTGTCGTTTTCAAACTGGTATACAGTGGTTAAGTGTTTGCATTCATGATGACTTCTTTTAAGTCGTTTCATCTGTACAATATATTTGATGTCAACCTAAATGATCTGATTGATGTCTACTTGTCGTTAGATAGGAAACAAAAAAGAAAAATATCAATCTATCCAGCTGCACGACTTTTTATTATTATACAGTGTTATCCCATGGTGTTTGATGTTCAAAAGAGTCGTTTTTGGTAGTTGTTGCGTCTATTCCTTAAGTGGTCTTCATTCATTACAAATTCTACAGATGAAAGAAAGCTCAATCAGGTACAATTTGATGTACATTTTCCCCACGATGAAATCATGATCAACTACAAGTCTGTTGTACTTTCTGTTTCACCCCTTCATCAACGGACCTGTCCAACAAGTGCAGCTTCTCGTTTACCCCATGGGCTTGTATTTCGCAGTGCCCAAATTCGTCTGACTGAGAAAAGCTCGATTGCCGTACATGCCGAGAAGGGTCTGGCGTCTCCCATTACGGCGATCCAAGCGCTCATCTCGCTCCTGAAGTTGCGCAACGCTCTTCTTCACGAACTCCTCCTGTGTGGTGGTGTTTGTTTGTTGTCGTGTAGAAAGAAGAGTAAGAGAAATGGTAATGGTCGTGTACTAGGTAGAGGATGAGAATGTAGTCAGATTTCAGCGAAAGATCGTAAAAACTAAAAGAGAAATGGTAAAAACGGGACTACCATGGAGAGAAAGAGAATGCTAACGTCGTCGAACACGAACATCGTGATATTAAGGAAAGTACCTCATACTTCTCCCGAATCTGGATAGCCACACGATGTCGTTTTCGCCACTCCTTGTCGTTTGAGAGGTACCTAGTAGTATGGAGTACGAATTAATGAGTGATGATTGATGTTACTCACCTTACTAGGCTGATTTTTGGAGATGCAACAAGTAGAAGACCAGACGAAATTTGAAGTTGGTCAACATCAACATGATGGAGGAACAAGGTAAATCATGCCTGCTCTTCATTCCAAACGTCGCAGGCTGTCACTATTACCATATCACCTGTAGGAACTTTTCTGCTTGTAAACTATGCGAAGCGAGTACTCCCTTCTTCTTCTCACCACCATGCGCTTCTTGTAAAGTGTCAACTATGATAAATAGTAAAACAAATAGTACTTTGCTTTTTGTTTTTGTCCTAGTTCGGTGGCTGACATCACGGCTCTGAGCTGGTTCCTCGCATAGCCTTCGCGTTGTTCATCACGTACACGCTCTGCTTGTTCTTCGTAGCTGCGCTTGATCAGACGTGGATCGACACGATCCTTGGATGCCAGCTTCGCCGCATGTTGCGGGAAATCTTGCGAGAAAAAAAGAGTTGGCATCTTGTCTTGTTCTTGGTCGTGTTGAGTATATGAATTCAACTGAAGACTGTAGAAGAAAAGATTTCAAATTCAAAGTCAGAGTTCTGCAAGTAGATGTTGTATTGAAATTGAAAATGTTGATGTTCTTCTCTTTCTTATGAATGATAATGAGTTATAACGACACAACCCCCGTGTATATTTCCCTTTATGAATTTCTAAAACGCTTTTTCCTAAACTTTTTGGTTGAAGGAGAAGGTGTTCGGAACTTTGGATTGACATTGAGGATGTGCAACTTCAACGTTCCTTATCTTCGAGTTTTTGCTCATGCGAATCAGAATCTTCACCCTCGTCCTCTCTGTGAAAAACCAAAAGCAAATGCGGCAACGACAAGACAGATGAAAGTTTTTTCTCACACAGAAAAACGTCCATGATCATCTCGCTCAGTCGAGCAGTCCGTCACTGTGAAGAAATTCTCAAAAAACACTCGTCCATAATGTTCAGAAAAGCAACGAATTCGAATTGATTTGACATAGATATGCAAGAAAAAACGACATCAAGTTGCAAAAGTTGCGAGGCCTGAGGTGTTCTCCCAAGTGCCGAACACGAACCGACTCTAGAGGAGTAGGCTACCCAAGACGCACATAATAGCCGAAACCGAGGATTTTTCAAGTTATGAGTTTCAACATGAACAACAAGCATCCTTTCAGTATTCTCGACTCCGGAGGTGGTCATCTTTGCAGCCGAGGCAGGTAAAAAATTTGATAGACGCTTTAGAAATGACATCCATGTTATTGTTGATGATGCGCAAAGCACAAATCTTTGTCAATGAATTTTGTTTTGTTTTTTTTCGTTTTGTTTTTTTGGAAATAGAAAACTCTACAAGTACAACATCTTCATCGTGATCACTCGCGTGACAAAAATTATGATACGACGTAGTTCGATGCCCCTCTTCGTATATACAGCGTTAGTCCGTGACCACCACGCTCTATTTCACGGATACGTTTCCACCTCTGATCTTTCCCCATATCGCGTGACCATCGTTCCGAAGGGTGCACTGGGGTTAGAAATCATAGATACAACAGCTACAACAAGAGGTAGAGGACGCTTTATTCAAGATAATTTGCAGAGATCCACGAGGTAAATAAAAAAGAAACAAAAACAACAACAACTCAATGTCATAAATCCAGATGGCTCTGCTCTAGCCACCTCTGCCGCAGATCTGCTAAATACTCGGTGTCCAGATGACCGAATCGATCGCGGTAGTAAGACTGAAATGTTTCGATTGCACAAGCTTAGAAGGGGTATTGATGGAATGCAAAACAATACAATTAATCTCGCACAAAGTTCAGTGCAGACTGCCGTAAGGGCGTCATAGATGGTCTACACGATGGATATTGAAAAGGCGTTTCAGCTGGTGTCACGACCCTGTGCCTGTCCTTCTTGGTGTAGTAGATGAAAAGTCTCATTCATAGACTTCCAGATTTCATCCTTAATCATCGTCCCATTGTTCACTTCATGTGGTCCTACAAGTACAACTCGTCCTATTGTTCATTCTACTACTTCTACATTCCACCTCATCCATGCCGTAAAAAGGTCGTTCGCAAGATGGTAACCACCAGAAGTCGAAACTCTCTACGCGATCAGTCTGAAACCACACGTCTGTGGAAATACTCATCCGATGACAGTACCCCCTATCGTCTCGCATCCAGCAATCCTTGAGATCCAACTCTGGCCGTACATCCACAGTGAAATTCCCGTTGCCCCAGTCAGTTTTCGTCAGAGGCTGTTTCGTTCGGTAGTGCTTGGTGTCAGTACTGGTGTTAGAACTGCCAAACTGTTGTAACTGATTCCTGGGAAAAGCAGCCAGGCATCGATTATACATGTTTGCTGTACTAGGCAGACCTGACCACTGTAGTATTCTAGAGCAGTTAATAAGAGTGCCAGATCCGGGATGGGATGGATCGGATGGATCGGATGGACTTTCCACCATTTCAAGTAAGTAGGACCGGAAGAATCAGCGGGGTCCATCCGATCCATCCAAGTCCATCCTACGTCCGTTCTATAAACTACTCTAGCTATTCGTAGTTACTATCATCAACATCAACATCATCATCAGTGCATCGCAAATCCAAACACGCCACGCAAACAACAACAAGCTAAGCCTCCATAATGTTATCCACTCTGCGATTGGTATCATGGAGTGCAAAAAAGATGACATTCGGGAATTCCTCGAAGAGTTCACGGCCAAGCTGGTACGCTTCCTGCCCCTTAGGACCATCGAGGAAGAGACGAGTGTTAGAACAGCATGAGGATGAGCAAAGCGTGAAGTGAATTCTTCTTCATGAAATACCCTCTATCTGAGTTGTAGATTTTTATCAGATCATGTATCCAACATCTACTAGAAGTCATGTACCCACGGAAAACAGAGCACTACTTTCGAAGCCATAACTATCCTTTTCTTTGGTTCTCTTTGGATGATAGCTCGAAGGAAATTTTTCGAACTACGTCCTCCAGTAAAGCGGAGCGTCCGATGACGTTTACTTCTCGTTGTTGATAATGTCGTTGTACTTGCATGTTGCTTCTCATTTATTGAACTTAGAGGTAGGTTTTTGGTGCTCGCTTACCCCGCTTTTTATGCCTTTCTCATCCTAAGGGAGAGAGGCATAAAAAGCGGTAAGAAAAGCACCTTTAACCTACCCTTAATGAACGGTTAGGGCTTTCTGCTTTTCTTCTAGACGCGGCTCCTGGTCGTGTTGAAATAGGAAAGTGTGCTTCTACCGTAGGCCAGGAACATGAGAACAAGGCCTCTTTGTCATTTCCTCTTCCACCTGAAGAGGACACAGTTCTCTGCCAACAAGCGTCAGCGTCAACAACGTATCCTTCCCCACTTCTTTTTGCTGCAGCCACTGGGGATAAGGCTTGAGGGGTCGGGTTTATCTCCCCTGTCGTTCCAGACACAGCGAGTACCCCTCGACCGCCGAAAAAATTAGAGACAGGAGAAGCACTAGTTGTACCGCGGGTCTAAGAGACCATGAACACTTTTCACTTCTTGTTCCAGAAGAACGAAGATGAACATGGTTCCAACCATTTGATGATGTTGTCAAATTAGATGACTTCTTTGAATTACACTCTTCCGTAAGAAAACCCGTGGTCGCGTGTCGTGGTAATACTCCTAGGCGATTTTCTACCTCATCGAATTTGAATGCATGCAGTCCCTTATGATGCATCATGGCACTGAAAGGCCGAATACTTTGCTCAGCCATCAGACTCAACAGACCGGGACCACGGAAGCGCTCTAAGCCACGGCGGCGAGTCTGTTCGTCCTCCAAATCAGGATTATGACTACCTGACTTGTGCAGGTAGGTAGAATATGGCCTCTCTCGCTCTTCCTGCAACCGTGAAGCAAGGTTTGGTTCGCCTGCGTACCGTAAGACTCTCCGAATTGTAGAATTCCAATGCTGTGAACTATGTGTACACCTTCGATCGCGTCCACACTTGTCATGAAGCTCAAACGTATGGAGTGTGAAAGACCTTACTTTCTCATGTTGTTCTGACAGTTGTTCTTTTTGTTCTCCCTCTTGATCTTGGTCTTGATCTTGTTCTTTAGAAGCGCTTTCAACATCTCCAGCCTGCCCCCGGTCTTCAACTGCAGCATCGTCATCCAAATTGTCTGCTACTTCCTCTCCATGCTCGTCTTCACCATGATCTACATAAGCGTTTGTCGCAATTAACTGAGTTGACACGCCGAAAGCCGTCCCCGATTCGATAAGGAGATCGACTTAGAGGCACCAAGTAGAACAACCAGTCTTCCAAGATCTCTCTTAGCTTGTTCCAAGACGAAGGAATCGCTTCAAAGATGCTGTAAATAAAGATGGGTTGTTGGCGTTCCCCTTAATCTACGTGGTTTTGCTCAATGGCGCCAATAAGGGCATGCGCTTCGGATGGAAGAATACCTGCTGGTAACCTTTCTGGCGTTCGCACGCGTGGACTATTCACATTGTGTAAGCATGAAAGAATCACCAGTTTGAAACCGATTGAGAACGTCCTGGTATCCGGACAGTTGTGATGTGATTTCAATCTTTTCGGCAATGGATCAAATCACATCCCAACTGTATCAGGACAACATTCAGACCATGTTGACGTCTTATTTCCTTGGTTCTAGAAACAGGAGAAAGAGCCAAATAAATACGGTGGTTTTCAATCGGTATTCAATCACGATCACGTGTTCTCAATCAGTCTTCAGTCACGTCGTCATAAGAAGTAGTTGTAATGTAATTGCGGAAGAACCGCAGGCTTTTTCGTCGGATCCAGGAGATGTTCATCCGGTTCTGGAATCCACCCTCTACTAGGTTCTTCTCTCGCCTGCTCGGACTGTGGCTCTGTTGTTCTAGCTCCTGCCCTCGCAGGAGCATCATTGAGAGCTGCGACCTCTCGACGTCCTCCTGCTGCTCGTTCAACATCTTCATGATGTTCATCTTCTTCTTCTCTTGATAATTTATCTTCAACATTCTTCCTCTTGCCAAGAGCGACCTCATCTTCATCTCCTGCTTGTATGTCGTCCCCTGGTTTCGTCGGCAAAAGTTGGATACTGTACTGCAACCCATGCTGCTCAACCGGTGGGTAGAACTTTCGTGGCAATATACGTTCGAAATATTCTAGCGCTTCTTCCCGATAGTGCGCAAACACTGGGTCGCACTTGCTGGCAGGCGGATCTTCTTCTCTGGAAGAAGTTGAAGTTGAGGGTCCTCTAGCCCCTCCTCGTCGTCCACTATAAGCGTTAGGGTTCTTGTGTCTCGTGCTTCCACTCGATGAGGAGACAGCACCACGACCTGCAAGAAGAACGAGAGGGAGAACGAGCGTAGTAAATATGTTTTTGTTTCTGGACGCACATCCTATGGAAATAAAGGGAAACAACGGTCTTGTCTCCTTGTAAAGATACCCCATAATTCATCCCCCATGGTACTTAGGAAAATATATTCTGCAATTCATGGTACATGGGCTCTAGCGACTTCATATAGAAGACCCAATGAAGGGTTGAACTACGCGGATGTTGGAGCAAGTACTGGTAACAATGATGGTAGATTGTGATTGTGGGGGTAAGGAGAAGGCTAGGGGTGTGGCATTTGACGAAATTCATTGGCATTCATTCGGGGTCGGGTGTGCCTTTGCCTACGTGAGGAACACCCATCGAGGGATTGATATGGCGGTGAAATTTTCCTTCAGGAGTGCTTGCACCTGAATCTCGAAGACTCTTCGTTCTAGCAAACGAAACAAGACCACGTGCCTACAAAATTGGTTTCGGTGAGGTTACTTGTTCTTCAGTGGTATACTAACGCCTCGTAATAACGACTTCATCCTGTGTGGATAAGATGGCACAGGATGGAGTCGTTATTACGAGGCGGCGGCGTTCCTTATAGGGTTCCTTATAGGGCTGCCTATAGAGATGCCTATAGGGCTTCCTATAAGTCCGTGGTCTCAAATACGGGGTCCTATAGGGGGTCCCTATACGAAGGCCCTAATAGGCGTTTCCTATAGAGCCTCCTATAGGGCTCCTATAGGAAAAGCCTATAGCGTTTTGGTTTACCTCTTGTATATATACATGTACTAACGCCTCGTAATAACGACTTCATCCTGTGTGGATAAGATGGCACAGGATGGAGTCGTTATTACGAGGCGGCGGCGTTCCTTATAGGGTTCCTTATAGGGCTGCCTATAGAGATGCCTATAGGGCTTCCTATAAGTCCGTGGTCTCAAATACGGGGTCCTATAGGGGGTCCCTATACGAAGGCCCTAATAGGCGTTTCCTATAGAGCCTCCTATAGGGCTCCTATAGGAAAAGCCTATAGCGTTTTGGTTTACCTCTTGTATATATACATGTACTAACGCCTCGTAATAACGACTTCATCCTGTGTGGATAAGATGGCACAGGATGGAGTCGTTATTACGAGGCGGCGGCGTTCCTTATAGGGTTCCTTATAGGGCTGCCTATAGAGATGCCTATAGGGCTTCCTATAAGTCCGTGGTCTCAAATACGGGGTCCTATAGGGGGTCCCTATACGAAGGCCCTAATAGGCGTTTCCTATAGAGCCTCCTATAGGGCTCCTATAGGAAAAGCCTATAGCGTTTTGGTTTACCTCTTGTATATATACATGTACTAACGCCTCGTAATAACGACTTCATCCTGTGTGGATAAGATGGCACAGGATGGAGTCGTTATTACGAGGCGGCGGCGTTCCTTATAGGGTTCCTTATAGGGCTGCCTATAGAGATGCCTATAGGGCTTCCTATAAGTCCGTGGTCTCAAATACGGGGTCCTATAGGGGGTCCCTATACGAAGGCCCTAATAGGCGTTTCCTATAGAGCCTCCTATAGGGCTCCTATAGGAAAAGCCTATAGCGTTTTGGTTTACCTCTTGTATATATACATGTACTAACGCCTCGTAATAACGACTTCATCCTGTGTGGATAAGATGGCACAGGATGGAGTCGTTATTACGAGGCGGCGGCGCGGCACACGACCACTATTTCTACGACTGCTGTCGTGAAGAAGACTGGTCGAGAATGTTTGTTTGTACACGTTGATGCACCATCGCGCATGCTCAATCATCAACGACAAATTTAATAGCAGGTGCAAGAGTAAAAATCAATGAAGACAAAACGACAAAACAAATCTTACCTTCAATTTCTCTCTGACTGTGCAATATTGGATAGGAGAAACAATACGTTGTAGTAGACAAAACCCATCGGCGCACTACATCGAATTATATGACATGCTTGTAATACTTCGATGACTTTGACAATATTATGTGATGCCTCAATATGCTTATTACAATCATGTCAGGTCTGTACATTCTCATTATCTATATTCCCGCAGCATCTTCACCTAACACAAGACACCTTGCTTTACTGATGGCGTCGGTAATAACGATACAAATCATGCGTGTTGACTGGTTACTTATTACTTAATCACTTGTGAAGTACTTTTGTTGCTAACATTTCGAAGTTCAACTAGTACAGCCGGTTGTGATACTAGTGATGTGATAGTGATGAAGAAGATAAACAACTTTCAAATTTCAAACAGGTAAACGTCGTCGACACATTATCGAGACTAACGCAATAATTATACAAGAACTTGCCCTTAGTTACACTTGCACAGGATATTTTCTCTATAAATTTCACGCAAAGCAATATTGCTTCTGATTGCCTTTACACGGCAACAAGTTGCCTTCCACGCTACTCGAAAAATTCAAAAATTCCCACTTTTCTCAGCTTCTTGGCTCCGGCCGTCATCCATTAGATAGAAAGCGTTTGCGCAGGCACAGCCCCACAAGAGAAGCAATCCAATCTCCGCAAGAATCTGAGTTTCAAGATTGGAGGATTAAGACCTTGGTTTCGTTCCTCGCTCTCGCTGTATAATAAGTATGAATGATGAAAGAACAAAGGCTAATTTGTTACAGTCATTACCAAGAAGTAAAAATAGATACCAAGCACATCGAAGGATCGGAAAAACGCACAAGCCAGACGCTCGCTCGCTTCATCACAGCTTCGCACAGCAGTTGCATTTTCTGCAATCGGTGACAAGAGTCTTAGAATTTCAATGTTCAGAAGAAGAAACGTATATTAGTTCGTTGGAAGGGCTAAACGCTAGAGGTAAAAGCTAACCTGTTGTTTTATTTAGTGCTTTGAGCGCCGCTGGGCCTAAACCTCAACCTTATGTAAAGGAAGAAGCCAATCTAGATGTGCAGCACACCTCAGAGAAAGGGGGAAAACTTATGACAGTCCTGCTATGGGAGGAGGCTACTCAAATATTGTCAGACGATTTTTTGCGTTTAGTTGCTTAATAAAGTTAAGCGACTTAGAAGGCTAGACATTGGCTGTCCACTCTCTTTTTGAAAAGTGGATGCTTATCTCATCAGAGGACGCAGGACACAAGGCGACACTCAGATCTTATCACTCAAACCAGAGCATGATACCTCAACAAAGGAAAACGCGCAAGCACAAGCAACACAGAGATTTGACACAGACAGAGAGGAATTACTATAGGCGACAGCCTAATTGATTGTGTGAGGAACACGGACAAAATCAAAAGCAAGGCACAAGAAAGAGGTGTAAGAACGAGATATGACAGGCCTCTAAAATCATGTCATATCTCTAAGAAACGTATAAATATTAGTTGTAAGAACGAAGAAGAAGTTCCAGCAGCGGTACTCGTATTCGCTTTCGCGCGTTACTGGTACTGCTCTACTAATGATCCTAGTAATTCTCGAGGTAGCCCCGTCAGCCACGACTCTACTAGGTGCAGGTCGTCGTCGTATAAGTACTTATTTGAAAGACCGCCGGCGCGTATGTAATTTGAAGAAAAGAAACCCGTTTGCAAGTTAAACACCAGTAATTTTCTTCAATTTCTTTTTGAGCCATGTGTTTTCAAGCCAGATTTCAAGTCAGGCCTTCGTCACTTATTTTGCCACTTCCGCTCATATATTAGCCTCCAACACTCACATTTTCGACCCTTTGTCGCTCCGTTTCTCCTTCTCAAGCAGGCCGACCAAAACCAGCCCTTGTCGGACACCAAATAGAAACGAGCCACCTTGTTCAAGGTGGACAGTTGTAATCAACGCAGAAGAGTATAAAGTCGATTTTTGAAAAATGAGAGAGGAGGAATGAACCATATCAACAACGGGGCAAGAGATGGGATACATCTCATCGGAACATTGACGATGATGCTTGTCGAGCTCGAGTACTTGTTGTGAGAACCCAAATATACTGCAGAACAACTGCTAACTCTATTGTTCAAACTCAAAAAAGGATTCAAGTGCCAGTTTCTAACCAACCCCGTGCTCGCTTTACTCGTTTTTCTAGATTGTCGATCAGAGAAGAATCTGTTTGGTCTTCTGTCTTTTTTGTCACCTCTAAGAGTTGCAATTCCATTCTCTCTAGAATCTTTAGTCTCTGTTTCAAAGTGGCTCCGGCTGAGTAAAAGAGCTGTAATTGACGGTGAGCGTTCCTCTCATAGGATGTCCAGTTAGCAGGAGGAGTAGAAGTACTTGTTGTAGGATGCTGAAGAGACGTCTTGTACTTTTTTCCTTCTTTCTCCTCCCGCAAGAACTTGTCACGTGCCGCAAGGACCTTTGGATGCTCGCTGAAGTAGGCACGACGTGGGTGTCTGGCTATCTTGCCAAAGAGGTTTGGCGGGATGACAAGTTGCCTGCTGGACAAAGTCATCAAGACATCTCTTTCAACATCGTTCAGTGGTCTCCGGATTGTTGTACTTCTTGCTGCAAAAGTAGTCATATTCGCTTTCGTTGTAGTTGTATCTTCCCCTCCTTTAGTTGTAGCTCCTCCCGAAGTAAGATGATCGATGTTCTCGACTCGTTGTCGTTTTCGTGGTGGTTCATCCTCGTTGCCTATGCCTTCCTCTTCCTCTTCATCGACGTGTTCTTGCGCTAGTCGAAGTTGTTCTCTTCCTCGTCCATATTTCTGCACGAATTCTCCGATGCCAGCCATCTCGTTATCGTCGCGATTCTTAGACACGACAAGCAACCAACTGAACTTGTCAGGACAACGATCGTCCTATGAAACGAAATAAAAGCGCACTCACACTCAAGAAATTGGCTAGGATTTAAGTAGGAAAATAGCCACTTTTTCTGAGTGTGAGTGCACTTTTTTCTTTCATACGGTCCCCCCATAGATTTATAGTGCCAAATAGTGGTCCCATATTCACTGCGACTGACAAAACTGAAGAACGAGTGGGACTACACCACGAAAATAAAAATTGGAGGATGAATTACTACAACTCCCCATTGCTCTTGACCACGAACATTGAAATCTTAATCTATTTGTGAAACCATAATATCTTCTCCTGCGATCATGATGCTTCGTCGTGCTTCTTCAGCTTGACCTGCTGCAGATCCTCCAGTTATCAGTCCTGCCGAAAGTTGGTTCACACGATTTAAAATCCTGGTCTTTGCACTGTGGGCAAGCCCCTGCTCTGCTCCCCCGAGCATCTTCCCGTCTTCATTGTTCCACTGCGTAATTAGGGGTTGAAAGTTGGCATCTCTAGCTCGCATATCTGTGGCTTTCCTACTTGAAGAAGACATAGAGACGCGCATAGAGATGTCAACTCCCAAGCCTTAACGTAAGCTTCCACGAATTTCCCAACTTTCCTGCTGTAGTAGAGCTGTTTTTCTCGGATGAGAGGTGCGACGGCGCAGCGAGATTTTGGACCACCCTGGGATCATTCGGATCGTCGAGTTGGGCCAGTAGGCTGTCTACTTTTCCCAAACCGGAACCGCTACTCTTGGTTTCTTTGTCGCGCTTAGAACTAGAAGGGTTTCGTTACCAGGTTGTTCGGGATCCTTCTAGTCGAAGATCAAGATAATGATGACGCGAATCTACCCTACTGTAGGAAGTTTCGGAAAGAACATCCCTCAAAGTCAGTGTAGAACGACTGTTGAGTACGCACTTATCAAAAATACTTCTGTGGCCATTTTCAAAGGTAAGTTGAGTAGGACGAGTACGTATCTACATGATTGAGTCCATAACTAAGAGCAATTCACGTGGAATGAACGGGTCAAACGCCGGATGCTGCTTGCGGGTCAAAGGCTTTGCTTGGAGAGCTAGGAAGTAATTGCTTTTCAGTACGAACTCTTGCCAAAATTGGGCGTGCGTGAATCGTCGCGGCTCACGAAGCACGTCTTTCGTATAGATCTTCGACAAGTTGGGGTTCTCTCCTAATTTAGAGGTAGTTTGTCACTATCCCTGGTTGAGTGAGTTCTTGCCCTGTCCTGTGTCCCCTTAGACTAAGGCTCCCCTATCCCTCCATTCAGGATACAAGGGGAACTCCAGTCAGGGTATTCCTCCACATGGGATAGTGATAAACTAACCTTAAGTAATATACAAGCGCAAGTTTCCGCATCGAGTTCAAACTCCATCGCGTCTGCGGCACCAGCAGAAGACGAACTAGAAGAGGAGGAAACCGCAAAGGCTCCAAGATATTTCGCTACCGCCTCCGTCATGTCTGTTGAAACGACCTTGGAGGTGGTAGTACTACGACTACGACCTGAAACCCCAAGCCCAATATCGTCACTAGCTCCTTCATGGCCGCCGAGTCCTAGTGACCGTGTAACGGTAGTCGTCGTCGCAATACCTTTGGAGGGCTGCCCGTGGACGAGGTCCTGGTGCTTTGTTTAGAGGCTATGTTGACAAGGAGGTGCTCTGATTTCATTATTGGCTACCATATTAAGGAAATGCATGTTCGCGACAGGTGGAAAACAAAAATTTTCCCAATAAGAATAAAGCCACCTCGTCCAGTACCTAGCTACAACAAATAGCTCAACCTTAAATCGTACTTCTACATCTAGTACTCTTGGTATATGTATCTGTATATTATAGCGAATGAATGGGAACCAATGTCTACTAAACAAGAAAGAAATACTTCTAAGTTGGTATTTTTCCACCAAAGCCTTCTCTCTTAACTTGCAGCACGAGGCACTCCGAGCTCTTGTTCTGACCGGCGTGCAAGATCCAGAACATGCTTCAAAAACTGGAACGGCGTGTGGCTCTTAGCCTCGATCACTAACTCCTCAAACAGGGTCGCATGGGCATCCAATAAGCGATGTAATAGTAAATTGTCCTCTTCCCCAGCCAGAAAGGCTTCAATGGCTCGATCACTCTTCGATGAAGCCTTGGAGGTATCCTCTTGTTCTTGTCGCTCAACTTCGACTTGAGGTTTGTCGGACTGGGTGGGCTGCTCCTCGCTTTCTCTGCCTACAAGACCTTCTGTTCTTGCTGGTCTCGGTATTGGTTGTTCTTTTTGTTGTAGCAAGGTACTAGCAGTATTCCTTCCATCGAGGACCTTGTCTGAAGATACAACTTGCTCTTGCGACGTTCCCGCCACGGGCTTTGCTTCAGGTTCAGAGAGGGCCTTGTTACAAGCCTGCAGGAAGGCCTCCAAGTCCGCAAGAGACGAGAACTGGAAGATTCGCCGCTTGTCGTTTTCGATACATTAGAGGTTGCGGGTAGTTGATAGGTCTGTCATTTCTGTAGAGTTGAGGTCATGATGGATCTCCAGCTCCTGTCCTTATTGCATGTTGGGGTGAGAGGACCTAATTTATCGTATTAGAAGCAAATGGGTGTGATCTTAGATTACCCTCCACGACCAGCAGCAGCGCAATATCTTTATGCAGCTGAACTCTTTTGGTGCAACGAGTAGTAGAAACATTCAACGAACTACATCCTGTAACTCTCCGTATAACGCTGATCTAGATCTCAAGTCTTAACCAAGGATTGCAGCTAAGTTTTTGACACTTTTTTGCAGCTGTTGTCCAGAGAGCTCGTATTCGTATGATGCTTTATTCGCAGACCCATCTCCTTCCGCGAATTGGATACGCCGTCCAGGGAGAAAAGACACGCGGCCATCTTTCTTCTTGTGCTTACAGCGAAACATGTTCTTAGAAGTGGTCTCTTTTTACTTTCTATTCTTTCACATCATACAAGTACAAGCTTTTTAATCAATATCGTAGTGACCACTCGGGCCCGTCATGATGATAATCTCCTGAGATGAAGAAGTCACTTACTTTCTATTCACAACATTCATCATTCTTCGGTATAAACGAACCAGTAGACTTGTTTCATCATCTCTTAGTTCTAGCTTCTGGTTCGGGTTATTTACTAGAAGAAGTATTCGTCGATTTCTCCTACCTTGATGTAGTCCTGCTTTTTTGGAAACGATGTTTTTCGGACTATGATCTCCAACATAAAGTACATTAGTGGATGTGAATACTTCATCTTCATCTAGAAGAGACTCTCCCTTCTTGAGCTTCTTTCCACGCAATGGGACTACGAACGATCTGCGAACCATCCTCGAGGGGAATTTTTAGCCGGCTAATTTATTTTGTGCGCTTTGAGCATCGCGGGACCTACACCTTCCCAAAAAGGCGAATAAATTTTTGGGTGGACTTCTTTCCACACACATTAACATGAAGAAGCAGTGGCTTCGTTGGGTTTCACCACAAGAAATTGTTGTATAAGATGTAGCACATCCTCACTCATTTTTAAGTCAATTTCACATCATTTACTGTCATCTCGTATAAACGTAGCGGTACTCCCGCACCAGATCGCAGTGGTCCAAGAACCCCAAAATTAATATTTGGAATTGGATGAACTAGAACTTTCAAATGAATAATATCGACAGACACAACATGATTATGTGGAATGGAAGTGGAACTTCAAATGGAGGAGGTCGTGGAGCTATGATGAGTAAGTATATTAAGATTTACAGGACACGACACCAGACACGATAACTAGAGGCTATACGAATAATATTTTTGGGTAAGACACGGCGAACGCTAAGTAATATCAAAAAATAAAAAGGACGCGGCGGCAAGCTAGTAGTACGACCACGATATAGCGATCTATTGAGTGTTCTTTGTTGCTTCTTTCTCTTCTCATCAAGATCTGCTGCTAGTACTAGACTCAATTTGCAAAAACAAGATCTTCCATTGAAACAACTTCTTAATGGCTGCTACTGCTTCATAAAAACTAGTTGTACAACTACTGTCTGAGTCTTCATGTGTTCTCGTACAAAAATCATCATCTTGTTTTTAGCTACTTACATCAACTTTAGCAGGATTACTTTTTGAGTAACTCATCACCCAATCACATGTTCTCATGCACTCTACCATGGTAGGGTATTATAACTTTTTCTGTCAAGAACAACTTCTACAACAGGCAGTAGTGTATAACCTCTTCTGTCAACAAGAACTTCTGCATGCAGTAGTGTATGACCAATCAGGAGAACGGCGCGGGCATTGATGGCGGTGCGCATTTTCGATCTCTAGCATTTGCCACTAGCTTTTGAACTGCCGCAGACGAGGTCAGTTGGGCAGTGAAACTTCGCGGATCAGCCCAGCCAGAGCTCAGGGCCTGGCCAACGGCACCGACCCCGCCGAATGCCTGACCAACGGCGTTGCCAAGGTAGGATGCTGCGGTACCAGTAGGTAAAAATGAAGGTGAGGTGGATCTGACGAGGACTACAAGAAGAGAGGACGACAACGAGAGACTGAAATTGAGGTAGATCATTCTTCGAAGAACCAAAGAGACTTGTTGCTGAACAAGTCATCGCTACAAGAGAGATACGTGCATAGAGATATCTGTACTTATGATATTTCTTCCCGCCCACGCAAGTGCACTTAGCGGCCATCTTCATCAGACTACTACCTGCATAGATACTGACACGAATTATACTACTACGATCGATTCTCTTTAATCGATCATAAGCTTCCACGATCATCTTTAATCATTTAAGTCAAGATCATAAACTTCCACTTGCTGTCGAAAGAGCCGAGGAAACGAGTGTGGTTGATTGTGCGTTAGCTCGCGCACGTGCTTCGCGGATCTCCCGACTGATCCTCTCAGTCGCTTCTCTGTACAGGGGCGCATGCTTATTAGAGCCATGTCACGTCGTCATGCCTCGTTTTGCGTCTTGACTAACGTTATTGACGCCTTTCAGCCGACTTATACCTTCTCAGAAGAAGAAGAGCAAGGGGATCGAATGATAGACTAGCAAGAAGTATATATAACCAAATCCAAAACATTTACACTTCATTCATATAATGTCATGTCATGTTACCTCAGGCACTACATGGTGGAGTGGTAACAACAAAAACATTTACATTCATACAAACAAAAGCATCATCATTGTCATGCGTCTCTGGTGGTCACTCTCTACCACTGACGAAACAAAAACAAGTAGGACGAACATCTCAGACTCAGTACACCAGAGATGATAGAGATAGGCGAAGACGAGAGCAAGAACATAACTATGCATTCTAAACAGAACACGAACAGGTGCTGCTGAGGCTGACAGAGGAGGACCAAATGCCATGTTTGTAAGGAAAACAAAATTAAAATTAATGTTGAGTGCTGTCCTAATATTCCGAAAATTTTCCATCCCCTGTTGCCGCATCCGCTCATACCGCTTCTTCAGCTGCCTTTTCACCTCCTCATGACGCAAGCCTTTCTTAGAGAAGCAGGTTGGGTTCTTAGCAACGTTAAGTCTACGTAGAAAGTATCATTTGAACTAGCAGTCATCTACTTCGTTTAGTAACAACTGGAGGTCTTCTGTTTCGTTGTGGTAACAAAAAGAACCTAATTCATTCAATATTAATGTCATAATTTTTGTTTTGAGCCGTGTCAGATATTCCGTGGCCATGCTGTCCCACATTTCCTCCTCCACAGCGGCCTCGAAATACGCATTGGCTGAGAATGAAAATCAAAATATATTATATTTTCAGTTCAGATCTTCCATCCGCATGTATTCAGTACATGCTGCCTGAAGATTCAAGAGGTCGTATGGTAAATCGAGAGCAGGACGACTGCTAATCCCCCATTTCCACCTGTATCATAACTTGTGGCGGAGCCGACCTAACTAGAAAAAAGAAAGACCAGAGGAAGAAATTCGAGGGAAAGGATTCGATATGAAGATGCTAAGTACTTCTAGGTGGAATAGGAAGATAGAAACAAAAGGATGTTGTCTCGCACATAACTCCACATGATCCGTCTCATCGACTAAGAAGAAGTCGTCTGCTTCCTGTGCATCAGCCTTCGCCACCGATGGCCAAGATTAGAAAAGCATCAAACATGGAAGAACCTACAGCTTCATACGATAGAAATAGATTATAGGACACAATTTGGGCATAATTGTTCGTGACAATATCTATCAGAGCTGCATGCTGCTGCATAGGACCGTAGAAAATAAGAAAATTGAGTTCTCTATCTGATACCATCACATAGCATTAGCATCATAGTAGTACTCCAGTCTGGTTACTTGCTACGTATCACTTCTTCGTAATGTTGAGTACTAGGCGACTCTGGTTTCTTCGCACTGAGTAGCAGGAGTGGTCCATCTTTTGGCTCATCCTTCTCCCTGTCAGGAGCGACGGCAGCCTCAGCTGTGCCGATGTTCATCGTAAATTTGCCCTTGGAGCCCAGTTCCTGGGCTATTCTTGGACCACTCGGCTCGAAAATGTTTGCCACACGTTCAGCGCGTTCGGCACTGATTTTCGCGTCACCTGCCTGTCCGCGGTAACCAGCATGAGCGTTCATATCGGCCGAGACATTAGCGAATCACAAGTAGATTAAGATTTTTTGGTGCATGAGCGTTCATATCGGCCGAGACAATAGCGAATCAAATAGATTAATATTTTTTGGTGCATGAGCGTTCATATCGATGAGCGTTCATATCGGCCGAGACATTAGCGAATCACGAGTAGATTTAGATATTTTGGTGCATGAGCATTCATATCAGCCAAGACAATAGCGAATCAAATAGATTAAGATCCATCTCAATCTCTTTTGCTATGAAGTTAGTTGTTGCAGAACAACTACCAAAAAGTAGACTCATTTTCATTATATTATAATATAAGATACACTTTCGTTCTTAGAACTACAAAGTACTACTACTTGAGAAAGCATGATCCATACACTTTCTTACCACAGAGCTGCTGTAAGTACCTAAGCCAAGGCTGTTAGTTGTACAAGGTTGACCCTGACGGATGGATGAAAGACAGTGAAACTTTAAACTGTTCCTCGCGTTGTAATAATACAACGAGCAGCGATGACGTGCCTAGTCGTTCTTAGAACTGCGGAAGTAGATTAGGATCTTCAATATGATTGAATATAAATGATAGGGCAGATTAGATGACCTCCTAGCGGAAGTTGTCCCTCAAAATTGATAAATGTACTAGCAAAAGAACCCTTTCGTAACAAATAGCATCTTGAGATGTGGAGGCAGTTCCCACCAAGTGGCTGGAGGCGGCGGTAGGTTCAAGTCCATCTTGTTTATGGTTTTTTAGAGTTATAGAGACGCATCCAGATAATTTTTAGTTGATTGAAAGGTCGTTGTACTAACTCTGTCTAAAAATATGAAGATCCAATATCCAGCAGACTTATAAAAAGTAGCAGTATCTGTCACAGCTAGTACGCGGGAACAAAGAAAGATGGAAAATTTTTCCGTAGTCACTTCTTACTTTCATCATCAAGTACACGACAGTCGTACGGTATCATTCTTAAGAGAGAAGGGAAGCGCCACTGTCTGCACGCTGCGAAGCGTCCATAGTCTGCTGTATTGTCTGAGCTTTCGGCTGCGCTTGATACGATGATCCTGCTTGTTGTTGATACGATGGTCCTGCTTGTTGTTGGTACAAATGGCTTTGCTGTTGATATGTCGCATGCCCTGCTTCTTGCTGATACGTCGATTGCACAGCTTGCTGCTGATACGTCGATTGCACTCCTTGCTGCGGATAAGATTGTCCTGTTTGCGGTGGATACGATTGCCCTTGTTGTTGTTGATAGAATTTCCCTGCATCCTGTTGGTGAAACTGGTTTTTCGGCTGATAGGTCGCGTGTCCTGCTTGTCCTTGGTAAGCTGGCCCTTTTTGCTGCTGATATGATTGCCCTTGCTGTTGATACAACTGCCCCGTTTGCGGTTGATACGATTGCCCTTGTTCACGTTGTTGATACGACTGCCCCGTTTGCGGTTGATACGACTGCCCCGTTTGCGGTTGATACGACTGCCCTGCATCCTGTTGCTGCAACTGGTTTTGTGGCTGATACATCGATTGCGTCGCTGCTTGTTGTTGATGCGACCACTGGTTTTGCTGGTGTTGCTGATGCTGCGACAATAACTGATCTGCTGAAGGGTGTTGTTGCTGGTTGGCTGCAAGTCGTTGTTGCGCGCTTTCCCTTTCCCGGAAAGCGTTTCTAAAAACTCCCTGTTGTGACCTCGACCGCTCTTGGAGAATGTAACTCCAATCTGATGACGATGTGCCCCCAGAGGACGAAAACTGTTGTAGTCCACTTCTAGAAAGTCGGAGTCGCAACGCGTCCACCTCCATCAAGTAGCTCAAGCTGAGAGATGCTTTTAAAAATATGCAGATCAAGAAGATAAGATCCAACGTGGAAGTAGTTGAAGTTGCTCTTATCATCTTGGTTGTAGTCTTCATCATCTTTGACGTAGTTCTCATCATCTTTGTAGTTCTCATGACCTTTGAGGACGCAGTTCTCATCATCTTATTTGGTACTACTAGAGAGGAGAACCCAGCCTTCTTCATCTGCAAGAAGCCAACTCCATGATTTCCGCCACCTAGCAGACCTTCAAAACAGAGGTTTTTGAACGAGATGAACGGACTCGTCCTGCATTTTTCTTCTGACGAGGACATGGTATTTCTTCCAGTAGGTACACAAAGAAGCTATGTCTCCCTTGGATCCGCTAGGACAGGACACAGACTCTAAAAATGTAGGTCTAGTACTCTTCAGTAGAGCAAAGAACCGAGTAAAAAGTACAAAATCAACTAGAGCTTACAGAGTTTTTTTCGAAAATTCTTTCAGCCTTCTCGAAAACACCACGGATATCGACACCATCCATCCATCAAAAGTCAAATGATGTTGCTGTCGGCAGATCGTCAAGAGCTCACCATCTATCAACAAGATGAACTTCTTCAAAGCATGAGGATCCTACAAACGTGCGTGCTTCAAACCACCTAACACACTAAACGTCGCTCGTAGCTACTTACACAATAAGAAAAATTGCATCATACATTGCGCTCCTTGGGATGGGAAGACTTCAGCGAAAGTCTCTGGCCACTGCATGGGGCGCAGTACGCTTCACAAGCATCAGACAGGCAGAGGGAAAGTGCATTCGCTGCAAGAACAGTCGCCTGAAAGTAAAGCGTGCTCCCCTTCTGTCAGTCAAGACCATGAGGTGCAGTAAATTCACTCACAAGGGTAGCCAGGTCTTGCGAGAAAAAATACATTGCACGAAGGCGTTCAGCGTTCAAGAACACTACGTTTTCACATCCCTGTCTCTGTATCTTTGGAGGTTTGGAGTTTGGGATTGACTTTGAAAACTCGAAAAAATAAATATTTATCGCCTAAAAAGTCTCCCTTTCCTAAATATTTATCGCCTAAATATTTATCGCCTCCCTTTCCTACATTAAGAACTTTTCAGAAATCGTATATAATCATCATTTTTCTTGTTCTGTCTAGGATATCAATCTATCTTTCTATGTTGTTCGTGTTTGTCAGATCAATACGAGATGATGGGTCTCGTTTGCAACTCCTACGACGACTTTGGCTGCGAATACGACCCTCAAACTGCGCGCCCAGTCCACTGCCTTATTCTTTTCGTATCGTCCTCGATATCGCCGCTTCTTAGAAGAGGATGTTTAACGTGAACGGATATGAAAAAACATCCATCACCGACTCAAAGCTATATATAAACATGCGAAAAGAAATGGACTACATTGCGCGAAATGGACTCCTCACTCACCCATTTTTACGTTTCTCATAAGGAAATCCCGAAATTGTTATAGATCGCCATGTCCAGACCCTTGGTTACAGCAAATAGTGCACCGCCTAAACTTCCCGCGACGATGGAACTCAAACCCGGCACAGACCCAAGCAAGAGGCTGGATTTGTGTGTGTGTGTTTGTGTGTTTCTTTGATGGAAAAGCAAACAGATGAGCTTTTTCATCAAAGAAAGTGGATACCGAAAGGTGTCCCTTGATGTGGGAATTGTGTGTGTGCATTGTGAAACTTCTTGCAGTCTGAGTGTGCCAGTGTGTCTGTGTTCTAACAAAATCTGTTGAAGAAACAAATCATGTGGTTGGCTGAGTGATGTCGACGATGCTAGTAGTAGTACTGAAATTAGTAAGTACATCCATGAGATGAAAGAAAGATTGAACACGAGGATTTGTCTGACAAGGATACGATACACGTGCAGGAGAAGTTCAGGCACAAGAAACAAAGGTTGAAGAAAGATCAGACTGCTATTCCACTCCTAGCATTTCTTGTTGAGTCAAATCTTAAGGAAGTTAGAAAATACCCATGCTCCAAAGCAGCTGGCATGACGAATATTCTTAAGTGGAAGAGCGCTGAGGTTAGAGACTTCATGAACCTACCAGATCCTTTAGAGGATTTTACGAAAGTAATAAATATGTTTATTGAATAAAGTAAGTACTCGTTCGTAGACTCCTTTTTGCTTTATGGTTAAATTGAATAAAAAGGCACTAGTTCTTAGACCCCTGATCGCTTATCTAAAACCTGCACTCACGCCATTATAGACATAGTACCTAACAAAGACAGGAATCCATATTCACCTCAAATCTATCAAGTACTTCAAATGAACGCCATCATAATGAGAAAGTCACGCTTCCCGCTACGAAGTCATGGAGTGGTGACCTACACCCATGAATCTGCTCCATAGGGCATATCGAGAAACAGGCTAAGCCGACTGTTAGAGCCAGGCCTAGGCAATCACTATGCGTGGCTGAGTGCCCTTTATCTTCATATCTTAGTTCCTGATCCCGCTTTACTTGTTCAAAGAGGAACTCACTCACTCTCAGCCAGCACAGTCCATACCAGAATCTACTAGACCCTCGCTAATGTGACTGATTTAGCTGAAGCCTGCAGATTCTGAATTGGGAACTCACTGCGTGCGCTCATATATCGGATAGTGACTGTGAATGGCCTTAATACTCCACCCCCCACTCGGGGACCCCAGAGTCTTGCGTGTTGAAGTAGCTCCTGCTGCATCCTCACTGAGGTAAGGCTGAACCCTTGGCGCCCCAAGTGCGTACGTGTAGCGCCCACTAGCAAGCCCCCTGTTGCGCATATTGTCCGCAAGCCGGCATCACTTAGAGGTAGGCTTTTGATGTTCGTTTATACACATACAGTTTGTTATGCCTGTCTCGTCTCCCTCAGGAGAGTCATAACAAACGGTAACAAAAGTACCATTGGGCCTACCCGTAATTGACCGAGACATCCAGGAAAACTCAAAACTCTGGGACTCCACATCAATGTACTTGTAGTCGACGTCTGCTCTTGTGTTGACGTTGTTTCGGGGAACGTCGCTGCTTCATTGTCTTTGTCGTTTAAACTGGAGATTAGAGGCGATTGCTGTCTTTGCGGCTTAATATGCAGCCAGATTAGAGCTCTCTATTATAAGCAAACGAAAACCCTGCGACTAGGAGTCAAAAAGCCCTGAGAACATGCCTGGATACAACACCATAACGAACGAGCCTGCTGCTCTTGCTGTTGGATTTGATGCCCACTACCTTGGCTCCTGGGATAAAAAAGTTCATGTCCCGCGTCCTGGCCATCCATACCTTGGCTCACCGTCGAATTCGTCACATTTGCCCCAGTCTCTGGAGATACTTCATCTCTGCTATTAGCCGCAATCCTAGTCACTGTAGGTGCCTCTCCAGTAGTAGCCATGATCTCTGGAGAGACTTCGTCTCTGGCATTTGCCGTAACCCCTGATGCTTCATCTCTGGCATTTGCCGTAATCCCTGATGCTTCATCTCTGGCATTTGCCGTAATCCTAATCCCTGATGCTTCATCTCCGGTATTTCCCGTAATTCCTGGCGCTTTAGCTGGTATAGAAGCCGGCGGTCTTCCTGTAAAGGACGCAGCATAATTCTCCTGTACCATGACAGTGGACGTAGGCGAGGAGTTGTTCGCTCTTATCATGGTGCGCATCGGTGTAGTTCTAGCAAGTCTTAGAAGCGGGTGTTGTAACTTCTAGTAATGTTAGATGTAGTAGTTGTTCGAGCAAATCTAATTAGAACAAGGCTGATTTTTCAAGTAGGTTAGGCTGATTCAAGTAGGGGTTGAAGTAGAAGGCTCAAGTCTAATTTCTAGAAAGTCATCAAGTATAATCAGAAGAGCGTCTTCCAACATCAACATCTTTGAACAAATCGATCTACTAGTAGCGTAATGTTCTCCACCTCTACTTCTACTCTAACTATTTGTTCAATGTAAATTAGATAAGTTATGACTTCATCTTGTTCTGTCATAAAACTCCTTCCTCTACTGGCGTAAATGTGTCCTCTGTCTTCGAAAAGATGTTGCAGACATTGTCAGGGATATACTTCCTCACCGAGGCCAGGAGCAAGGATGGATATCTACTCGTCTCCGAAGTTTTATCCGCAGCCAATCCTTGTTCTTCGAATTAGAAGGTCGTGATGCATTTTACTGCTCTTCTCTGCCTTCGGATTTGACATCAACACGGATAAGCAGCCTAGCTACACCAAGAAAATAAAAGACAAAACTACCACAAGATAATGTATGAGTTTCGAAATGCACTTATATATAATGGTCCTACGACCTTGGTCCAAGAGCAGCCACAGCCACAAGAAGCTTGCTGGCCTTAGAATCCTAGAATCATAAACATACTTTCTTATGTTGACATGGTGTACTATTAGTTGGATTTTTATAAAGAAGATGAGCTAATACCCAGAAGAAGTACTTGCATTTTTTTAAAAAAGACGTAATCTTAGCTTGGTCCAACTTCGACAAGTACTTGCATTTTTCCCGATGCGTCTCTTACTGGAAGGTACAAAGATGAGCAGTCCGCGTCAGTATTCTCACGAGCATGTACGTGGACACGGAGGAAGCGGCCATCTTTAGACCTCATACGAATATTCACCTTGAAAAGCATCTTTTACGTGCTTTCCCCTTTGAAAATTATACTCACCTTGAGAAGCATCTTTTGCGTGCTTTCCTCTTAGCAAGAAAAGGGGACGAAGATGCTTGTCAAAATGGGACCCATTTATTCCAGAAGTAGTCTTAACATCTTCAGTGAGCTGCCCTCGAACGATTTCCCCTGGTGCTGCTTGTCGAGGCACTCGATCACTGTGTTCCGGAGATGCGCAATAAAGCAAACCGCCATACCAGTCGACACGAAACGACTTCGTAGTTTCCCCCGCGGTTAAAGAACAACTACTAGGAGAATGAGCAGCTGGAGATGAGGATGACATTTTTTTGACAACAACTAGCAGTCCATTCAATTAGCAGTCCTTTCAACTAGCAGTCCTTTCAACTAGCAGTCCTTTTAACTAGCAGTCCTTCAACAATTTTCACTCAAGAAGATGAAATAATTCTCTCTCAGTGTCATAAATAGACTCTTCTCTCCCACTCTGGTACACTCCTAACTCATTCTCTTTCTCACACCTTGAATATTTTCACTCGAACCTCCTAGTACAAGAACCCATTGCAGCCATTGATCACGTATCCATGTGCAGATGTCCACACTTGTCTTATGATCTTCCCTAGTGGTTCCAGTCATCTAGTCAACATGTTGATGTTATATGGAGCAGCCTACAACAAAAGTATTATCTCTACTAGTACTCGTCTTCAGTCTAATCGCGTCATGTTCTTGTATAGATTCGTCGTGCAAGCTCTTTTTGTATGGCATTCCACGTCCTCCAGTAGAAATATATCTCCTATTAATCTTTTAGCCTCAGTTGATGGCAAACGCAGATCTACTGTGGCTTGGTGAGTCTGTCCCTAAGATGTATCCGCTGTACACCCTCGCGATCATGGGAGATGCAGTTACTTGTTGAGCACCCCACGTATTCGCCTTCCTTCAACTTTCTCACACCGAAAGTCTGATGCCCACACCATCTCTAGGTGGGCCTCGGTCTGAAAAGACATCAATCGCAAGGTCGTATTGCCATGCGTCCTCGTCTGTCTTTGGCGTTGATGCCGTTATATTAACGCCCCAAACTGGCCAGCATCTTACCAGCATTCTCGAGCAACACTTGCGAATTCGAACTTTGGTTGTTAGAAAACAAACAAATACCGGGTAGAAGTTGTACTAGGGTTTAACGAGAACCAGAGGTCTAGAGCATCTTGTACGAGAGTGCCAGACTCAAAAGTTCTGAATCCTCGAAAAAATGGTTTTTTATGACCAATTAATTCAATTCATTTCCTGGTGAGCCGTCCCTTTTTCGTCGAAATTGATTGAAATTCAACAGTTTCAAACTCAAAAGTTTCGAATCCTCGAAAAAAATGGTTTTTTTATACATCGCCAATTAAGTAACTCAATATATTTCCTGGTGAGCCGTCCCTTTTTCTTCGAAATTGCTTGAAATTCAACAGTTTCAAGCTCAAAAGTTTCGAATCCTCGAAAAAGTGGTGTTTTATGACCAATTAACTCAATTCATTTCCTGGTAAGCCGCTTTTTGATCAAACTCAAAGTTTCACATTCTACGTAGCAAAATGAAACATGGATAGTATGATAATGATTGCTCTGCTACTAAATACTGCTACGATACCGATAGTAATAGTAGCACTGTGGTCGTAGTTGTGATGAAGGTGACTACTTCTATAGGCAACAATCATGATACCACATAGATACGCATGCGCATGATAAAAGCAAGTGATACCAGGTAGATGCGCATGATAGAAGCAAGATGGTAATCATGCCAACACAACATGAAATAACAGCCATAATGCCCTTTGCTCCTTTGAAGTAGTCTTGGGGGAGACTTGGAAAAACGTCCTGGAGCAACATCTGCACCGCTTTGCATATTAGAAGAGTGGTAACGTGCTTTTGCTTACCCAGCTTGCTACTGGCACTACTGGTGGGAGGATGTCATGTTTGTGTCCTCCCGGTCGCAGTTTCACGTACTTAACTACCTAAGAGACGCTATTTTACATAGAAGTTATGGACGGGCGACCTTTTAAGTACAACACAATACAAGTAATCTCGCACTAAGTTCAGCGCAGACTGCCTTAAGGGCGTCATAGATGGTCTACACGATGGATCTAACGCAAAGATTGTAATAGCGAGGAAGTTTCTTTCCATAAATTTCAACAAAGAAGTTGTAGCCGATCTACTTACTCACGTTACTTTCCATAAATTTCAACAAAGAAGTTGTAGGCGATCTACTTACTCACGTTAGTTTCTTTCCAGCTGCGTAATTAGATTACGGCTAGAAGAAATCCATCCTCACAGGCATCTTGGTCTCGTTTCTCAAGGGAAAAAAGACGGAAGATGCCGCTGAAGATGGATTTCTTTCCAGCTGCGTAATTAGAGGTGGAAGATGAAAACGATTTTGGCATAAATCTTGAAACTTATCGGGACCCATCTTGAACATCGCCTCGGCACGCGTCTCCCATCCTATGCGCGTCCATGGTGACAATATGAAGGAACGTGTGACACGATTTCTCTAGTAAGGGACGAAGAAAAGTCTACTTAGTAAGTAGACTTTTCTTCGTTACTTACTCTTTCTCTTAGTATTCTTTCTCTTAGTAGTATTTCTTTCGTCTTCTACATTCCATGCCACTCCTACCCTTCCTCTAGAAGTACTTCCATACCTCTACTTAAATAAGTACCCTAAAAATGCAGGATACTTCCTGCTCCCCTTCATCAAGGGCACCATCAAACTGGACAATGAGGGGATCTACTATTTTTGACTCCTTATATAGTCTTCTACACTCTTTGGATATAAAAGTTGTTATTCCATCTCCTTCCTCGCTCATCTACGTAGGTAAATGGATTAGTAATCTACCATAACATAAGGAGCAGCATCTGCTTGAGGTGCTCGCTGTCTTCCTTCCTCGTCTACAAGGTCTGGCACCCCTGCAATCCGCCAAGGAGCATTCCTATTCTCCGCCTTCGTATAGTCCCGACTCGGGTAAGGAAAAATAGAGTCATTATTAGAGTTGCGTAAGCAAAAATAGTGTCCTTATTCGTAGAGTTAACGAAGGACCACGACGAGGACGACGAGATCATTATCTACTTTCTCTTGAAATCTTCCTCATCTTTACAGAAAGGTAGTAATTATCCGCGCAGGCTGATTGAACACGTGTCTGGACTACAGAGGTCACCGCAAAAAAAAAATTAATTATATTTTCCATTTTTGACGCAAACTGAAGGATATTTTAACGGAGATGACGACAGCTTAGCATTTAGGGCCTTACCATCTGGACCACTGGGAGTCGTACGAGCTTCAGAAGCGCCCCCTTCAGGCTTCGGAGCCGCGGGACGAGCGTCTGCTTTAGGTCCTCCCGTAGCGCCTCCTCCAGGTCCTCCCGTAACGCCTCCTCCAGGTCCTCCCGTAACGCCTCCTCCAGGTCCTCCCGTAACGCCTCCTCCAGGTCCTCCCGTAGCGCCTCCTCCAGTCCCTCCCGTAGCGCCTCCTCCAGTCCCTCCCGTAACGCCTCCTGCAGTTCCTCCCGTAACGCCTCCTGCAGACGCCCCGTTTCCTCGACTCGGCAGTGCCGAGGGTAAAGGCTGAAGTCCTGCCTTGGGTTTTGGTTCTCCGTTAGCTGGTGTCGGAGGCCCAGGAGGTACAGGAGGCCCTTGTGCAGGTGCAGCTGCTTTCTTTCCAGGTACTGGCGGCCCTTGTGCAGGTGCAGCTGCTTTCTTTCCAGGTACTGGCGGCCCTTGTGCGGGTGCAGCTGCTTTCATCCCTGGTTGCCCTGGTGCGGGTGCAGGTGCTTTCTTCCCTGGTTGCCCTGGTGCGGTTGCAGCTGCTTTTCCCGGTAGCGCCACACTTAGATCACCCGATTAGCTACTAGCTGCGAAATTATAATCTTCTTAAAACCCACCGACATCAAAAGGAGACGTAAAATAAAGGGAACAACTACTCTGCCACCACGTGATGGCCACGCCGTGGCCTCGCCTCTGTTTATAATGACGGTCGCCCGGAACACTCTCTATGCCATGTTATGAAGAGGAACCGAATCTCAAAAGAATTTAAATGCACGAATTAGTAGCTCTATCCGCCTGGAGCACGAGCACTCAAAGAATAAGATAACAATTGTGATATCTTGGAAAAGCGTTCACATTCGTTTAATTATATGACCTCATCTCTACACATTCGTAAGATAGACCATGACCATGACCTCATCTCTAAAAGATAACCATAACATCGGCAGAGGCGTCAGCTCTCCGCTGGTGCCCTGCCCAGGAAGTGCAGGAAAGTTGTTTTTTAGAGGTAGTGCCATGGAGAATCCCTCTCTTCCTCGCTTAAAAGCTTCTTACAGATCCATTTTAGCTTTCATCTTATCGCTTTTAGTGCCTCCCCACATATCAAATATATCAAATCAATGTCAACAGCTGCATATACTACATACTACTTGTAAGCACTAGTTTTCCAAGTGCGGCCAATGAATCTACACAGAACGAACAACGGATGAATTAGCAGAAGCAGTTATAAGTAAGTCGAAAGTGTTCCCTAATGTATTCTGCTGGTTCTCCTGTTTCTTGGCGTTCTTGGCCTCTCGTAACTGCTCCATCGCCTCCTTCTTCGCCTCATGTATGAGCGATGTTTTTTCCATCTAGGCAGACCATCGCGGCCCCCCATAATCTAGTATACAGTTTTAAGGCTAGCGGCAGGGTTTTGGTGTTTCTGTTTCCCGTTTGTTCTGCCTTTCTCCCTTAGGAGAGGTAAAACAAACGGTAACAAGAACACCTTTAGCCTACCCTTATATATAATGGGGGAAAAGGGACACCAGCCTAGATTGTCTGACAGATGGCGTTGTTGAGGTGGAGGAGCTATTTAATTGTTTCTGGTTCGTTGTACCTTGTTGATGTGATTTCTTCACATTCTTGTTGGACAAAAAGAAAAAACCTCATTGATCATCCATATCAGCAAACTCATGCGCCTGATGCGCACGTCGCGCATTCGCTATCGCTTCTTGCAAGCTTTGCGGGTGCATCATGTCCTCCACGTTCAAAAACGAAGCAGCATGATGCTCGTCTTCGCCTACTTATTTCTTAGACGAGGGCCTCGAGGTCGAGTCTGCATCATCATCCTCATCATCATCATGGCATCTCAAGTAGTCGCCCTCCTAAACTAGTAACGGCTAGACGAAAAGAATAATCCACTTCAATAAAAAAATGATCAAACTCTCCTGTTAGTATTGAGGAAAAACCAAGTGAAGAAGTACTTATCAGTGCTTATCCATATCCTCTATTATTTCCTATTCCTTTACAGCAAAAATTAAGATTCAGGAAGATATGAAGTTGGAGTTGCGCTTGCGATATATAATTTTTACAAGCGGATAAATATTACAGTGTAAGTAAGATGAAGTCCTTATCCTTAAGACCTCTCCCGCCTTCCTCTTCGCGATTGACGTAATGGCCGTCGTCTTCCGCACGATCCCTGCTAGAAAAGTCTGCCACTCTTGCGTGGGACTCAAGAAACACATTGGTGCTGAGAACAAGAACCCAATAACACGCATTTTTACACCAGGACAAGAACATTTTGTTCTTGATTTTGTCTTGTCAGGAGTACTAAGTACCTACGTCGTCGAAAAGTGCTAGGTACAACTTGTGATCAAGATACGTGTTCCTAGTAGAGAACAAGATCTTCTTTTCGTCATGACTCTACGCCTTGTTTCTGAAATGCTGAAAAATCGTGGAAGAAGACCATACGTACGTTTTTTCACGACTACAGAACGAACCGCGTGGTGAATCAACATGACCATGTTGTATTGTCTTTCTCTCTAGCAAGTTGTATTGTCTTTCTCTCTGCCTCATGAACGCCACTGCGTATGACGCCTAAAGAAACTTTCATTCTGCTCAGTGTAGTCCGAGATGAGCGAGTATAGTCAAGCTTGTATCTGAATTCTCAAGGCATGAAACAAGTGCGCTTTCCGTATCCGTGTGCTGCTATTCATAACGACCTTCGTTTTTTCCAGGTTCTTGACCATCCAATAACCGCAATGGTCCCCCTTGCCGATACTAACTCCTTTTCCACGACATATGTCACGTCCTGGCCGCACCTCGTGCGTAGCATTTCGCATCTACATGTGAGGCCACTCAGTGAAGTCGTTTCTCCGAACGATTCCCTAAGAAATGAATCGATATTATCGAATCTTTCCCCACTGGTCATAGGGCACATTCCATGTGACCTAAGAAATGAGTCGAATCCTACTTCTTTTCCGACATCGCACAAAAAGCACTAAGAAATGAATCGAATTTTTCCCCATTTTTCGTACGGGACTTCTGCGCTCTGCCCTTCTTGGTCGACGCGGTACTCGTAAGGGTAGGCGTGCTCCAGTTGTTCCTTCTCCAATGGGACGCGGCCGAACATCATCAGTCCCAATGTTAGACAGAGACATATTTGTCAGCCTTCTTTGTCAGACGAGGTAGATGAGTGGCATAATCACAAACTAATAATCTTCTAAACTTTGTCGCCTTGACGAAACAAGGAATCTTTTTTGTAAGACAAGGTAAATGAGTGACATATTCATATAATCCACTCTATAATGGGAAAGGTATGATATGTTAATCACGACAGACTGCAACTTTTATTACAGCAGTAGTCGTAGTGTGTGCTGTCACAAGAACTAGTAGAGGCGTTGTGCCTCGATCACTACGATTACTAGCGCTAAGTGGACCTGCCGCTGCCGTGCCTCTATTTGTAACTACTGAATTAGCTGCAGCCACAACGCTTACTGTCTTAGCATACAAGTGCTAGAGGGCATAGAAGGCACCATCTCCAATATCACAACAGTTTTTAGTGCAAAGGGGGACGAAAAAAGAAGATATGACTGCTGCTGCATATCATAAAAGTATACCGGAATGAGCAACGACTGCGATCTGCTTTGCTCGTTGCGCTATAGGATCTGTCAAAACCAGATGCTTAAACCGCCTACAACGCTCTCCTGTGGCAGCCTCAGATTCGATCAGGACCTTCACAACGCCAGCACCTTCGGTCTTTGATGTCTTAGAAGTAGTTCTTGTAGATGGATCATGTCATTGCCAGCTATCTTCATCGTGAGGCTAATTGATGAATAGGCAAATAACAAGAATGCTTCTTATCATCTACCGAATAATACTAGAAGATGCAATCTATAGGCTATTGAATGGCCTCTGGTGAACCCATTAGGGCCGCACCTGAAAGTTCTGCCCATTCTCCCCACTGTTCTACTACCCAAGCAAGAAAGAAGGTCGCAACTCCTGCTTCAGCTATTTTACCTATCATAGTACTACCTAAACCTATTCTTAGCACACAGACCGTCTTATTAAACGTCCGCCAGCACCTCAACACCAGCACCGACTTGAAGAATCAACCTTTTCCTACACGCACACTACCTATCAAAAAGACCCGCTTACTACACGTACTCGTACATCAACGCCTTAATATATTCACTTCCGCAGTCATCTTCTGGGCTATCGAACGGTGGTGGCTTCGCCATCACCAAGTCTTGGCGTTTCGCAGCCCTTTTTGCCCAACTGCTACTTCCGTTTGCTATGTTTTCGCTCTCTTGTGTTGTAGTGCCATTGCGTGGCTGCTCTTTCAAGCTGTAGATTAGAGGAGTCGAAAAACTCATACTATGTATAGTCTTAGGTCCTCAGAAGACAATCAAAGAATGTCAGTAGTGGCTAAGTCTATTTAATATGAAGCCAAAATCTCTTATCATTATCGTACTTTTCTACTTAAGAAACTTGATAATGATAACAGATTTTCGTTTCATATTTAACGACTTATTCGTCCACATCAAAATAAATTCAACATATAGCACGTGCTCAGAAGACAGTCAAGCAAGAATGTAATTTATAGACCGACTTATCAACACCCAGTAGAGCTTGAACAACACAATACTTATACACGTCGTACAAATACAATACTTAAAAACACCTACTTGACACAAAAACACAAACAAGCCTACTTCACGCCATAAGTACACAGTCGGTTCGAACCCGCCATTCAGCGACGCATCCAGGGTCCAGTAGTAGTAGAAGTCCTCGTTATGCTCTACGAAAGGTGGCATGAATCATGGAGACGTTGTACTAACTCTTTAAATTAGATGCAACAGTATGATCTACAACTACAACGTACTAGTATGATCTACAACTACTCTCAAATCGTAGGCTTTCCTTTGACGAGCAGGCACAGATAGCGGCTACGTTAATGAAAAGTAGCTTCTTCTATCTCTAATAGAGTCGTGTCGACTATACTATAGGTCTAACAGTAACAAGAGTGCTAACCTTGTGTCAAATGTTTGCGTCCATGTCGCAGTTTAACGTAAGCACCGCTGAGACATTATCACATTGAAGTTGTGGTCCACAACTTGTGGAAGAGCCACCCTCTTCTAGAGTGTCAGCAACTAGGTCTAACAGTAACAACGTTAATCTTATTAAGAAAAAGAGCAGCCCTCTTCATTCATTCATTCATTCGAACCACGTAGCAACTGTAACAGCTGCCTGGTTCCGTTGTGACCCGGGTAGAGACACGGCAGCTACTTAAGACCGACTGCTTAACGACGTGAGTAACGTCTCCGGCAGATTAACTAAACCGAATTGTTTTCATCGTTCTATCATAAAAAAGTCAATCCAGGGATAGAGTATTTCCAACTCTTTTCGTGTTTTCCGCAGATTCGCTGGAATCCCCATGGCAAATTCTCGTAGGTGGTCCGTTGCGTAAAAGCCTATCCCAAATTTTTCTCGCAGAATATCGCGCAGCTCTTCACTTCTAGTTGCCGACAGCGGATTCTAAAAATAGAAAGGGAAAATAATCCAAATCGAGCGAGGATCACCACGAGCTATTAAGTAGTACTAGTAGAGTACGTGCTTTCTTGATCCCTTCGCCTTCCGCCCAATTTCATCACACACAATCTATCAAAATGGAAGTGGAAAGGGAGCCGATCACAAATGATGCCTTCACCCTTCTCCAGTGACCTCTTCTAAGTATGCACACGATGGCAAATAATTATACCTCCTTTTCCACTTCCTCGAAAAAGTGTACTTATTAGAGGTTGCGACATTCATTGCATTCTTCAGATCATCCCTGACCCTTTTCCTACTGGAAAAAAACAAAAAGTCAAGGTCAAGGATGGTAGTGAAGAATCCAATATGGTAATCCTTAAACTTAAGTGCCTCCCAATGGATAGAAGTAAGTGGTACCCTCTTCACTTCTTCTGTCCAATTCCAAAGTCGGCCGTCTTCATAGTCGGATTTTCCCCAGGACTCTGGGAACGCAAAGCCGGCGGCTTGGATCTCCTTTCGCCATATATTGGACAGGGTCTTTCTTAGGGATCGAAAAAATGAGCTATCAAGAAGGTCGTCGAGCAAAAGTATGCTCTAGTAGGTACTCGCGCATGGGTTACTGGGTAGCTCCTCTTCACAAACCACGTAAGTACTTACTTTCCATCTTTCAGCGATTCGATTCACTCACTCATCAAAAAAACTAACAGTGTCTAAATGTCTCTTAACATCAGTGCCCTTGACGACGTGGAGACAAACGCGACATCCACTGTATTCTTCGCCCCCCATTTTTCTCCGAAAGCCTGTGCCTCCAGATGCCCCTGCCTCAGCAAGGGCGAATCATGCACCTCTTCGGTGTAGTATACGTCGGCATTTAGATGCTACTACTCGGGACACGACGGACTAGTCTAAGGTGTAGGAGTAGTAGCAGTAGGCAACTGCACTTATAGATAGTAAGAGCCACGCACGACCTCACTCTGGTATACATAGGTAGGTCCGCACAAAGTACTAGTTGTCGTAAACGTAGTAGAAGTACTGGCTGTAGTCGAAGTGAAGTAGAGTAGTCGAATATAATACGCGCAAATGATTTGTCTCAGAAATCAGAAGTTTAGAAAAAAACACAATGGATATGGAAATGGATACTCGCAACCCTTCTAAGTAATTGAGACCACCACGCAGAGCATAAGTATCACCTAACAAGTTCTATCACCTAACAACTTGTCTTCCAGAGCAAAATTTCCCTCAAAAATTAAACTTATTAAAGCATAATCTCGTCTTCGCTCTTTCATACAGCACGTTGTGCAGACTGATGCCATGTCGAATGCAATAAACGTTCTTCGCCTCCTTGACGTTCATCTCGTCAGAAAAAGCAGCGCCAATGTCATGCGTCATCTTTTTTCTGTAAAGATGGGAAAAGATTCACTTCGCAACCAACAAGGAACAAAATCAACTTCAACAAGGAAAAGAATGCGAAAAAATCTAAAGAAGCGAGGAACAAGAACACGGCAGAAAAATGCTGATACTGATAGAGTACCGAAAAAAATGTTGTTGTTGGTACTGATAGAGGATACACGAAGAATCGTTAACGAAAAGCATGTTTTCTAGGCTCGGATCACTGTTGTTTGGAAGTAACCACTATTTATCCCTATCTCGGACAGGTGTCCTCGATATTCCTACAGAAACTAAAATTTGAACACCGGTTTCCTTCCTTCGTTCTTCAAGGTTGCTTCCTCTCCGTATGTCTCCGCGCAAATAAATAGCGTATTGATTGTTTTCGACATAATAGTTTCATCAAATCAATTCAATGCTAATGCAGCAATGAAAATGATCTTTCCCTTTCATATTCATTTCTGGTCGAGACTAAATTGTAGAAGCGGGCTTCTCTACAGACAGAGTGCAGAGACATGCTTTGTTTGTTGTTAGTTGTGTTGAAATTGATGCTGTCGTGATGACCCCAATGAGCCTCTCCTTGCTCGGCATCTAAATCCACCTCTTCGAAGTCCGTCTTGTTTTAGGTAGTGCCCCGTTGTTCTCAAAGCACCTTATCTTCTTCTCGAGCCACAACCCCTACTTGGTCTGCTTATGCATCGAAAAATGTGTGTGTCTCAAGTAGCCGTCGTCCTAAGCTACTAGCAGGACGAAACAGATTCAGTCTATTTATGCATCTACTATGCGCTATCTGTATCCATGTGGTTTTTGTGTTAGTTTTATGCACGTAGAGCTTCGTCTTTTTCAATATGATGAATTGACTTTAAGCATCCACCTGCTCTTTTGTCATACCGCCTACCGTGGAATCTAACATCTACCTAAAAGAATAAAATGGTAGAGACGCTTGTCAGTACGTTTCCACATTTCTTTCGTTCGACCATGGTGGCAGTCCTAGGATATAAGTCACAGACATCGGAATACAAATACTAAGAGTTGTTCAAACAGCCTGAGCTTCGTTATTCCTTACCTAAGAGCCTGAGACTGACGGTTAGGCTTCTATGTTGCGTTGCCATCTAGTAATTGGTGGGCACCACTAACGTCATCGTCAACTTCAACACTAACTTTTAGTCGAGTCCATTTCCATATGCCTGCCTAATGGATTTTAGTTTTCTAGACAACGTTTATGAAGATATCTAGATTAAGTATTTTAAGTACAAGTAGAAGACTGATCGACTACGCATTGCGCACACGAATCGGTCATATCCCAAAGTTGTGTAATTTGCTGACTTGTTTCAGTGAAGAAAGATGTAGTTATCATATTCATATTATTTTGCATGGCGGTCGTTATCGTTAATTTATTATGTGATTGGTAGTTAGTTAGGACTTGTTCTCCGCATAAGTTGACTTTTGATAGATGAAAGTCAATGCTTGATATGTGTGCCTATATTCATGGTGCTCGGATCTTGAGCGTGTGCATACTACATGTTGAAGTTTGTTTGTTTGTATTGTACACTTGTTATAGAGTATGCAATAACGGACTCGCAACATTTTTCAAACGAGCTTGCTTTTGGGTAACATGGCCGTGTCCATGTCCCGCTTACGTATGAAAATGAAACTCTATGCGTACACAGCGCCACGTCCCTTTCTCAGCCTGTACTTGTTTCAAGACTGGGTTTTTTTCCGTCCCTCCCGCCACGCCAGGCGTACAATAAAAGCCAGTGTTGAGACGGGTGGATTAGATCACTTCAGTCACGATATAGAGCTCTATATAAAACACATTAAAAATCGCGGAACACGTTCAGCCCCTATAATGTGAACACCCGCAGGCCATTAAGTAAAAAGCCTGTAATGTCAAAACTAAAGAACTCTTAAGACACCGTGGGAGCGAACACTAAAGGACTCCTGCGACGCAGCCAGTGTGAACACTAAGGAACTCCACCTAAGAGAAAGACAACAAAAAGAGAACGACGACAAAAGGACAACAGCAGAAGAACAGCAACAGGGAAACACCAATGGAGCCACAATGACACCAGGGCAACAGATACAAGACAAGGACAAAGAGACAACAAGGAGAAAAAAAAGCAGCAGAAGAACACACAGCACCCATGAGGACAACAGCCAACAGAGCAACAAGAGCCGCAGAACCACAGCAAAAAAACAACAAGGAAGGGCCAGGGGCAGCGACAGAGAGACAACAGAGAGGAGAGCAAGACAGCAGCAAAAGAACAACAGAGGAAAGACAACAACAAGAGCACCACAAGACAACAACAACGAGCAGAAAACAACGAAACGAAAACAACAACAGCAAGCCACTAGCAGAAGGGAGAACATGGCGACAATGATGACGCAAGCCCACCGATCGAGCGGCGCGGGGTGCCATCTCATCCCCGCAGCTACCTCACCACAAAGGGCTGCCATCTTTAAAGCAAAAGGCCCCACCAGACTCGACCCCGCAGAGAGAGACCACCAGCCCAGCGTCCGCCACCTCTCCGGGGGACCCCAGGGAGGCGAGGGGAGCCTTTAGAGCTCTCCCCTTGCCCTCCTGCACGGGTTCCCCCGTCATCGGGGGCCTCCCCTTAAGCAGCCCCGCCACTTCCGCCGCGTCCTTCTTTCTGTTGTTCCGTTCCCTCCTTGGTCTTTTTGGCCTGGTTTCGCCTAGGTGTCCCCCTGCTAAGCTCTCTGCCCTTCTCTCCCGTCTTCTTCACTTCCTTGGCGTCCTCCTCCCTTTTTGGTTTCGTCTCCTGTCGTTGCTGCTGTCTCTCTCTTCTTTGTTGCTTTGGGGCCATTTGCCGCCCCTCTTCCTTGCGCCCTCCTTGTCCTCCTTCGCCGCGCTGTCCTCGTCTCTCGCCTGCCCCCTTGGCGCCTTCTTCCCTTTGTTCCCGCTCCTGGGGTCCTGGAGCGGCTCCGCCGCCGGTCTTTTTTTCCCTTTTCGTTCTCCCCTCCATTTCAAGGGCCGGCTTCTCCTCCTTTCCTTCCCTGAGTTCTTCGAGCGGTTCTGCCGCCGGTCTCTTTGTTTTCCCCTCCCCTCCTTTTCTCCTCCTCTTTTCTGGGCTTTGCGCTGGGCTCCCTTGGGCTCCCTGTCCCCCTGTTCTCCTTCTCTTTGTCTTTTCCCGAAAGCTTTGCCCTCCCCTTTCTGCTCCTTCTCTCCCTCGCTCCCCTTCTCCTTCTGTTCTGCTTCCTTGCAGTGGGTGGCCCAGGCTTCTCCCCCCTCTTCCCTTTTGCACCCTTCACACCACGCAGCCAGACCCTCCGACAGCCAGCCGCACGCCCTCCCCCTGTAGAGGCAGGCCTTTACCTTCACCACCGGGCCCCAACGCATCCGATTTGCCCCGTGTCATGCCTCCCGCCATTTTTCGTCCTTTCTGACCATTTTGGCCTGCTCCATTCTCGCGTGCTCAGCCAGTCCCATGCCTCACCTGGTACATACCGCGACGACATGTCCCCGGCCCCACCCCCTCCCTGGCACTTTTTCACACTCCAGGGCCACAGCCGTCGGCTGTCCTGGTCTAAAAGTTCTCCCGCCTGTTCATCATGTTCCCAGCCTCCCAGGAGCTTCCCCCGCTTCTTGCTTGTCCTGGATCGGTATCCCGTTCCCGACGCTGGGCCACTTTTTCGCCTTCAGCGCCATCCGCGCTCCGCCTCCGTCCCTGGTTTCCTCGGGGCTCAGTTCTGCCCCCTCCGGGGGGGCAGGTCTCCTGGGGGTGTGCCCATTATGAGCCCTCTGCCTTTTTTCCCATCCAGCGCCAGCTCCTTCTCTGTTGCAGCCCCCTGTCCGCAGCTTTCACCATCTTCCTTGCCCCCGTCCTTTGCGGCTCTCAACCAGTGCGCCACGAGCCCCTTAAGACCTCTGCCACCCTCCTGGCCGCAGAATTGCACAGGGCCCAGCCTGTGTCCCCTATCCGTCCCCTTCTCTCTGGTGTTGCGAAGTACCCCGTCGCCACGTTCCAGAGTTCCCTCCAAGCACGCAGGGCAGTGGACTGACTACGGGCACCGTGTGACCAGGTCCACCACGTCCCCCGTGCCCAGCTGTCGGCCCACTTCTGTGCCCTCGGCTCTCCTTCTAGCTTCACGGGGTCCCGCAAAATCTCCGCGGCGTCGGTCGCTGAGCTCCTCCATTTTGTGAGACTCCCCTCCCGCTCCTTCTCGGAAGAGTTTCCCGCCGCTTCCTGAATTTTCTCCATTTTCCGCACTCCGTGCACGTGTTACCCCCCCCGGCTTTACTCTCCTGGCCGGCATTTTTATGCGCAGCCCTTCGTTGGCATTGAGTATTGAGAGCCATTCCATCCGGGGCCTAGCCTTCAGCCCCATTTTTCTGCCCTGCATCTAATAGATTTAAGCCAGTATAAACCTGCCCCACGTCATGGCCAGAGGGCTTGGGCGTGCCGAGGTCGTAAGGCAACGCAATATCTGCCAGCGCCTCTGCCAGTCTCTCTGTCATGCTGGTCGAAGTCTTCATCCCTTAAGAGGCGCCCGACCATTCTCGCGACCTTCTTGGCCTTATTCAACCGGCCAGCCGCCTCCGGCTGCGTGGCTCCGTCGATATCTATAACATCCCCGACAAGTCTCCCGCCCCTCTTGGCCAAGTCAGTCCCTTTCGCTTCGGCGTCTTTGCTCCCGAGTCTCTCGCCTAGGGTCTTCCCTTCTTGGTCTGGTGGCTCCGTTTCTCTCGCGTGCGGATCTGCTCTCTGTCTTTGATTTGTTCACGGCTATCGTGCCCTACTCCTGTCCAACTTCTTCGAAGGTCTCCACAGCTCGAGCTGTTTGCCCCGCCGTGTGTCCCAATGTTCTCCCTCTGTCTGCGTAGATAGTGAGGCGGGCGGCTGCGTCCGTGTCTTTGCCGGCTCCCTATGCGCCCGGTTGCTCCAGTACTATCCCCCGGCGTGGCTGCGTCTCTTTGAAGGCCAGGCTGCCCCACTCCTTCCTTCTCAGTTTCCACTTGTGGCCGGCTGTCGCTTGCCAGCTTTTTCGGGGTTCTTGCTTCCGTCGCTTTTGCTGGTCTAGTCACTTCCACTCCCCTCAGCCCTTCAACTTCCAGCCTCCGACCAATCTCCTCCCCCGTCGCAGGTGTGTTACAGTGTAGGGGTACAGCGATAGGGGTGACCCCTGACACACCCCCAGGTCAGTGGTGGCCCCTTCTACGCGGTGTCTCCCCCACTGAGACGCCGCCCGCGTCTCTGACTTTCTGTAGATTGCGGGCTCTCTCTGCATAGCCTGCCGGGGAACCAAGCCCCAGCAAAGTCCCCCAGTGCTTGCCCCGCTTCACCGTGTCGAGTGCTTTACTCAGGTCACACAAGGCAAACGCCAGGCCCGGCGTTTCGTATGCCTCGACGAGCTCCCCGACGTCGAGAACAAAACGCAGCCCCCGCACCCTCTCCGCGCCTGAAAGCCATACTGCCAAGCCCTTCCCGTGGTGTCCCTTATGATTCTGCCACGCTGTCTTGTGTGTGTGTTGCACTTAGGTGACCTGCAGCGCGGCAACTGGCCTGCAATTTACTCGCTCGCCCTTGCTCCCCTTCCCCCTGTACAGCCATGCCACCCGCCCAGTCTGCAGCCCTTCAGCCCCGCTCGCTTCGCGCGCCTAGCTCCTTCAAGGTCAAGACTCTGGCCTAGTTCCCCAGGCCTGGCTTAAAGACTTCACCTCTGACACCCTCCAGCCCCGCTGCATTCGCATGCCCCGGCGGCCTGCTCGATTGTTTCCCTGTGGGCCTGCCACAGCAGCCAATTGGCGCCCATGCTCTCCAACTCTTTCCCGAGCCCCTCGCCTATTTTCACCAGCCACGTTCCACGTTTTGGCTCCTTCTTGGCCTTGAGCCATTTGGCCTCGGTGTCCTTATCCTCGTCCCCAATGGTGCCCCACAGCTCTTCGATGCGCTCGCGGGAAGCGTCAGCCCGCGACTCCTTCGCCCGGCCTGGCAGTTCGTTCGCGCTTTCCGTCGGAGTCTCTCTCCCTGATGCCGCTGCCTTCGCTCCCCTTCTTTCCGCCCCAGCTTGCTCCCCTGTGCTGTCTTGCCACTTCATGCAGCTGCCTGACTTGTTCCGCCTGTCCTGCTTCCCCTTGCGAGGTTTCTTAACCTATCCCCCCACCTCCCCGCAGCCCCCGCTCCTTTTTCCAAGCCTGCTGCGCCTTCCCTCGTTTCTTCCTCCTGGTTGCGTAGGCTGCAGCGCCTCGCTGCGTCCTCCTTCAGCTGCTGCTTCAGCGCGTTGCCTTCGTCTTTTTCTCCTTGCTTCTCCTTACTTTTCCTGGTCCGGGGGCTTGCTGTTCTTTTCCCACCTCTTTTTCGTCTCCAGTTCGCCCCGCCAGCCCTGTCATGCAGCCACCGGCGTTCTCCCCCCGTCGTGGTACCGTACTCCTTTCAGAGATGCGCCACAGTGGCGCCCGCTTTCTCTCCTTCTCTCCCTTATGACTTTGGCTCACTCTCGCCGAAGTTTCTCGAGCTCGTTCCCCGTTTCCTCCCCCCTCCCAGCTTTGACAACCGCCGCGCCCCGCCTTTCCCTGCCCTTTGAGATGCTTGCCGCGGTGACTGCCTTCGCCCTCTCTGCCAGGTCTTCCCAAGCGAGCGGCGGCCCCTCTTTTCCCAGTTTGGGCCTGGTCCTTACGCTTTATATTTCCAGTCTTTTTTTTTGGGTCCTCCTCCTCCTTGTCTTTTGTCTGTCCTCCCGGTTCTTTGGGCCGCCTGAGTCTCTTAGCTACCCACTAGCATGCGGAAGAGGCAGGCACCCGCCTCCCCGTCCTCCTTTCCATCGGAGCCCCACGCCCCTGGAAGGCCCTGTAGACGTTCAAAGACATGCGACGGGCCCAAGCTATTACCGAACCCCGCTCCTTGACCCTTTTGGCCTTAACGTCCTCAGGCTCCCGGGCGCTGCCCGCCGCCTTTGTCATTTCCTTCCGCCGTCCTATCCTGGCCACCTCTTCCTCCGCCAGCACGCGGAGCGCCTCAGCCCTCTCTTTGTCCTGCGTGTCTTCCCACCCATCGCATGGGCCGACGCCGTCCAGTTATGGCCAGGGCTCTGGGCCACACGATGGACCGCGCGGGCGCAGTGCCGACAGCAGAGGAGCAACAGCGGGAAAGAGACAATACCAAAAAACACTGGAGAACACCAACAGAAAGACGCCCCCAGACAAAAAGCATTCAACAGCGGAGAAGCCCAAAGACAGAGGGGGAGCAACGACAACAGAACAACAGCGGCGGGACAACGACAAGAAGACAACAGCAAGAAGACAACGAAAGAAGACCAACAACGGAGAGAGAAGAGCAACACCAAGGCAGCAACAGAAAGACAACAACAAGGACAGCGCAGCAGAATAAACCGCGGCGAGGGTGCGGAAGCCCAAAGACAGAAAGAGAGCGACAGAAAGAGGACGGCGAGAGAACAGCAAGGGGACAACAAGAGAACAACAAGAGAACAACAAGAGAACAACAAGAGAACAACAAGAAGACAGCAACAGAACAGCAAGAAGACAGCAAGAAGACAGCAAGAGAACAGCAAGGGAACAGCAAGGGAACAACAAGAGAACAACAAGAGAACAACAAGAGAACAGCAAGAGAGCAGCGCGAGAACAATAAGAGAACAGCAACAGACGAGAGGCGCGTGCTTAGTTCTCACACATGGAGCAAGAGAGGGCACGAAAGGCAAGAGAGGTAGGGGAGATGAGGACGAGGAGAGAGGCACACCAGAAGCGAAAGGGCCCGAGAGATGGGAGGGTGGAGGAACCAAAGAAAGGGCGAGCGCGGACAAAACTAAACGCAAGAGAGAAGCGAAGCAAGAGGCAAGCAAAGACAGCAGAGACACCCAGGCGGCACGCTGGTCGAAGATCTCAAGGCGATAATCTAAATGCGCCACGCTGCCCTCGCAAAACTTTGGGGGGGAGGGGGGGCGGTCTCAAGGACGCGGCAAGGCTCTCCTAGCCGGCAGAGCCGACCGAGGGAAGGCCACAAGCGGCCGCACTTCTATGGGCACTTATGACAACGAAGAGCAGAGGCCCGCTCCCTCACTCTGAGATCGACAGCGCGCGGCCGTTCACGTTGGTCGGAATGCCACACGCAGCGAAGCCGCCGCCGAGCGACTGACAAACCGTAAGCGCGGGCGCCTCCTCCATCGCTTGGGCCTCGTCCTCATTGCTGGCGCTTGGATCTTGGTGGAAGAGCGAGCGAGACAACAAAGACCACACGGCGCAACAACTTGCACCAGCGGCCGCAGACCAGCGCCGCCTGGCGGTGCTCGTCTTTTTCTCCTTGCCGCCCCAAGCTACTCGCCCACGGTCAGGGATGGAGGCCAGCTGTGCTGAGCCCCCCAGAGGCACTCAGTCGCCAGTAAATAAGGGCGCCCACTCGCTTCCACTGGCACTGCCGCCCCGACTTCAAGGCACATGCGTGGCAAGCCTGCTGGGGTACCAAGGCGCCTAAGAAAAAGGCTCCCCAGGCTTGCGCTCCCCCTCGAGAGGGTTGCCCCTGGCAGGCCCGTCTCCTGTCTATCACCAATTCCTTGTCGTGTAAATGCCAAGGAATTAAGTAAACTCTCCCACTGTTTGCCGTGTTCCAGCTCGCAGGGCCATTTTTGGAAAAAATCTGAAGACACCACTTCAGTTTTTTCGTCAAGGGTGGCCTTGCGAGCCGGAACACGGCAAACAGTGGGGGAGTCTATTCAATTCCAGCGAAGCCCCCGAAAACGTCCGCCCCGCTGAAATACTTCAAAAGAGTGCGAACAAAGCCAGCAAACCCCACCGACAATCTGCGCACGCACAGCGCCACGCGTGGGGAATGGCCTGGCCATTTTTTTAGAGGCGGCGGCGTGTCTCTCTTCCTTGCAACTAATCCCACCCGGCGCGAGAGCCTCGGGGCGCCGAGTGGTCAAAAGTCCAACACTTAACAACATGAAAAGACCTAAGAACGAAGAACCCCAGGCGGACTGCCTCAAACCTCTCCGATTATAGTGAAAAACCTGACCACAGACGAGTGGGGTCTGAAAGGAGAGCACTCAGCTAAGGGTAAGGACTGCAAAAGCCCAGGCAAAGCCCAACCCTTCCAGGCATGACGCGAATGAATCCGCAGAACACTCGCCACCTACTGCGCTCCCTTCTGGAAAACCCTCACCCAGTTGCGGGCCAAGAACCTCCGGCACCCTCCAAATCCCCGCGCCCCTCCAGAATCCCCCAGCACACATCTGCAGGCTGGCGCGGTGGACTCTGGAGGGGCGCGGGGAATCACATGAAACGAAACCAAAAGACAGAAAAGCCAAGAGGAAGCAAGCTGCAAAAGCCGCGAAGCGGAGCACTTCCAAGACGAGGAGGCGGCAATAAAGGCCGTCTCTGTGCAGTTATTGGTTGACTTAGCGTCAACGGAAATTCCTTAAGGGTTTCCATTTCGCTAAGGGGTGCCCCTTAAGAAAAGCTCTTAAGGAAATGAGGTCGATTGCCAATACTATAACAGAGCAGTTTATAAGGTTTCACGGCTCGCATGGCATGGAGTGCATGGATCACATGGAGTAGCATGGAGCTAAAGGGGGAGCTTCTTGCGCCCCTTAAAGCTCTGCGCTCCATGCACTCCATGCTACTCCATGCACTCCATGCACCATGCGTGCTATAAACTACTCTGCTATAAATACTACTGCCACTTTATAAACGAAATAACTTCAATGCTCTAGCTCTGTCCGTAAGATCTGTGCGGCCATGACTCAGTCCGCAACACTGTTTTTCCGTCTTTGTCTTCCGTCACCCCGAGCACTTTTCCCCGACAAAAATCCTCGATTTGAGATCTAAAGAGAGTTCGAGCTGAGCACTTGTCCCCTACATTCGGCTTCGCCTTCGTTTCGAGGAAGGACACCGACGACGCCTCATCCTCTTCATCCACAGCGGTGGCGTTCTTAGTCTGCCAATCCATTTTCTTGAGAATTGGAGTGCGAAAATTCTGACACTGCAGAAAGCCTTAGTACACGTTCACACAGACACGAGCTAGGATAGGGGTTTGTGGATCTTCCTGCACGCTTACACATGAAGACTTTAACTTTCCACAAAAGCAGTAGTAGTAGTTTACTCATTCACAGGGTAATTTCAACAGGAGGGAAGGGGGAGGTGGGGTAAGACTAAGACATTTCTAGAAATAAAAACAGGAAGGGCATTCTTCATAAGTTCGACCCGCGCATGCGGTGGTTCTTCTTCGCCAAAAACGCGTCACGAGCGGAAGACGAGCCAACTAGAAGGCCCATCACTTTGCACGTCTTCATCTTGTTTGATGTGCTTTCTTGATTGTTGTTACGAGTGAGCAAGTAAAACGAATGGTCAGGGGATGACCTTGCCGCTTTTCTCTTCTACTACGGAGATATTGGGATTATATTTGTTGATGAAAATGAAACTATGTGGAAGTTGTTGCGCATCCTCGTCCTGATGATGCATATCTATTCGGCAATCTGCCCAAGATTTACCCTAGTCCTCGTCTTATTATGCTAAATTATCAACGACGAAAAATACAAAGATGAACTGCGCGTCTAAACTAGTAAATACTTACAACGACGTCATTATATTTATTGGTGCGACAGTCTGCTAGCTTCACTCAAAAACACACGATCTACTTCGGGAACGAAATGAAGGAGCACCAAGAACCTATACGAGCAGGGCTACAATTATATCAGGGCTACGAGATTTCGATTTCCCTCGTCACGAATCACAATTACGAAGCTGCAATGACCCTCACAAATCACGAGGAGAAGCAGATACTTTTTGTTCGACAGAATTTGAATTTCCTCTGCTCACTCGTCCCCACAATCTGGCAGCCGACACAGGCATAGACAAACAAGAACACAGATCCAGATTATCTCTCGTTGAGTTTCATTGCCTTTAAATACAGCATTCGTGGTCCCTCGTAGTTAATTGTCTTTGCTCCTATTGTCTAGTCCAACGCTTCAGCTCAGCCAGGCACTAGGAGTATACCAATTCTGCGGGTAAGTTCAACAAGGGGGAAAGGGTTATGAGTAAGTATGTTAATATCCTAAAGCACTAAACCCCAAATAAAACTAGCATTTCCAATACTGCATGTCAAATTGCACCAAAAGTCAAATCCCACTTAAAAATGTACAACAGGAGCAGCCCACCGAAGTGCGTGGACGCGAGGAGGACAGATCGTGTTCACCTAAAGCTCTCTACGCTGAAAGCGCTGATCGGTAACTTACTGTGGTCTGTGACAGAGAAGCATACCACAATTATGTTGAAGTATACAACAGGGTCTATTCCTATGACACTCTAGAAAGCGTGGGCCACAGAAATCGGCAAACTCGGTCGTCCAACATGAAGACCTCTAACAGATGCACACCGAGCACATTTTTGACTTAATGCACATCGAGGCCATTTTTCACCAGTACTTTCTTGCTCGGGTCAGCAAACGGGTCAGCGAAGAAGGAGAGGCTCATCACTGCTCAGACGAGCTGCGACAACGACACCAGGGAATAATGTGTGTCTGATTAGAGTCCAACGTGAAGTAGGGTCAACTACCTTCTTCAAATTTCTTTAGTTCCTCAATTTGCTTCAATTTCGGCAATGCTTTTCCTTCCTGTTGGTTCATAGAAAAATTTAAAAGTCTGCATTTGGCATGGAGAGAGCAACCTCGTCGACATCGTCTTATGAGGCGCTGCTCTACGTGACACAGGCTCTACGTGGCACTGTTATCTTCGGAGGAGAAAAGTGAGGGCAATTGACTCACGTTGAATGCCAATGCTTTTTTCAAAAGCATCGCAAGAAATGCAATATATGCTATGAGTCAATATGCGAAATATCTATACTTATCACGTTCTGAAAATGAATGATCAGTAATAAGTATGTAGGAAGTGTGTCGTGGCTACACGCCTCTTGCTAGGCACGTTCGTGAGTGAAAGGTAGTTGATTTCAAGTCAATTTTATCAACAATCGGCCATCTTGCAGATCTGACCCCATAATTTCTACATCGATGAAGACTGACACAACAATGAAGACTGACAACCCCGCTTCCACAATGAAGACAGAGCAGCTTCATACGACAGTGCTAGCAAGAAGGTTTTGTGACAATCTGTAAGGTCGTTTCGCAACAGGAATGCTATCTGACGAGCTTCACATGAAGGAACAGCAAATAAGTATATGACCGACAGCACAAGAACAACATTACAGTTATACATAGTTATGTCATGATATGCTGGCGCGGCCTCTTGTGTAGCAACTTGTGTCTACCTCCTATGAGGCCACCCAGGGATGAAGTAATACCTCCTACGAACGTTCAAGGCTCTCAAACAATCAAACTACGCGACTACAACGGCAGCTCATCTGTATCTTCACGGATTGCGGTCGTCGTGACTGAGACTATCAATCATGCGCATACCAATAAGGGTCGTTTTTCTAATCTCATTCTCATCAAGGCATTACAATATATAAAATGATGGACGACAATACAATGAATCATGCCATAGGGGCGTCATGTTGCATATGCCTGACGACACACATGTAAGCCTAACTGAGGCACCACTTCTTCTTCTATGGATTAAGTAGTGGCTAACTGAAGGGCCACTTCTTCTTTAATGGATTAAGTAGTGGCTAGCTGAAGCGCCACTTCTTCTTTAATGGATTAAGTAGTGGCTAGCTGAAGCGCCACTTCTCCTATTAGAACTCACCACAATCCATCTTTTCCCTCGTCTGCTTCCGTTTTTCTTCTTGAAAACAGTCCACAGATGGGCCAAAAGATGGATTAAGTGAGGCCTTATAATTATAGTCTCAAGCGCCTCTACGGTTTCATTCTCAAACGCCTCTAAGCATTGAGTTTCAACCGCCATTTTCCAGGTTGCAATCGAAAGCTTCTCGGATCTAGATCCCATCCCTGCGTCCTCAAACTTCCCAAAAACTTTTCGAACGAGGCTTTTATTAGAGCGAGATCTTTCTTCTACTTCTTCTCGTCTTATAGCGAGGCGAGTATCAATAAGTTTCAGCGTTTCATTTTCTTCTTCTCTTTTGGACCAAGATGTGCTTCTACACCACACATCATTTTCTATAGGACGAGTGCTCTCTTGTTCTCGACCAACAAGAGTGTGGTCAACATTCTGCATCCCAAACAAGGACCATGATACGAGGAAGTGCTTCTACATCATCACTACAGGTCAGCTTTTCGATCCTTTTACTTACAAACGCGACTTATGATGAGGCTAATCCACTCGGCGATCTGCCTAAGACTTCCCCGAGGACAAATACGACTTATAATAGAAGCGAAATGTACAGAGCACTCGCTTCTCCATTTTCCTTAGCTCATCTACGTCTTCACCATCTAGGTCTTCTACTTCATCATCTACGTCTTCTGCCTCTCCTGAGCCTTAACTCCTCTGCAACCTTATCGTTCTGAAGAAGTAGTGTTTTCTTGCACACCTCGAAATAACTCTCCAACTTATCCATGTCATTGCAGTTCTGCTCCAATTAGAGCGTAACGATCTCTCCCATTTTGAGAGAAGTCATCCTAGAAGGAGAGACGCTCTCAAGGGGAAAAGCGACCTAGGTGGATGCATCGATCTCGAGACGAATGCATCCTGGAGAATGTCTTTTCCCCTTGAAGCCGTCTCTTCCGGATGCGAGATGCATCCTAGCTGGGTGCCTTTTTCCCCTACAGCCGTCTCTCCTTCTAAGATAGCTTGTTCTCTCAAAATGGGAGATCATGAGGGGAAGCCCTAATTCAAAAAGGCTGTCCAAGCACCCTCAATTCGTCCAACTGCATACCTACCGAGTGGTTAGAAATTCATTATGGTATCTATAAGTAGCATCTTCGAAGAGTAGGAGGTCGTGCGTTCTTCAAGTAAAAGCTGTGACTGAGGACCTCCACTAAACACAGTCGTGTTCCACTAAACACTGTCATTCCTCAACTGTGGGTGTGTGTGTATCCCTGATAAAACCATGACTGAGTGGCTCCATCTCTATCGTGTCTCTGATATAGCCATTCGTGACACTAAACACAGTCGTGCGACATAATCTTTGTCAGTGACGAGAGTTCGTCTACTTGACTCTTTATCCTTGCTGGCCAACTGGTGCTTCTCAAGGATCTCCGAAGACAGTAGCATTTCTGCCGGCAAAACTGTTGTATCTGCTTTATTGATGCCCACGCTTTCATTAGAAGAAGACAAGTAATCGTATTTTTCATAAATCTCATGATGCTTTTTCTCCAAGAAGACCCTCAGCAAGACTGTGATCTTCAGTCCTAGTATTCTAGCAAAAACAATCGCTTACTGAAGCTGAACTAGTACAACAAGTACCAGACGGCTGAGTATCCCATTCTAACAATCGTTTACTGCACGAGTAGCAAAAGCCTCTCTAGGAGTAGCAACTTCTAACCTCGTAATGTCAAGAAAGTTCTTCTCATGCTCATCCTTCTGTAGTAACCGCCTTTGCTCCGTGCAATCCCTCAAGCTTCGCAAGTAGGCCCTCTGAGCTTCCGCACAGGATATCTCCGCTATTTTCGGCCGTCGACGGTAACAATTGACTCGAAACCACTGGTACAATGTCTCACGCCGATTGATGCTCCGTACACTCATATGGAGTAGGTTTGGTTTTTTCCCATTTAATATAATTCATCTCTAGGCTGCCGCTCCTTTTCCCCTTGAAAGTGAAGTATAAATAAAAAGGGGAGGTGGACGACGAGCCTCGATAGTCTGAAAGACAGAAAAAACTACATCCATAACTCAAGGACTGCCCTCCAGAAGATGTATTGCCATGATCCTTTATCTGTTGCTCTTTCAGAAAACTCTGGACCAATAGATAGGTTCGCGTGCGATTCAGAAAGCGCAGATTCAGGCACCTCACCGCACGATAATTGGCCCATAAATGTTAGACGAGCCTAGGCTCCTTACCCTCATGACACGTAGGTGTGTTGAGTTCACCTCGTCAGCGTCACTTCCTGTCACAAGTTCAACATTTTTCAAGGATTCCTTCAAAAAGAAGTAAGTGCTCCAACTCTCTCCGTTATGCTTAGAGGTAGGTTGTTGGTGTTCGTTTATCCCGCTTGTTATGCCTTTCTCCACCTAAGGGAGAGAGGCAGAACAAGCGGTAACAAAAGCACCTTTAACCTACCCTTAATATACGTAAGGAAAAACCTTTCCACAAACTACTTGTGGATGATCAATTCACGTCGTGTCCGCATGGAACGTCTTTCCGAGCTCTTCATGTCTACTCGAAAAACTACGTAGAGGAACACTTTTCTACATGTGAATGATCAATCGATTACCTATCTATATCTCCACGCACCAGAAGATCAATTGATCAAATATCTGCACCGAGACGAGCCTTAAACATGCACTGCAGTGAGAAACAAAAAGAGTCCCCAGCTGAGCGAAAACGAGTTCCAAAATGTCGTCTCCTCTCCTCCTGCAGAACCCTGCTGTCCGGAAGAGGACTCGCTACCGCATAATTTTGCTAGTATTAGAAACTGAAAGTATAGGACTGTGAAGAGACGAACCCTCTGGTAAGTAGGCTACCAGAAGCCCAAGTTAGGGTAGCATCCCTCTTCTTTCTTACAAACCAGAAGTTAAGAGAGCATCCCCCTTTCTACAAGGTTCGATCTTCCAGCCTGTTATGTCTTCCTTTTTACTTCATATTCATGTGTATGCCTAAGAAAGTAGTAGTGTACCCAATCGTGGGGTATAAAAAGTGCTTTATCTAGTAAGTATGTATCCGCGAAGAAACATAAGAAACATCAAAGACAAAGATTAATGAACTTTCATTTCATCAAGTTAAACCCTTCTTACTACATATATAGGGTTGGGCCTTAACAACAACATCCCAAGAAGAAGACCTATGAAGGTCACAGCCGTCTCCTGTGTGCATTCCTTCGTTGCTAAGTCGCCAGGATCGGCCTGGGGGATGCGAGTGGAGTTAGAGGACCTCAAATCCGTTCGACTTTACTTTGACTTTCCACCTTGAAGATTATCATTTCCGCCTACAAGAAGATTATCATCTATATTTTTCTCTCTTACAGCACAGCCTAGAAGATTTTTCTAGTCGGCGTCCATGCTAGTATCACTTCAGACTGACAAGCAAATGGTGGAGGCTCCTGGTGTCAAATAAATCTAGCCTTAAGAATCTGATCCCCGTTTTTACTAGAAGAAGAGCTTGACGAAGTCGAGGACCCGGACGTCGTACTACATTTCGCTTCCTCAGTTCCCTCACCATCGCGTGTTAGAGTCTGAAGGTAAAATACAGACATCAAAAGCAACTACGTACAAGGCTAAAAAGACAGAGATCTGTAGATACCGTCTAGCTCCTGTATTACTAATAGTGACAGTCACAGTGGTACGTAGGTCTGTGAATAGTTCTTCAGCTCTAGTGGTTCTAGACCTGTTGCTTGTTGAGGTTGAGTCAGTACGTTGAATCACGCACCATACTGATAATTTCAGGCCTACCACAAATTCTTCAACAAGTTCTCCTCATGAAAGAAAGTCCCTAATTATTAGGGTCTTTATCTCCACCGAACAGTTTGAAGTTGTCTCTTTGATGCCCTAATGGTTGATCACCGCCTGATGCTTTCTTGTCTTTGTCTCCACCTGATGCTTTCTTGTCTTTGTCTCCTGCATCTAAAAGTGCTTTGTCTTTGTCTCCATCTAAAAGTGCTTTGTCTCTGTCCTCCATTCTACCAAGGCTAAAGTGGTAGGTAGTACATAATTTCGCTGCTCCTGCACTGACACCGCAGACTGCTTTGCAAATGGCGGATACCGATAGCAAAATCAAATAAAACGAAACCTCTATGCTTAGAAGGTTTTACATGCCAAGCTTCTTGGGCTTGTGAAAAAGGAAATCCTCAGATGCAGGGACAGAAGATTAGGAATGAATAAGCTTGTTGTAGACTAGCAAAGTAGAAGGGTAACTCCTTACAAGTGAGGAAAGGTTCTTGGGCTTGGTGGGGAACAGCACAGAAGGACTAATAAAATATCATCTGAAACATCCTTAAAGTATTCACCCACAGTGGAATGTAGTCGTGAAGGCTGGTCAGGAATAAGCGCAGGTTCCCGACCATGCAGTAGAAGACTCGGATGACGCAGGAACAAGGCGTACCAAACTTAGATGTTGATATATGTTGTCCCCAAAACCAGATCCATCTTCTTCTTATAAACTTTATAAATAACTATTAATCAAATATATTCATCTGATTATACTATAAAGTGCAGCATCGTGGACGTTGAACTACCCCTTTCCCCCCACTTCTAGTTTTCCCTGTAGTGGTACATTCTGATAATTCTTGTTGTAGTTGGACGAGCTGCGTCGGTCTAATAATATACCTTTCATAACAAACAGGTACAAAACTGGCTGTTCCCAAAAAGTGGTTGGCGGAGTGGTAAGCCTAAAGCCCGGTTTTGCGGAAGTTAGATATCAAAGAAAAAGCTTCTGTTGGAAGGAAGTGAATGTGTGCAGTACGTGATAGATTCTAAGAAGAGCGAGTGGTTATCCAAGCTATATTCGATAGTTGATGGCATTAAAGAGCCGTGAATGCATTTTTACAGAGTCGTGAGTAGAGTAGAGGAGAGGAGAGGAGAGGAGAGGATAGGATAGGATGCGTCGGCTTCGTTGACACACGAGGTGGCAACACCGCTCCGGCAGATCGCCCCAAGGAGGACGTTCGGGGGCAAAGGGGGTTACCGCCCGCGTAACACGTCGTTAAACCAGACTCTTCGAAAGAAAATGGGGTTCGGTCGCCTTTAATTATCTTGATGACCCAATTCAACCTACAATCACCTTCGAGTAACTACAAAGACAACCAAACTATAATTTAGACTCCTGGCGTCAGGGGTTCTTGGCGACGAGGTTGGTAGTTTTCTTTCACTTACACGCTGCTCTATTCGTCCGCTCATGGGGATCCATGGGCATCGTCATGGGTATTTCACTTCTCTGACAGAGTGTAAAGTCGTGAGTGGTTATACCTATGTATACGTGATGATTAGGAAAGAAAGATGTTGCCGTAAGAAAGACCCCGACCGCGATAAACTCGTTTTGCCTGTGCTCACGTTATGCCAATCGGATAGCACGTCCTGCGTAAATCCTTCTCTCTATTTAGAGAAGGACGAAGATCCTAAAAGAGGACGCTAGAGGACGAATGCGCTCAAAGACGCGTCTCTGTAATGAGGCTCGCCGGCAAGAACGCAATTTTTCCATGTAGGAAAAACAAAAATTTTCATGCTAAAAGAGGACGCTTCTTCATCTCTCTTCTGCCTGGGGTCGCGTCACGTTTCTGGCCTCTAAAAAGTCTAAGAACATGCTACTAGTTTCTCTCTTTTAAGATACTTCTGCCTCTAGTTCTCACTACATTACTAGCTAACCGATTACTCAAATCTAGCCTTAACCTTTGCATCATCTGTTAAATGGCCCAGCGGTGATAGGATGTCCACGGGGATTTGCCCCCTTCGATGGGGAATGACAACACTCACTACAACAGGATTGTAGGCAGAGCGGTTAGCGGATGAGGCGATCTTTATCGGGCAGAAGAAGATGTTGAAATAATCTACTCTATTTATTCTTATATACCAATGATCTGCACTTCTTGTATAAACAAAAACCGTCAGTACTATTTTTTAATGGGCAGAAGTATCTTAAGATTGAACTGCAATTTCATACCCATAGAGGAAAATGGAGAACATCTATCTTCTTGCAAAAATGTACCATTACGATGCAACAACCTCAACATCCTCATCTATGTTTTTACGGTTTGGCTTTCTTTCCAAAGGAAAAGTATAATCAATGGACCGGAGCATAATATATACCAGCTCCGGGTCGACTAATGACCGTAGGGCGTCTGCAACTCCAGTGGGTAGGTTGTCCAACAGCGCTGGAAAAACCCCACCGAGAGGAGACAAAAAGTACAAGTAGAATTAGAACCGAATCTGGGAGTCCAGTTGTCCCATCCTCGTCCTTGGGAGCTTCTTTTTCATATAAGTAGAAAAAGAAGATCCGAGCAGGACGGATGATGCTTAGCGCCCCTGAGTGCATATCCTTGTTGATCCCTTTCTCATAATAGAACGGCAAAAAGACATCACGCTGCATGCTATTCAACAGCGCTATCCAATAATCGACCAAAATATCCCAGGCACGCCACTCCAGACCCGACAAGATTAGAGTCAGTCTCCAACGTCATGTCTTTTGTCTCCGATTTGACCTGCCAAATCAACCTTGAGACCAGACCCGCCTAGGGAACGAAGTCGAAACCGTTCCAAAGAGTGTATCAGTTACATGTAAATTTCGTTTGAAGGAAGTCAGTGGACAATTGAAAGATTCACCACTTTATTGAGGTTACACCAAGACCACGTTAACATGAAAGGAACAGCAAAAGAAGTATTCTAGAAATGTCAGCTGGACGCGATGGATAATCAATCGTGAAGGTTGCTCAACATAGAACAACAAGGAACGAGGAATTATTAATTTTTAGAACTTCTTGTTCTTGTAAACATAAAAGTAAAAAGAAGTTTGTTGCTTCCACCAGGTATTTGACGCCAAACCGGATAGAATGCAGTGGGATCCACAGTGTCTGGCCATTTGCCGTCCAAGGTGCCAGCATATTTAGACCTTACGACCCATATTATTCCCATTTTTCTAGACGAGGGTCTCTCTCCTCTTTGAAGATCCTTTTCGCCTTGAAAACACGTCGTCAACCTGAAACAACCTTCTCAAGAAAGAAGAAAGCATTTATGGGCGCCTTAACATATCCAAGGTTTGTCCCACGTCGTTCGCAATATCCGCGAAGAGACGCCACTCCTTGACATACGAAGAAAAACTTTGCGAATAGGCTGAAGCGAATAGCAAATTTGCAACCATTCCACACATATCGCGGGACACCCAGACAAGAGCCGCCGCCAGTGCACTTGTACTCGTCACAGTTCCCAGACCGGCGCCCTCTAGAAGCGCCTTCGTACACAAAACTGTACGCAAGTACGAACAGAGACCCTGACTTAGAGGTCTCCCTCTTCCACGAACAATAACAAAGGGGTCAATGAAGTAAGATTCTTCTCACGTAGTTCTTGCACGTTTTTCCCGATGAAAGGGGGTGGTCAAAGATGCTTGTGCTTTTCGTCGTTCTCGAAACAACAATCTCATCGGCCTTAGAATTCAAGAAACTATTTTACTTAAAAGAAAGAAACTGAATGCATCTGTGCAGAGGAGTACTCCGCGCCAGTACTTCTGAGCCGTAACTGAATGCAATCGTATATTTGGAATTCCAAATATTCCTCGCCGACTGAATCGGGGTAGCCAACAGGCATAAAAGTCGTGTAAAGCCAGACTCTTGTGCGTGCTCTGCAAACAGCGTGGAGAGCTCCGACATGATGTTAGATCGAAAAGAAATCGTCCATCTCGTACCTCATCTTGTTGAGGCCCGTTTTGCGGTTACGTTAAGAAACTGACCTAACAAAAACAATGTTGGCTAAGATGGATTTTTCGCAGCCTTAATGATGCGAAACAAAGGCAACCAAGACATTGTGCACGAAGACCAACTCCAGTAGGTCCAAAAATCTTGCTTCGCAGTAGGCATGCGTTAGAAGTAGGTCCCATGCTCAATTTCTACCCTTGTGAAAAAGGCACCTCGTTGTGAGCCTCCTTTTTGGACAACTGCTTCACAGACGTCATCGATCTACGACGATATCTTCTGCGTCTAGAAAGGAGCCATAAATAGGGATCTGTCTGTCGCAAGTTCGGGTGATGGCTTGGCAAACTTTCTGGATAGAAGAAACGGAACCGAGACAATTTCAGGGATCCTTCTTGTCCTCTCCACGTTGGCCTGGTCTTGCTTGGACTTCTGATATTGGGCTCAGTTAAATTTTTAGAGCAGAACTCCGCACTAACCGTTGTCGTGTAGACCGTGGAGATGACAAAAGAGACTGATATTCGATAAACTGAAATAAGAGAGTAACTAGTGAAAACAAGGGAGATACTGAAAGAAGAGGAATGTAGTCAGGAGCAAGACTCTCTTATTTCAGTCAGTAAGTCGCTTATTTTGAGTTTTCGAATACCTAAACAAAGAAAAAGCCCTTGGTTCCTCTTCTGAGACAGCATCACCCCGCCATCTCAAGAAGCTACATGAAAGCTATAAATGAGTTACGAACTATCGCTAGCCACCTAGAATATCGCCTTAACCAACCCCAATAGTGGGATACTTACCTAGAGTTAGAGTCTGCTAGATTGCATCGCGGCCCCCCTTTTCTCGGGGTCCCTTTTACCTTGTTGTATCTCATGAGAATACAAGGGAAAAGGGTACCGAGATGCCGAGAAAGATGGAAAAGGGCTGTGAACGTAATAGAATATCGCCACCTCGAATAACATTTTTGCCTTAACTCCCGTCTTCCTGTCAGGTCCCGTCTTCTTGTTGCCTTTAGTAGGCCCATTCGATCCATTGTTTTCTCCCTTATTGCCACGCTTTCGTCGTGACTCTTCTAGTACCTCATTAAAAGCAGGCACGACGTGCACAGCACCTGTCTCAACATTAACGTCCGACCACATCTTTTTGTTTCGCAGAAGTCAACAAGAAAAAATTCGTATGTTGTGCTGGTAAAGAAAAAAAATCTTGTTATATCGTGGTATGTTGTATGTTATATGATTCTATCAAAATTTGTGAAAGAAAAAATATGTACTTAGTAATGTACTCACTTTCTCGGTACCACAGCAGTTCAAGAATCTACTTAGTAAGTACAATGTCGCTCTGAATTGACTACAAACTCTAAGCATTTGTGTAGTCACACAATTCAATGAGATCATGGATTTTCTTGGCAGCATCTAGCTCACAAATCACAGAACTTTTCTGTCCTCCGCTCACTCAGTAGTTCTCCCTCGGGCTGATGAGTAGTTGATCACTTGCGTTACCAAGAACACATTTTGCTTATGAACGTGCCGATGCATCCGCATTGAGGCATATATGCCAAAGTGATGCTTACGTTGGAGCGTAAAGCAATATCAAGTTGGTGCTCACAAAGCATACTTCATCGGGAGTGACGAAGAGAAAAAGCGTCTCAGCAGTAGTCAGTGCTAGCGGTGCACGGGCAGCGCCAGTGGGGAATAACAATTTCATTGTGATGTGAGCAGTGCTAGTATAAAAACTTTGCAAGCACTGCTCTTCACAGCCAGTGGTCGCGGTGTAATGCTTCGCATATTCATCTCTTCCCTGCACTGCAGCTTAGGAGCTTATCTCCCCTCCCTGAAGATCTTGCCCATCACAATCATGCGTGCTTCCTTCGGAGGACACGGACCTTCGCTTTTTCTTCTCAGAAGAGGCTTGTTTTGTTGTCTTTCGACGCTTGTTACTGTTCGTACTACTAGAGGTACCTGAGGAAGAAACTTCACCAGAAGAGGCTACGAAATTCTTGTCCCGTTGTCCCTGCTCCTCGTACATGTCAGGGCATGCATAGCGTCTGTCGTGTAGGCAGCGCCATATCAGCTGATATCCGAGAGCAAGATCTGGAGTGTCTTCCTCACCGTTGCCTTGTGCAAGAATATTAGTGCTTGCTAAACCCATGGAACTAAACAAGAACATTCTCAGGAAGATCAAGGTACTACTAGAAATCAATAGTAGATATCTGATAGATACGTATATTCATACTAAGGAGCTCCTTTTCCTTAACTCGATCAGCCTCGTTGTGAGCCAGAATCGCTTCCATTGAAGTCGAGTCGGACCCTTGAAAAACGCACGCTATTGTCTGCGCGTTTTGCGGCCTCTATTAGCGTCGGATTTTCACTATCCTCCCTGATGAAGTGAGTTTCCTTTTTTCCCCGTGGTTTCTTTCCCCCGCAAATCAAGCAAGTGCGTGGTACTCCACACGGGATAGTGAAAATAGCTAGGCTTAACTATAGTTCACCAACCATGACCGCTCATCCTCTGATAACGGAAAAGGAAGCCTCTTTAATGCCGCTAGAGCCTCTGGTGGAGAGGGGTTTTCTAGACGCCGTATTGATGCATTGTCGCTGTCGCTGCTGCTTGTCATGATCTTAGAGACGCCACTGGTGATGTTATCGTCATGGTGTCCCATTTAGTAGTAATAGCCTAAAAATGGCGGGACAAAACAGTTCCAGCAGTGTTACCACATCGATCTTCTGAACTTCTATTAATACGCTTCCAGGATGTTTTCAGGATGTTATCTTCACCTGTTCACAGAATCTTCTTTCGACCACATGAACTCACTTTTACACCATCGATTAGAAACCTTCCTTCGTCTTAACTCCTCCTTTCGACGCTGCTTCGACTATGAATTTAGGAGGCACAGGCTCTGCCGCGTTTTTTTCCAGAGCGATTAACCACCTTTTCAGAGGTCCGAGCTGTGCAGAGAGGCCACCTAGCTCCTCTACATCTGCCCCTCTCAGCAATTCTTCATTCCGTACTTCCCGCAAAATGGCCAGGGCCTCGCAGTTCAGAATAGGCTGTTTGCCAAAAGAAAGGATACGGAATTTACTCTCCATTTTTTGCCTGCTGGTTGATAAATTAATAGATGATGACTCGTGGTTGGAAATGGAATAAGTCTATGGACTTGTACTAATTATGAACTATTTATGAATCAATATGGCTCACACGAGCGCATGATCTTCTTGACGTAAAAAAATTATTGTAAACTGAAACCACAACCACAATATTCTCAGAATTTTTCGAGAGAGCTGCTACATGAACATGCACCTGCTGTATTAAGGAGACTTCTGGTCACGTATTATGTTGCTTCTGATTTTGTAGTACACAAGTCGAAACTTTTTTTGCTCATTTACAGAAAATGGAAGGATCTTCTTCTTGTTGTTTCAGCATTCTGATCAACCACAGCGCCACGTGCACCGACTATTTTTAAACAACAGGTTGATTGGCAGCATGAGTGATCGTTCTTACTTCCATAGCCACTATCAGAGATCCAACGTTGGTCGTGACGGACACACGAAGCCAGATAACAAGACAATACAGGTTCGCTCATCTCGCAAGATGAGAACCACAAGCGCGGACACCGTGCATGGAGGGAAGAGTTCTTGTGATTGGTGGATAGGTCTAATAAACGAGGTTTCAGTTTGGTGGACAATAGTTTTTGAAGACGGTGAATGGAAAATATGGAGGTGCAAGTAAGACGACAGTGGAGATTCTGGAAAAGAACAAAAAATGATTACGTCCAAGATTTTCTAGTACAGATGCTAATTCATGCTGGGGGAGGTCTTTTTTTAGTCATTGTTCAACACATTGACAAGAAGGGAGAGTCGGACTGGGATCGTCCCGTATTCGCCCTATCATTTCTGCACTTGAAAAGAAAATTATAACAAAACTTGGAACAAAAAATAGACACTACCACGATCCCTACACAAGAATCAATGCATTCCTTCAAGACTTGTCACCTGCTCACCTACTCATCTACCCACGAGGACACTTTCAATGACTTACCTTAGGAACAAACTTCCCCTACACATCTCAGCTCAAGTTGTAGATATCAGTAGTTCCACCGAATCTCGATTTTTAACACCAAGTTATGAAGAGCGTCCCAAACCTCGCAGATATTCTACATTCCATGAAGGACCCGCGAAGTGTAAAATGTCTCCGGTGAAATTTTAAAAAAAGTGCCCCTAAGCCCATAGGAATCATCTTCGAAGCATGCATCAGTGTTTTCGTAGACTACCAAGAGGCTCCTCCGCGGGTGCACGCATAGATTTTTAGCGCTCGTTTTTACTATTCCAAGCTGAGTGGAATGCTCTGCGTCCTTCTTATTTTCCCTTTCTAAGTCAAGGGCTGCGCCACTCAGAATAGTCCACATGGGATAGTGAAAAAACTAGCCTTAAATAGAGGAGGACACTAACGTACCAAAAGCAGCCATGACTCCTCCTCTGCTTCAGTGCAACGCCTCTTCTAGAAGACGTTGCACCAATCCCACAACAAGAGCAGCCCTTGCACGACCCAGTACAACATGTTCCACACGAGAGTCCCACAGACAAACATCTACGTAGTAGAGTTCCACACTTGCAACCCCGTAACTCTTTCTCCGAAGGGCCTTTGTCTTCATCACTTCACGGTACAGACAGAATGTGGAGACTACATCCGCACCCAGTACAACTTGATCTTCGAAACATCAACATCAACTTTGGCGCGTAATCGACAAGAGGTTCGTTCATGGTAGTGTTCTTTGGCGGGAGACATTTTACACTTCATGGCCTTAATATTTTCATAGAACGGCTGCGTAGTATCTCAACTAAAATGTCGCAACAGCATCCATATTAGAAGTGGAGGACCAATTTCATTAGAGAGCAAATGGAGGAGCAAGCTCATTAGAGAGCAAATGGAGGAGCAATCTCCTTCTCATTAGAAAGCAGTAGAGTAGGAAAGCAGTAGAGTAGGAAAGCAGTAGAGTAGGAAAGCAGTGGTCCAACATGTTGATGCTTAGTTCTAGGCTACTTCCCGTATTCTAGAAGTATCTGCTCTTTCCTTCTAGAAGTCTTCCCAGAGCAGGTGTCGGAAGATTGTCGAAGGGACTCAGTATCTATGTATATGCTCTAGAAGATGTCGCATGCTCAACAGAGTGCTGTTATTGGACGACGAACCACTTCATAACTGTATCCTACCACACATGTATTGAATGTCATGCTACCTTCGCAAATGCTGGTTGAACTCCCGAATGTTAGAGGAAGCTTTTTTCGCCCAATTCGCCTTCATTGATTCTATTTCAGCCCCATTCGCCTTCATTGCTTCTATTTCTCTCTTAATTTTAATTCACAGAAGAATTTCTCCATAATATTGGGGGTACCAGCCACCACCTAGACTTTACCGATGAAGGCGTTTTCCATAATACAACTCTACTCAAAAGAATTTTTCCATAATATTGGGCATAGTGGGCCAGCTCCGTGAGACAATAAACTGTTTAAAGCCTCAGCTATAGCAGTAGCCAATTCGCTCTCTGCTTCTCCCGAAATCGAAGCACCTGTGGAAGTGGTTGAAGCAGGCTTTTAATACATATGAGGACGCTCAAGTAGGGATGTTGATGAAGAAGCTTTCAATATCTATGAGGACGCTCAAGTAGGGAAGTTGATGAAGAAGCTTGCAATATGACATGTGAGTCTCAGAGTGTTCAAGAACAACAACAATCAAAATTTTCTCTCTCGTACAAACGATGATGTTGATGCACTCGGGTACACATCAAGTATGGAACAATGTGGACTAGTATTATCAGTCTCACTTTCATTGGTGAAAAGAACGATAATTGAGGAATCGATGGTATACAAACTGCTGACAACAAGAAAGTGTCCGTTACAAGAAAAAGAGAAAAACCAAATCAGTCTGCCCTTGGAATGCTCGCTAAATCACAAAAACCAAAAAAAAAACACACAAACCTCAACTAAAAATGTGTTTATACTTACTCTCAAAGAGATTATAAGTACACCGAAACAATACTAACATCGAAGATGAAGCCCACCAAACTAATAGGGGTAGGCATACTAGTACTCAGTTCCGCTCCAGCTGCTTGTTGTAAGTTGGATACCGCATGTTGTTCCACGAAGCCGTTAGGTGGCATCACCTCGCCAATCGGGGGAATCATACCAAAAGCAGCACTAGCAAATCCACGATTCTGTGCTCCGAAAGCGCCTCCGCGAAGATGAAGGAAATGAGGAAGATCTACATATTTCGAGTAGTGGACTAGAACAAGATGATGCATGCTGATGTTCAGAAGATCTATGCTTCGAAGGAGTAGGAAGGAGTACTAGGAATCACGTAGGAGTAGGATAAGGGATCGAGTAAGAATCAAGATGATGTATGTTGATGGTCAGAAACAGAAAAGTACATGTTTAGGGTTGCTAAGTATAAATGTATTTTGACCCAGAATAAAAATCAAAATTGTCAAGAATCATGGGCGAGCAGCACAAAGTAAAGGTGAGACGATCCTCGTGACCAAGTAGAAGCTAGTGGTCTAGCTAGTTGCAGTCGGCATTCATTTTCATTCCGTACCGGCTTCTAGTACCTAAACATTTTGTCACACGACCGACCATAACCGAAGCCGAAATTTCCTTGTCCGGTGAAACCACGGTTGAACTCCCGAGCCCAGGAAGAACAGTGTTCGTTCCGAGCCTTAGCATAACGCCATGCAGCGCGACCAAAGCCACGAGCACCGCCACGCATCTTTTTCCTCTTGGTGCAACTGGTTGGTGTTACTACTGCTAGTCTTGTGTTTGTACTATGTAGGAAGAGATGTGCTTGATGTGAAAACAAGATGAATGTCGTGAAATTAGAAAGTTCTAAAGTGTATGTTCTTGATGTGAAAACAAGATGAATGTCGTGATATTAGAAAGTTCTGTATCCTCACCACTCTATGATCCAAAGTCGGAAACGTGTCACTCACCTCTCAGAACTCTATCCACGAACATCTTCAAACCTCTCAGAAAATGCAAGCAATGTATGAAAGGTTTTTCGAAACTCATTGATGAAAGAATGTGATTTTTTTTTCGATGTCGCGTTCTTCAAGAATGAGTACAACTTCGCTCATGACAGAGCGATCAAAGCAGACCAAGCAGGTGCTTCTATATTCTCAAAAATCGATAAGAAGAACAGTATGATGAAAATTTGAGGTCTCACAACATCTAAACCGATGACACAGGTAAGACAACTACCGACCTTCTTATCGAATTATTCATTATCTCAAACCGGAAACGTCTACAAAAATCAATAATAATATATAATTGTCGATAACAGTTTGTGACCCTTATGCTTATGACAAGCAACTACAGGTACCCCAATGTTGCGAAGGATAGAACGTCATAGAAAAACGACTTTATTCCTAAACAGTTAAAACGTATGCAGCTGCATGATGCTCTTGCTATCGATCACTAACCGCCTATAATGCGAAAATGTTTTTCTTGTTCCAGAAGGACCAAGATTCTGGGGTTTAATTTTTAGCAAAAACTACAAAATTTTGAATCTGACAGGTTCCCTGAAGTTGAATCTTTTCAAAACTGAATACACCAGACTGACGAACGCGATCGCTCTTGTGCACACGCTCTGCAGAAGGCGAAGCTCTTTCTAAATGACATAAAGTCTAAGGGTGAATCTTCTGTAGCTGTACCTCTTAAACAAAGATTCTCAAGAATCTAGTATCGATTTTTATGCTGGAGTATTTCTATTTCTATAGCTCTACTAAGATGACTAACCTTCGGATCTAACATTCTGTACCAAGTCTACATCCTGGAAAGCACGAACTGCGCTGCATACTCTCGCACATCCTTGTGCTCACAGGACCCGAGCAGAACCAGAATCGCTTCGGTAGCACCACCTGCGGCTTCGAGGCTCTTGTTGTTAGCGAAGAACGAGTAGGAGTACGCGAGGCCCTTGGTACATATTCTGATTTTTCTCAAATACAAATTCCGATCCTACGAATAAAACGACGCCTTTCAAGTTCAGATGCTACGTCGACTATCAAACACGTATCACTACTCCTACTAGTGTCACATTGAAATCCTATGTATATGGAGAAGCTTCTCAGGACTCCATCATCCTATCCAATGATCATAACTTTCGCCTCCCCCGCAATGTCTGTGAGTGCTGAAACAGCAGCTTTTCGGACTCGTTCATTCTCGTCACGCGCAGCTCGATTCGCCAAGAAATGGACAATGTCAAGCACCGGCTGAGAGTAGATTGTATTGTAGTCTTCTTCCGTTGTTCTTGTAGTACAGCCATCTTCTTCCGCTGATGCTGCTAACATCGGTCGAAATAATGAACAAGGAGGGACTCGCATTAGGTGTTCACAAATTCACACTGATCGCATGGCACAACAACTTCTGTCAATGATAGAGAGCGTCGTGTTGAAAAAAGGCGGTCCTTGGAACTTCTACACAGCTAACGTCTTACTTGAAATTCAAGCCAAGCTACTACGTACTTAAAAGTCTTTCTCAATAACCCACATAATAAATCTCGTCCATAAATAGACCACATCCCCATGATCCCCATCCTCTTCCGTCGAGGTTGCCGAAGTGATGATTTCCAAATCCGCACCAGCCGAACTTCCGCGAGTGCTTTGTCTACTCCAATTAGAGTCTGGTAGATTCAAGAAAAGTCGCGACCTCATCTTAATCCCTCGTATTTCATGAGCAAAATACAGGGGAACAAAAGGTATCTATTCGATAAACTGAAATAAGCAAGCAACTACTTAAAATAGGCGAGATACTGAAACAAGAGCCCAACGAAATGACTCTGTTCTTTACCGTCTCGAGAACATAGAAACGAGCATTGTCTCGGTCCTTGTACACCTTGTCTATGACTTTGAGTCGCTTATTTTTACGTTTCGAGTACCAAGATGCCGAGAAAGATGGCCACTAATAAATGTTGCCCTTAATCCAAATTGGACCATGATGATCTGGAACCTTCAGGTTTCGCCCAACCGTCTGCCCACGGAGGCACAGCGCAGAACTGACTGACCTTGTTGGCGGTGGAGGTGGTGGATCGATCTCAAGAACAAGAGAACCTTCAACATCTTCCTGTCGCTTCTCCTGTCGCTTACTAGACGATTCTCCTGTTGCGCCAGGTTCACGAACCAACTGCAGCGCTGCTCGTCCTAGATTTGCAACAGCACCTCGACGCCTGTTGTTTGGTTTGGCAAAACACGTTCTTGGCACATAACGGATTACAAATAAACAGGAGAATGAAAGAATCAATAACAGTATGCAACTACAAGTTTTAGTTTCATCTAATGAGTACTGATTCTAATTTCTAGCATCTACACCTTCTAATAGAAAAAAAACGCACATAGATTTCTACGTTAACGAAGGCACAATTGGGTCGTTTGCAATTTCCACTAGAGCTTGCCTCGCACTTTCGATCCCACGCCCAGCCAGATTTCCTAGCGAGCGACGTGCTGGGGCACCAGTTAACCACCCACTTACTGCTTCTCTTACTGCTTCTCGGGATTTGGATTAGAACCACGAGATGGATGAATGCAGATGAGTGCATGATAGACGTGCAGATGAAAACCAAAAATCAAATTGTAGAGAATGGAAACTAATCATGTCTAGAGTAAAATTGTCGATATTGAAAATGATGTCTAGAGTTGTAAAAATTTTGCAGTGGAATGAAAGTCGACGAAGGCGAACGCGAAGTCTTTGATCATAGTATGATGATTCGATTCTACTCGAAGGTTGCCTTTTCCTCAGTCACAGTATATGTCTCGTGGATAGCCCTAAAGATAAGCCACTGTCTGGGGATGCAGGTCACGCGACTCACCCAGGACCGTCGCTAGCTCACTTCGAAGCTGTAAAAATTGGTCGTGAAGGAATTTGTGACGTCGAAAAGAGGTCTGGGAATATAAATACGGTCGGATCAGATATTTATTATCTATCCAGTATACGTAGGTATAGGTATACCTACTAACAAATAACGTATACCTACAACCTAGATACTTACTAACAAATCATGGGAGGTACAACGAGATGTGTATAGCAAGATCAGAAAAACACAAGTATCGGTAAGTACGTCAGATGCGTCTCCCGCGACGCGATTGAGCACGCCACGCGTGAGCAGAATATCCACAGCTTGCGGTTCCTCCAAGGCAAGGCGTAGCAAGGCTTGACATGCAGGTCGAAGGCAGTTTGGGACGTCGCAGCGATTGTTAGAAGTTTCAGTTTTGAAGTTCCCAAGAATAAATCTGACTTTTCATTGGTAGTAGCTAATCAGGGCGTGGCGCCATTGCAGAACCACGCACGATTCAGTCATTAACGTACTTACTCCAGAAGTTTGATCTTACAACCTAGATCCACTAGAAGAAACTTCTTCCCTAAGTTGCAATGCCTGTACTGCCTGAGAAACGCAGATGCGCGCACGGCCAAGTTCCCGCGCTGCAGCAGGACGGATTCGATCCTCATAGATACGCCGAAGGAGCTCGTTGTTATGACCTCTTCCCATATCAGAACCTTCTTCTGCATTTTCTACGTGCTCTACGTCTTGGTCCCCATCGAGATCATCATCTACCTCTGTACCTATGTCGTGCTGTGGTCGATATGGTGGGTTCCTCAAGGCAACGGTCCTCGGATCAACGCCACCTCCAACACCTGCTTGTTCACGCACGAGCCTGCTTGGCATAACCAACATTTCTTCGCTGCCTCCGGCAGGTGTAGCTGCTCTATCTCGAACGAGCCCAGCAAGGATTGATCCTGCCTGCACTGCTCCTTCTGGTGCGTCTTCTTCCCGCCCGTCGCCACTTAGTAGTAGGCGCCGACGGCCTACTGCCATACCCTGTGCTGTTGCAAAAGCCGTTGTCCAGCCATTAGACAAAGACTCTGAAACGCGGGTGCTAAGTAGAACGTCAACGTAGTTCCTAGTGTACTATGGTCTTCTTAGCATTAAAAAGGATAATGTTACCAGAACCAGTTGTAGTATGGATAATATTTCCATTTTCTGATTATCATTATGACCGTAAGAACATTTATGATTATCATTATACTCGTAACAGTCCTACCAGCGCGGCCATTATATGGCGTCTCGCCTTCAGCCATAAAAGGGTGTCGAGGGCCAAGACGTGAGTCGTCAGCGCCTGTCGTTTGTCCTACGGCATCTCTTTCATTGCGAAGCGGAGGCTCCACGGTCCTTGCGCCAGCTATAGTGTCCTCCCGAGCAGGAGGCGCCATTATCCATCCTCGCTGCGCCATCCTTTCGTCAACAGACCTCTGCAGTTCAAGAAGCTCGTCAAAGGCATGCTGATCGCGATCACTTTGGTTTTGTCGATGGTGCCTACGAAGATGAGCTGCATGATCTTCTGTCGATACATCTCGGACGCGAGCAGGAGACCTCAGAAGGTCAGCTTGGTAGTAGTTCTTAGAAAGAGTATAAAAAGAGGAATATTGATAAGATGCGGCTCTTGATGGCGTTCCGTTATTAGTAGGAATTCAGAAAATCAAAATTGTACGAAAGGACTAAGTACTCTGATAAAGACATCGCGCTGTCCTTGAAGGAATCGCTCAGTAGCAGTTCATCTTGTTCCTTAACCACAACCTCTTCTTCGCCACTCGCAGTGCTTGAGGAAAAGAGTGGACGGTTGATATCCCGTATAAGCTCCGCTAGATCCACAGATGGCTGAGTGGCGCCAGCGATAGCAGCTGTGCCGGAGGAGGAAGATCTTGCTGTCGTTGTTCCCGTTGAGACTCCAGCGGCCGTCGGTCTGGAACCAGATGAAGCGGGTCCTGTGCTGCTCCAAGTAGCAGTACTAGGAGGTTCTCTTGTTGGTCCGGCGTGACGAGTTAACGAGCTCGTGTCCATATCGACGCTGAAGAGGTGAGACGACATTCGCAGACCTCGGAGTAACAGATCGATGAGAACGTGTACGGCACGCTCATTCTTTCGCTGCGAAAGGCTGCCTAGGGCTTCGCAGGCAATAATTCGGTCTATTGGACTGCAGCTCTCGCATAAAGCGATCCTCTGTAACGTTGCCACAAAGTCTACGACTTTCTTGGAGGTCTTCTGCAAGCCACCTGTTGTAGTTTCGCCAATCGTAGTTGTGCGAGAGCTTGGAACAAGATCAAGATCTATTGCTCTTGCGTCGCTTCGTCCTCCTGATGGTTTGTCTCTTTCTACTTCAGTCATAGTTCTTGTATCCTCCAACCCATCTAGTGTCCAAATCTGTCCTTGATCTCCCAAGATGTCTTAGACCTGGCCGATATTCATCTTGAAGCGCATCTTTGACGCATAAAAAGGGGCCCAAAGATGCCTCTCAAGAAGATGAAAATAAGTGAGCCTTAAGTGTCGTGGTCTTCTGTTTCACTGCTTCTTCCTTCTACTTGATTGGTTGGCATCCCGAGTAGTACTCCTTGACTACCGGCGGGTCCTTCTACCACTGCTCCACTTCCCTCAGTAGTTTCTCTACTAGTAGTCCTGGACAAGGGTGAAGGGCTCCTTGAGAGATGATGGAAGAGGCGAGTCCCAGCCCGCTTTGTACTTTGGGATAAGACATGACCGAGAGCAAGACACGTAGGCGTATTGTCTGATAAGGATTTCTGAATGGTCGTGCCATGTTGTCCTGATCGAGCGAGATTAGCGCTAGGTTTAGAATATGCCTGGTTGAGTGAGTTCCCATTTTCCTCCCTCATTGTGCTCCCCTTTACATCAAGTGACAGCTCACTCAGCTGCATAGTGTACCTGAGATACTGAAAAACTAGCCTTAAGAAGAGGAGAAGAAGAAGACGATGACACTTGATGTGGCAGTTGTTGCGGCATATTAATATTGTCAACATCCTCAAGATCCAGGCGATCGACGCGATCACTGCTGTCTGGGCTTTCCTGCGTGGCCACGGACTCGTCCTGCGACTCGGTTCTTCTTCGCCGAGAAGGAATTAGCGATAGAAGCTTTTTCCTCATCCTCACATGATGCACCACACTAAATGAGCCATAAGGGAAGAAGGGAGACTCCACTACTGTTCGGACTACCGTAGGACGTCGATCGCGTCAGCAGACTTGTTGAAGAAGACTTCGTATTTACTACATCGGGTACAACTACCAGGTCAATAGGAGAAGTTGCAAATCGGTCCTGTTCCTCTCGAGAATGGAGCCTGCTATCTCTAACTACGCCATCCATCCCCCATTTCTCCTGCTGCGACCACTGCTCTTCCCTCCTATCTTCTAGATCGAGTGCTAGTCGTCCAACAGTATTACTTCTGCGACCATGTCGATTTCCAGATGCTGCAGTACTAGGCCTCGTAGCGAGGTCGTGATGCGGGCTTCCACTTGCTTCCTCCACCTGCTCATCAAAGTTAAGGGCAAAACCCACATTGGATCCTCGTGAAGGTGTACCACGAGCAGCGCCAGTGGAGCAACTACTAGGAGTCATAATTGAAGGCTTTCTACTCTGTGCTGTTGTCCAGACCAGGAGATTTTGATGTCCGCCTGCCCCTTCCAGCGCACTTGCATACCCTTTGATGGCAGAGAGGGACCCACTACGCGCATAGTGCCTTAGCTCCATCAAGGCGTTCAAGTCGTCGTCTCTTCCTGCTCGTGCCTCTAGTTGGTTGGATTAGAGGATTCTTGAAAGTCATCAACCTACTCATCAAACAGAGAAAATGATCATGACACCAGAACTACGACTATAATTATCCCGAATCAGAGAGTAGACCGACTGGTACTGATTTTTCTTTCTTCTTTTCGGGATCCTATGTTAGCCTTCCTCAGTTCTCCCTTGGTCAAGCAGCCTTCAGTTCTTGACCAACCTAAGACATCGTAAGAAAAATGATCCCACTTGAGAAATGGCTAATCCATCAGACAAGTGTAGAATCCGAAGACATCCTAAGCAAACACAGCATCAGACAAGTGTAGAATCCGAAGACATCCTAAGCAAAGACAGCTTCTGTCAGCTTATGCGCTAGTCCCTGACAGCTTCGTGCTGTCTGGCCCCAACGGACGACGCTGGGTACATCTAGGTAGGCCGCACCACATGCGTCTGCCACTTCATCGGGTAGAAGTGAGATGTTGTCTTGTGGCTCTCCTGACGGACCATCGCCTCTTCGAGGAGCATTTCCGTGACCAGTTGCTCTTGTGCTTGAAAGAGGACTGCCATGGACGCCAAGATGATCTCCCAGCAGGCTGAAAAGCGCAACTGCAAAGAAGACGGCGAACATTTTTTTCAAATTATAATGTCTAGAAGTCTACTACTAGTTCTGAAGTAGCGTAGAAGGTTACACTATATTCGAGATAAAGACTTATAACAAAAATGGCACTCCTCATCTGTAAAAAAAAATGGCCCTCTAAAATTGGAGACCAGCAAGGTTTTTCCCACCCACTCGGACCTAGGGGTCTCACTCAGAGTTCAATTGAAGATCAAACGGAACAGTGAACACGGCAAACTCGAAGGTGAAACCTTCTAACACGACCACCACATACTTGTGGCCGTCCCTGACTGCACGATGTGGTCAACCAGCAGCTCGACTCTGTCAACATCAGGATCAGGGTACACAACCTCATTATAGACAACATCATAAAGATGCTTGAAGAATAGAATCATTTTCTTTTGGAACATTAACTTCTTTTTAGGTAGTAGTTTTAGTTGACTTCTGTTTGTTAATAGTGAACTAATGGCTTTAACTACGAAAGAATAGAAAAATATAGTTGTTGAGTCCTCACACATAGTTGTATCGAACTGTTCCTGTTGTGGTATTCCATGCTGAATAGGAGCTTAAAAATATCTGCAGTGGCCTTCTACGAGATGAGTAATTCTAGACTTCTTATCTCGCCGACTACTTTGAGTTCTAAAAGTAGTAATGCATGGCTAAGTAGCCTTCAAGAATTTTCTTCGAGTCTTCTGAAGAGAGTACAACTATCTATAATGTCACAGAAGATCGACGTTACAAGGGAATCTGTTGTTATAGACACGCAACGAAGGATCATCTACTTCTAATGTCACGCGACTCACGAGGCAACATTCAAGTAGAATCTAGTCAATGTTCAATTCTATAAGTATTTACTTAATTCATGATAAAAAGAAGAACAGTCTTGATCTGTCTAAAAAATTGTGATCCTCTTCTTGATGAATACAACTTACACTTAACTTCTTGATGATCGATCATGCCTGAGCATCATCACTCGTCCACAGGGTCAGGTTGTCGCGGAGAAGCTGCATGATGAGCGTCGAGTCCTTGTAGCTCTCCTCGGAAACGTTATCCAGTTCCGCAATAGCATCCTCGAATGCTTTTGTTAGAGAAGTAATGCTGATCATTTGCCGTGAATCTAAATCTTACTTAGCTTTGCTTTATTCTATCTCTAATCCGTATGTAGTCTATCAGTCTTTCTGTAATGTGCTGAATACGATTGAATATTATCATCTAAATCGGTCATAATTTTCGGGCCATGCTGCATGCCTCCTCAGGCTGGTTCAGGACTTCGTAGTAGAACACCTGTTGTAGTAGTAGCGATGATAAAAAGACTTAGTATTCTCGGCACCAGTCAACAACAACATGAACAACATGTTGAAAAGCGTCCACTGAAATCCTCACATTGATCAAGTACAAAACTGTTTCTTTACTAAAGGAAAAAACAAACTCAGAAGATACCGAAAAGTTCAACGCGAGTCCCAGTCGAATCGGATGGGTAACGAGCAGTCCCTTCTCCGCGATATCCATGGCATTTTTGTACGCTTCTCGTGCCAACTCAGCTGATTTGCCCTTTTCCTCTTTGTATTCGGCGATGTAACGATGGTAATCTCCCTTCATCTTGTAGTAGAAGACCTGGGGATGGGAGGGAAGGATTAATCTGGTAGTAGAGGACCTGGGGATGGGAGAAGGGCAGGGTAGAAGGGTGTCGGAAGAAGGAAAAAAGATGTTTCTTCTCCATGAACACGGTAACAACAGCGGATGGGAGTGAAGGACAAGAAATGGAAGGAGGTAGGGCGGTGGGATGGAACTGAAGAAGGAAAAAAGGTGTAGTTCTACGTACTTGATGAACAAGGTAAAAACTCTGAAGACTTTATTGTTCAATCTTATGATATCGGTGGAGCACACCTAACTAGGAAACAAAAATACCTGTGCCTCTTCGGTTCCAGGCTTCAATTCTGCGGAGATCAAAGAGTTATCCAACAGAGACAGGATTTGGTTACCTGAAGATGGGATTGGTGACTGAAGTGGTTGCATATGACATGATGAGCAAGCATGATCTCTCTTAATGTTTGTGGTGAACCCGACCTAACTAGAAAAAAGACAGACCAGAGGAAGATAGAAAAGAGAAAAGGGTAACTACCAACAAGAATCCTTGATTGTTGTACTAAGAACTACAACTCTGGCTCTGCGAAAAAGGGTAGGTAGGATGAAAGATTCAAGGATAATTTTGAATAATAGCACAGTAGTACAGATATCATCCAGTTCCTTCTCAATCTTTTCTCGATAAACTGGAGGCTGTGCTGCGTTTGCCGAGCCTCGCTGAATCTCCTTCTGCTCAACAGAGGATACAATACCTGTTTGAATTTGAGACTTTTGATCGCACAGATTTGCGTCTTGCGTGTCTCCTACAAGTCTGAAATAAATTCTTTGAGACCTCGGTGTAGGTCGCTGCAAATAAGTAGATCATACTTAGAGATGAATTATCAGAAACTACAAGTAAAACAAGAACGGCATCAGTACGCCAGCTCGCCCGTCTGCTTCCTACTGCGTTCTTGTAAGCGACTGAAAGCAAATTTCGCTCTTCTACCGTAAGCTCGCCCTCTGCTTCCGCTACTTTCTTCATAAACTCTGCGGATATTAGAAGTGGGAAGCTAGAAGATGAAGTAGATGCAAAAAAAAACAGCTCCACGTAGAAAAAAATAGATGACTTCAGACTTGTAGCACAACACGTGAAGGAAGCCTACTACTAGTACTAGTACTGGAAGCCTACTAGTACTAGTACTAGTTAGAGTTACTAGTACTAGTACGACTTCATCCTCATGCTAAATGACTTCTCGATACAAGCCATAACATTTCATCGTATCGCTCAGCTTGTTCGGCCAACTTGGCCATGTACACGTTGCCTTCGCGATCGTCGGACATCCTCGCTTGGTTCTTTGGGACTTCTTTGATGTTGTTCTTATCAAAATCGCCTTCCCCACGACTTGTATTTTTGTAGAGCCCTAACTAAAGAAAGGAAGACGTCAAGTATTTGTAGAAGGTAGAAAGCTATAGCTTGTTGGAATAAACAAATTATACAGATAAGAAATGAGTGGAAGGAAATCAAACTCGACTAGGGAAAAAATCGAAGTAGCAATAAAGAAGCGCTGATGATGAAAGAACTTGAACTAGAACCACGCTTACACTAACATCAATCAAAAACAAAAATAAAAGAATCACGTATTAGAGACCGCGAATGAAGATGTAGATGTTGACAAGAAGATCTTTTCTCAACGTCTTGATTTGTACTTGTACGTAGTAGTCGATGAAAAAGCTAATAGCCCTCCCGAAAGTATAAAAAATCGTAAGCCAAGCATGAATGACACTCTGGAGATTCGACCTGACTGTGTGCGGAAGTAAACACGATCTTGAGTTTTAGTGAAGGTGCATGGTGGAGCCTCTTGATGTGTCTGTGTTCTCAGACGTCACTCCTTCGTGGGCCACCTGGCTGCGGGTTAAACACCGCGAAACCCGCTGTTGGGAAGATTTTTTTGCCTCACAAACACTAACACGCCCACACACGTACCAAAACACTCTCCGCCCATTTGCTTCCACGATGAATGCCTGGCCAGTCACATGATCAAAATTCATGCCAGGCTTGTTTGTGTCGCTCAAGCTGCTAGCAGGTTCTTGTGACAACGATTTTTTCTTGCCATTGTCACGATAAGATATTTCATTTTCTTGCCACGACCCTGCATTGCTGTTGAAGCTAGATGAAATGTTTGGGTCATAAAAGCGATTGTAGGAACCGTGATGTTAAAATTTCTCGATTTCCTTACGACCATGCAGAGAAGCAGTGGGGAGGCGCTTAAGAACATGCGAAAGAAAGAGAAAGTGCAGAACATAACATAATAAATGAGGAGTGGATTTTTGATGCGAGTTCAATTTTGACGTCATCAACCATAGTTATTCTGCAACTTCCTTCGTTGCTGCAAAAAAAAGTTCAATATCTCTTGCCAAGCAAGGCGCAAGCGGTAAATTGTTCGTCAAGGAATGAATAAAAGAGAAGTGCTCCTACACGGAGCTTGCCGCAACTCACCAAATCGGTAAGAACAGGGTATTGGGAATGACCACGTGAGGGCTTTCTCGGAAAAAATGCACAGGACCTAAAAACAAGAACGATGTAACCACTTCATCAAATTGCTCGTCAATTAGAAGTACTCATTAGATTTTAGTGAAAAAAAGTTCAAAAAACCGTGAGGTTCTTGAAATGACGTCGTAACCACGTACGAGGTTGTACTGAAAAATAGTTAACGAATCATATTTATGAGGAAAGTGAAAGACAGATCGGGGCTATTAATAACTACGAGTTTTCACTCACGACGATAGACACAATCGGAGTACTACCATGGCAGGTACATCAATCAGGTGTAGGAAAGTAAGAGTAGGCTCCTAGAAAGTCAAAGTTCTTCAGTGTTCATTCAAACCCAACAGGCTCAGTGACGAAGTCTCATAATGAGTATCATCTTGAAATTTCAACCGTAAATCTGCAATCTAAATCTATATCATTAGGACGTATATCAAGGAATCAGTTGCGATACTCCAAAGAGCCTCAATTTTACACTTCAATTATCCGAATCAGATTCAATTCTTGGATTCAATCTAAGTTATATCTTGCTATCAGCTTGGTTTCTACTTAATATACAGAACTGCATCTCATTTGCTAATCAAATCCATAACTTTAACTGCGCTTGCATTGCTTTTTCTAGTTTGTTTTTGATGTTAGTTTTCGTCAATGATCATATTGATAACTACGCGCGAAACTAATTTCGATAGCGTCGTGGGAAAAAAAGTTCCAATGAACAGCATCAAGCGTGCTTCACTGCATTCGGCAGCATCGGCCAACATCGCCTATATTTCTCCCTCCTCCGTTGAAAACGTGCATAGTTTGAACATGCGTGCATAGTTGTCGTTCATGCTCCAATGATATCGTCGTCAGTAATCCAATTTTCACATCGTCGTCGTAACAGCTGAGAAAATGCTAGGCAGTGCATTCATGGTATGGTCTACTAGGTGAGAAAGCGCAGGAAACATGGCAGCGCAGTCCGGAATCGGCGTGGTTGGGGTGTGGAGCAGTTTCCATCCGCCGGCAGCTACGACGGTTGCAAGACCACCAAAACCAAACCGTTTCATCGCGTTGTACCATGGGGGTCGATGCTCACTCTTCATGTCCGCCATCACTAGGGCCGAAATTAGAGCTGTTGTTCATCTTCTCTATCATTTCTAAGTACTTATCATAGTAGAACAAGATGCTGTTGTTCATCTTCTCTATCATTTCTAAGTACTTCTCATAGTAGAACAAGATTCCAATCATCGTCCAGGCAATCATCAATTACAACTTCACTTTCAGTGCATTCATAACATGAGAAAACCGCCCAGCGCGCCGCCGAAGTGTCCGTAAAGGTCCATATTAGGTGTCATGCCACTCATCGTGGTGACCGAAACAAGCAGAGGTTAGAGACGAAAGCATCTTCGAAGAAAAGGTTATGCAATACAATACAAGAAAGGTCGCACAAGGTTCAGTGCAGACTGCCTTAGGGGCGTCGTAAATGCTCACCACGATGCTACCTCAAACATTTCGAAGAGAATTGTCAATATCTTCAGAAGCGGCTTAACCATTCAAGGATGAAGATCATGGTGTAGATTCGAGATACGACTGACTGGGACTGAAACTGTTGCGAGTTGTTCTATCAGATTAAGAAATTGAAATAGCAAACAGCAACACTCAATGTCATGAAGATCGGTATGTATAATTGTGGTTGGAGTCCAACCCCTATTACATTTTTCTTTTTCATAAATGAACAATATCCAGATCAGTGTGCGATCACGATTGGCTCCGAGCATCTCCCAACTCATTACGATTTCTGCTACCCAGACACCGATTAGACCAAATCCCGCTGTGCTTGCGCCAACTGACAGCTTGAAAGGGTCCAGCATTACGCTCACTAGGTTCCCGATGACACCGCACGTGAGGTAGATAAGTCGCATTTTGCTTTTGCCGAACTGCCGTTCCATTCCGAACCCAATACGCAGTTGAAAAAAGACGTTGAAGAATAGATGCATCATGTTGGCATGCAGCATCATAGGACAAACTAAACGCCACAGTTGTCCACGAGCCAGTGCAGGACCCCAAGAAGCACCGAGGGAATACCTGTGGTTGTGACGGTGTAGATCGATGGCGTTGACGGCGACGGCAAGAAGGTAATCGCCATAACGTGTGAATGTTTGAAGACGTTCCCGTGCTGTTTTTGATCTTGATCATCTTATTGAATGGAGAGGAAGTCAGGCTTGAATTGGGATGAGCGTACTCGACGCCACACATCCGCCCACCCTCACAACTCCTCTTACTTCCCCAAGCAAAGAAAGGGCGGGCAACGAAGAGAAGAACAAAGGCGGGCAAGAAATAAATAAACCAAGCGGGGCGCGCCCTTCGATCGCTTCCCAATAAAAAGCACAAATAGAAGCCGAGCGCCTCTGGGTTGCTTGTGGTGCGGGCGGGACTGCCAAGCATGTGCGAAAGGCGAGTCATCCAAGCGCAGAAGACTCGGGGTGAGCCCCTGCTCTCGTGCTCCCTCGAGGCGGCGGCGCCACCTACCCGCGTGACATAAGCGACACAAATCCCCAAGCGGCTGGACTACGCGGCAAGCGCGGAGGGGGCCCCTGCGTTTGATGTTTGCCGCTGTCTTTCCATTCTCTCCTGCTTCACCACTCAGCCACTACTCGCCGCCGCTGCCGTTTTCCCGTTCTGCTTCAAAGCTAGGCCACAAATCGACGACAGCGACGCCGCTCCCACCTTAAACCGCCAGAATGTGTCCAGCTGTAGCCCCGTGCGCGTCGCCATAGGTGTAAACCTATACAAGAGGGCGCCGAAGGTCTTGAGGTTCGTCGGGAGGCCCAGGCGCTCCGCCATCTCCTTCGCCAACTCGGTGGGGGGTTGTGCGCTTGGTAACTCCTCACCCCTCAGACGAAACGCCTGCTCTCCGTTCGCCACCCTCACGCGCAAGATCGCCCACATGGCGCGCGCGCCTTGTGAAGTAGTGGCAACGAAGTGGAGCGCCCCCGATGGGTCTCTCCAGTGTGTGGCGGAACTTCTCCGCTGTGTAAGCTTCTGGCACCCGCAAACGGCGAAGCAAGTGGAACACTGCACGAAGGTCCCGGCGCCACTTCCCTCCCAAGATCATCAGGATCGCCAGACGGTCGAAGCGGGTCGAGTGGTCGAAAGCCTTGACGCAAACGGGCCAGAGCTCCGCCCGGAAGGCAAGACGCCCGCAGACTTCCTCGCCGAACCTGACGAGCACACGATAATGATAAAGCTCGACACTCGCCAGGCCCTCAGCGCTCCGGCTACGGGGGCCTTTGGTGAGAACCTCAAGGACCTCCCGCCCCGCCAGGCCCTCATACGCCTCCGCGTGGCTACGTCGCACGCCGCAGATGTTTTTCGACTCCATCCCAGACCACTCGGGCCAGCCGCTCCCGCGCTCCACTTCTTCGAGGTCGCTCGGGGTCAAAATGTCGCACAGCTGCAAGGGGAAAGGCTCCAAGCCGTGGCGCTGGCGGTCCTGTTTGTTGGTATGTGGCTGCTCACCTGGAAACGCGTAGCCTGGGGCAGGTCTGGCGGCCCCAAGTTGCGCGCGCTTGCGTTTTGCCAAACAGCCCCAAGGCGCAGAGGCATAGGCGGCGGCACAAAGAGGCCGCCTGGCCTTTGGCCCTGGCCATTTGGCACAAGCGCGCCCGCCTGACGCAAGAGCGTGGCAGCGGCACGCTGCGAGCCGAAGGGCCCGGGAGAAAAGCAAACCCGGGGGGAACACTCAACATGGCCCCCCTGCAGCTACCCCCACCCCGCGAAGGCGCCCACGCTTCAGCTGTTGAGCAGCGAGCCGCAAACCCATGCCCCCCCATATATTTCCGGCCTCCGCGCGGTCTCCAATTCAGCCCGGCAATGGACAACGCCCCAGCCTTTGGCGGCTGCCTGCGCCTACAACTCGGAAGGCATTGGCGCCAGCGCGCAGACCGTTGCGCCGCCGGCACAGAGTGCGAGGGCCAAACGCTCGAGCACTGCGCCAGGGCGCTGCACCCTAGCAAAGCCGGCAAGAAGGCGAAACCAATCGCGCCCACCACTCTGAGCGCCGTCCGCCGATGCGTGCGCCCCCCTCACCCTTGCGGCGCCCGTTCCCACCCAGAAGCGCTGCCGCGCACTGCTGTCCTTTTTTTGCCTGGGCGAAAGACGAGTTCGACGACCCCGATCGCCCTCCGCTACTGCGTAAAGGGCGTCCAGCACTCACTCCGTAGCTTCAGCTGACAAGATTATCATTCCCATCTCCATCACAACAAAACTCTGAGCAAGAAAAGGCTGAAAGAGTACAATGCACAAGGCGTCGGGTTAGCTTTTTGGTGACCGATAAGCATCGTGAATCCGAACGTCGCAATTTGTGCCAGTGTCAGATTCCAGATAAAGGTGTCGCCATCGAACCCAGGGAAAATTAGCTCCATAAACTGCGTCTCCTCTTTATTCTGCTGAAATGCGTTCAGGGCTGAACCTATTGAAGGTGAATGGGATGAATTTTGCTGTTCTTTGGATCATGTACAGGTGGAAGTGAATGTTAGGAGCAATCATCTATTTCTGGTACAGGATGCGAGTGAAAGTAGTGGTCTCAGGAATCAGAAATATGTATATGAACTAATTCTAATTCAATGAAAGAGGATTTCCTGCAACAAATACCAGGCCCAGCGGTCACTTTTGGTTCAGAACGTCGCTGCAGGGGTCGTGGCGGAGCAGGTATCACTGCAGTTCCAGAGGCGAGGGCCATGAATGGCGCAAGAACTGGCGCTTTCAATAATGCGATTGCCTGATATAATGGTCATCATGAGCGTAGCGAATAGCAAAAAGTAGCTGCTAGTAGAGACAAATATCAAGAGAGCTAGAATATGAACATGGTTGAAGAATCAACAGAGCTACGCTTATGTAAGATTGAAAATACCGAAGCTGATTTCGCGAGTGTGAGGTTCATGAAGAATGTCTGCAGCAAGTGCTGCCAGTATGGGTCCTGTGCGCAGAGTGCTTCAGCTACTGGATATTTGTCCAAAAGATCAGACTCGTGCTCAGCTAAGCTTCTTTTCCTAGGAGAAGTTGTCTCTGAACTTGTCTCAGAACAGGTTGAAGCGCTATGATTTTTCACATCAAAGAGAAGAAGACATTTTTCGTGTCCAGCATCGCAAGATTTTCTAGCGGCCGAAGTGTTGTGGCTCGTTCTCCTTCTACTTTCATCTCCTTCGTGTTGCTCTTCTTGCCCTTCTGCTCTCCTCGATGATGTTCTTCTTGCGTCATGCTCATGTTTGTTCCGTCGGCTACTTCTACTAGGATGCGGCATGGGTTCTTGTTGCGGCGCTGGACTTCCTCGATTTGATGTTGGCGAACTACCAGGTTCGGAACCCAAACAACTGGAAGAACTTCTACTTCCCACTTCTGTATCAGACCTCCAACCACGACCCTCATCTTCATGCTCTACTTCGAAGTTCCGCCTGCTCGACGAACTAGACGCGGTAGAAGCTCCTAGGAAATTCGCCAAAAGAAAACTGTGCTCCCGGCTTCGATGCACTGTCGTTCTGATCACTCGCGAACTGTCCTTTTGATCAATAAAAGACGCAGACGTCGAAGACGTCGATGGCGTTGCTCCCTGCGATTGGTGTGGAAGTCGGCTAATCGTTGTTCGAATGCGCCTTCTAGGGGTGGAGGTGGGACCATAATTGGTAGAGGGATCATCGTCTACAAGACTGCCCCCAAAGGCAACCTTCGTTACGAAGTTCCCCAACTCTGGAAATATCATTTTGTGTTTTCTTGGAAATGGACCAGGACCCAAGGATCTCTCTTTGGAAGCCTGGTTGCTTCTCTTGGAAGTGGACTAGGACCCAATGGTAGTGATTCTTCTTGTTCCTAGAGGCTTTTCTTGGAGGAAGTGGACTAGGTAGATCTAATGTTCCTCGACGACGCTACCCTAACACTGAAACGTAGTACTCGAAACGAGATTAGATATGAAAGATAAAATCAATACCAAAGATACAAGTGCCAGTATGATCAAATCATAGATGATACTTCTGATTTCCAGAGACACACGCAACAACAACGTTGTGAGACATAGAATAAAGAGAGTGAAAAAATCGTAGATAACGCTTTTAGGGATGGGAGGGAGGAGACTGCTCATGTTCAATTTTAGTATCACCGTCTCCTCTACACTCTGATTTATAAGAAGATGAAACGTGGTGAATTAGTGTTCTATTTGTGAGCATTCTTGTAGGAGCAAGCACACTTGTCGTTGTCACGAAGAGGAATCCTTCGACCTCAGAAGAAAAAAGAGAAAAAAAAAGCTTGCATGTCTTCTCTTACTTTCAGCCATCGACCAAAAACGAGCGCTTGCATGTCTTCATCCTCTTCTCTTACTATGAGCCATCGACAAAAAACGAGCGCTTGCACGTCTTCTCTTACTTTCAGCCATCGACCAAACTTTCTGATTCTGTCGAGACAAATCGTAAGAACGACGAAGATGTTGTCGATTATCCACGATGATTTGAGAGGACAGTGGTAAGTACTTACTCGAACACGATGTGTTCTGTGTGCAACCGAGGACACTTCGATATCAATACATGACAATTTGCTCTCGACTTCATCCGAATTTCATGATTTTGTTTTGATTCTTGTGAATGTTTCGTTTTTCAACTTGCAGCAACATCTTCAAAAAGTCCCACAAACCGGCGATAGTGATACTACCATCGACAAAAATTCTTCAGCGGTCTATAGTAACTGACATCGCAATTCCAACTCGCTCGTGGAAGCATATAATCTTGTCCCCGCTTTCCCTGACCGAGAATCAGATCAAACTTCCACTTCTTTTTCATCGTAAATCTGTTGCATCCCTGCTTTCGCCGTTGGGCCCAGTAACCTGTGAAAAGATACGTTTTTATTCTGAGTAGGTATTCCTGACGAGTGTCACGAGTGTCATCCTTTTATTTCCAAAAAAACGTTTTCAACTTCTGAAGTAGGTCAGAATACTTTAACTCTTCTCATTACCATGTCGATGGTAAAATTTCCATATGCTCGTTCGCAATGTCCCAGCCACGTTTCGCATGTTCGAATTTCGGATATACACAAAAGGATCCTTGAGTAGCTCTGGTATTAGCACGGTGGTGATGAAAAACAATCTAAGTCCAAAAAATTGTAAATGAAAAGGGTAATCCTGTTCATCAATGAGGTGTCTCGTTGGCGTTACTCAATGAGGTGTCTCGTTAGCGTTACTCAATGTTGAGCTACTCTCCTTAAGATCCACAATTCTTGCTCGCTCCTGCGATTCTGACCCTCGTTTCCTATGCCGCATAAACTCAGACCTGGCAAAAGGTGGTCCTCGAAGTTTAGTTCGTCGAATCCATCGCTTTTACTGTTATCCGGTTCCACAGGCTCCGAATCCATGCTAGCGTGGTCGTCACCAAAAAGCTGCAAGCTGAAGAATCCGTGACGTCGCCACCAAGTGCTGGGAAAGAAATTCTTCATCAAATTCAACTTCATACTGTTGGGCTCCTTGCGAATTCAACTCTTAGAGAAGTAGTAGAGCTGGAACAAGATAGCAAATCGTTTCACAACAACGAAAAAGGGAACAAACTGACTAGTATGAGGAGTGATAACATTATGTTTGAAGGGATCATAAGCCTAAGGATAGAGGGAAAACTAACCGGCGGTAGTAATAATAGTTTTGGCGGAGCCGACCTAACTAGAAGAAAGAAAGACCCGAGGAAGATAGAAAAGAGAAAAGGGCAATTATCATCAAGTATCCTCCTATCTGCTAAATGATGACACGAATCTACTCGGCTATCTGCCTAAGATTCCCCTGACGAATTCTACCCGCTAGTCTAGCTTGTATTCCCCGAACACTCTTCGCCTTTAATGTGAACACTAAAGGACCTTTAAGACGCCTTTAATGTGAATGCTAAAGGATTCCCCTCCCCTTTAATGTGAACACTAAAGGACCCTTAAGGCGCCTTTAATGTAAACACTAAAGGACTCTTAAGGCGCCTTTAATGTAAACACTAAAGGACTCTTAAGGCGCCTTTAATGTAAACACTAAAGGACCCGCGCGGCGCCTTTAATGTAAACACTAAAGGACCCTTAAGCCGCCTTTAATGTAAACACTGAAAGCCTTCCACGTGGGCAGCAGCTGGCCTCGAGGGAAACAAGAGCAGCAACATCAACAGCAAAAACAACAAGAACAACAACAGCAAGAACAACAACAAGAAGAACAACAACAGCAAAAACAACAACAGCAAGAACAACAACGGCAAGAACAACAACACCGACAAGGACAACAACAGCAAGAACAACGACAGCAACAACAACGGCAACAACAGTAACCACAGCAACAACAGTAGCCACAACCACAGCAACAACGACAGCAACAGCGACAGTAACAACGACAGCAACAGCGAGAAAACAACAGCAGCAACAGAGCAGCA